ACCCGGATGGAGCCAGATGTCCTCCGGTGGAAAAAGGAAAAATACCAAGGTGAAGTGTGGCGAGCCGCCGCAGTCAACAATGTTCCACCTGTTGCGCTCTAGAGTCCCCCCCCCCTAACGTTACTTCCCACTCTCCTTTTAAAACCTACCCTGTGGCAAAACAATAATGAGTGGGGGGGGAAAAAAACATAAAAGGTCCTTACAACAATCCGTGATACACCACAGGCTTCTGATAGACAGTTGCTTTTTTTTTTCCACGTGAAGGCACAACCAATACACATAAAGCAGGTTTACCAACACATTAAAAGCTGTACCTGAAGGCAGAATAGGTGACTATTACAAGCAATGGAGAAAAACTGTAATAGAACAAAAAGTCACACAACATGTGCTACAGATTTCAGAGCTTGACACATCCTAACTGAGCTAATCTGTCACTTTGGCATAATGTTGGACATTTTGGTTTCACCATCAAATACTGAAGTGAGTGTCTGGGTTCATGTGGGGCTAACTAGGAAGCCTTAAAACTTGAGACTTGGTTTGAGATTGTGATTGATTAAGACCAGGACAGGAGACCAGCCAGCACTGAAGTGATGGCCAAGGTGGGCAAACACAGTTGCCTTTGTCTTTGATGGTTTCTTTTCTCTAACGAGAGCAAACATATACTGTGTTGAGACCTCTAATGAGCGCAGCCCAACTGCAGACACTCACTGATCAGAGGTTTAGATCCGGTTCTGTTTGAGAATGAGTTCAACTCATTCACTTTAAAGTTCTTTTCAAATGAAAGACTGATGCATGAATCACCTCATCAGTAGTTTAGGAACTGATCGGCAGACAAAAGAACATTCAAGGTAGAAAAGCTGGACAAATGCATTCATGCATTCATGAACTGCAAACATACTCTACCTAATTATGTATATCAGATCCATTCTACCATATTGGTACTAAATGACAAGTTGTTGGAATCAGTATTCAAAGAAATATTTCATACTGGTAAAATCATGGGGCGGTCTGTCTGCAATGCAGACAAAATAACAAGGGATCATCAAATCAAACGGTGGGATTTGTGGTGAAACAAATTCAGTTAAAGTGTCCCAGAGACAGAATAATAAATGGCTTTAAAGTTTTAAGCAGCTGTGGGCTTTAATTATTTTCTGAACCAAGTACAGACAAAAAAAAAACAAACGCCCCAAAAATCACTCTTCTTCTTGAAAAGAGCGTGTGGTTGTAATTTTATATGCAAATATTTTCGTCTCAGAGGGACACACAGAAGAAGAGACTGTTGAGGTGGAGGAGACAGAAAGAGTGGCTTTAGACTGATGGAGGACAGAAATGCCAGCTTGGGGGCACTTCAGAGAGAGATGAGAGAGAAGAGGCTTGGTGCACGCTTGGAGTAAATATGGATGCACATTTGCACACACAAAGAAGACAGACTAGATGAGGGAGAGGTCAGGCAAGGTGAGAGAGGATAAAGATTGAAAGCTGGAGAGATAAAAGAGGAGAGAGATGGAGCAAATGACAGAAAAAGGGGAAAGGAGAGAAAGAAATGAGTAAATATAGAGAGAAAGCAAAACAAGAAAGAAAATAGAAAAGAGAGGAAAATGGGAGTAAAATAAAGGGATATATGGGAGTGATGGGGAAAAAGTGGGAAAAGACAGAAGTTAACTTCAGCTCTGCCTTCAATACAATTATTATATTATTTTTTTTGTTATGTGCACGCCACAGCCGGTCTGGGCGCTGCACTTCCGCCAGATCTGCCTTTTGCGTTCCGTCAACATTACGTTTTCAATTTTCAATTTGACATTTGTTAATCAATTCTGAATTTTCCACGTAAGCATCGCGATGTATCTTAAGAATCACATCCACCTCAATTACTGTCAACACCGGAGCCCGCCAAGGCTGCGTCCTCAGCCCCTTTCTCTACACTCTGTACACCAATGACTGCCCTGGCCCCTCCTCCCATTACAAAAGACTTCAAATACTCTGATGACACAGCCACACTCGGCCTCCTCTCTGACACAGAATCAGTTGAAACATATCACCAATCCAATGCACACTTCACCCAATAGTGTAAAGACTGTCACCTCCTCCTTAATGTCACCAAGACAAATAAACTCATCCTGGACACACGTCGTAAACTCTCCACCCCTCACTGCCCCGTCTCCATAAACAGCCAGCCAGTAGAAATTGACAGCTTCAGGTACCTCGGCATCACTATGGACAATAAACTGAGTTTAGACATCCACAGATGCTGTCAACAAAGACTTTTTGCCATGTGTAAACTCAGGACTCTCTCAGCCAAACCACACCTACTGCTTCTCCTGCACCGTAGTATCATTGAACCCATCCCTGTGCTACCTGCTCCTTCACCATGCTATCTCTCACCAATAGGAACAAGTTTCTTAAAATCCCTAACACCAAAATAATAGGTCTTCGCTCTCCCAACCTGCCAGCCCTCATTAATAACTGCTCGCAGTGCAGTTACCATAGTTCAAAATCCCAGCCACCCTCTCAACTCATGCTTCACCCTTCTCCCATCTGGCCGTAGATACAGACAGCTGCTCTACAAAAAGGCACGCTTTGGGAAAAGTTTTGTACCCTGCGCTGTAAGAGCGATAAACTCCCAGACAAGTTAATGATGCAGTGTGATATGTGTGGATATGTGCACATTGTTTGTACATGTGTACTATGAGCAGTTTGTGTGTAGTATTCATGTTGAAGGTGCTCTTTGTACAGACTGTAAAAACAAATCTCCTCCATGGAGAACAATAAAGAATGAATCTGAAGTGGAGAGAAGGACGAGCACTCAGTAGAAACTGAGAGGAATGATTTGAAGAATTTTGCAAGACGAAAGAGAGAACCTGAGGATGAATAGAGGGAGGGGAGGGGAAAAGGAGGGAGAGATGATTAAGTGAATAGTAGAACAGAGAAGAAGAGGAGGAGAAGCATCTGAGATACAAGTGTAACTAATGTGGGTGAAATCACCATGAGGCCGCCAGCTACGTCTCCGCTGGGAGATCAGCTAATCTAGCACACTGCTTTTATTAATTAATCAGTTATGAGACGGAGAGGGAGAGAGAGGGAAAGGATAAGAATACGTGAGAGGTAGAGTAAAAAGCAAAAGTCCTGGAGGGAAGAGAAGAAAGGTAGCATGGGAGGAGAGGGAGAATAAATAAGTGTGCCTGAGACAGAGAGGTACTCTAATATTCCTACTCCGGGGCTGAGACGGTGACTCAGCTCTCAGTTTTAGTGAACAACTATCCTATGTTCAAAATGATGTATAGGGGAGGTAGGAGAGGAAGGAGAGCGTTAGCACAGAATAGGTTTTTCAAGTCAGTGAGGTGAACTGAGGTCTTCTTCTTCAGCTGCTGCAGTGGTTTACTAGTTTACGGAGTTTGGAAACATTAGGAGGCTTTGCACGTAACAGTGCAAACTCACTGTGAAAGAGGTCCTGTAAGGTTTTTTATTTTTATAGGCGCTGTGTTTGTGTTGTATAAAAACTTTTCTGTCTCTAATATTCTAGATATTCAACACAATGTGGGATAATAGCAACTGTATGTTCTGTTGAAGGTCGGGAGTATAGTTTGGGATGAGTGCACGTTAATGAGGCGGCAAAGTCTGAATGTGAAAAGGATTCTGGTCTTTTACTTGTGATTAACATTCATACATGTGAATTTACTTTGTTTCAAGGAAAAGACCTGTTTTCAGAATTTTGAAAAGTAGAGAATTAATGTTAGCAAAATATTATTAGCATTTCAAAAGTGATGCAGAAAGGCCCCATTTAGAGTGGTGTTGTGCATTCATGTGGTGTCGTAACATTCGGAATAATGATTTCCCGACTGGGATAATCCATGTGAACGCCGCCTGAAGTCGGAACAACAACTCAGAAAGTCTGAGAAAATTTTGCCGAGTTGTTGACGTCATACATGTAGAAGCATGGCGCATGGCGGACAACATGATTTAGAATTTGCAACGCTTGATTAATGGTGCGAAATCACGTATTGTGTATATACTTAGTTGCTAACATTTCATTTGTAGTATGGTGTTATAAATGTTATTTTGCTGTGCATGTAGAGTAAAGTACATCAATTAGGAAAGTAGGTTTCAGGTAATGTACTGGTGCAGTAACAATATTACTTTGTAACAGGAAGCCTCAAACTGTTTTAGCAGATTTTGATGACAATGACGATCCAAAACATCTTTATAATATGAGAAATGTAGTTTAGTAGTATGAAAGTGTATGAAAATACTGAAGCAAAGTACCTCCAAATTGTACTTAACTACAGTACAGCAGTAAATGTACTCCGTGACTTCCCACCACTGGACCGTGTGACGTAATGTAGCCTGATTCAGTACCTCACAGTAGCCCAGATTTATAATTTAGTAATTCAAAGAGTCTGGTGTTACAGTCATGTGCAGCTGTTGACCTGGTTGGACAGTTTTCTGGTGACACTACCAATCTGTGTCGGAGTCGAACAGATCATCAGAGTGTGTACAGATGTCCCAGTTACATCCGGTCCAATAAAGTCGTTTTCTTTGTGAACATTTCTGTTCGTTAATTACTCATCACACAAATGTGCAAGTCTTGCCCAACAGCCATTAGTCCGGACTGCGTCTGTGCCCGTGCCGTTACAGATCACATCACTGGATTCTCTTTGCTCAACTAAACACACTGTGGGTAGCTGCAGACTGGTTCTGTGGTGCGTTAGACTGTTACGCATGCCTAGAAACACATTTCACTTGACCATTGTTGAAGCCTAACTGTCTGTAACGCAACACAATAGAACGAGATCTGTGGCGACAAACAAGGCCAACGGTTTATTGGGTTCCTCTCGCTCTCTTTTTCTTTCAACTACTTCCTGTTAAATGTAATTGTGTGGTGGACACGTTTCTCTTTGTGTCCTTAAATGTGCTTTTACGTGTGGACATCCGAACCCTGTGTAAATATAATAATAATTAAACTCAGTGGCTGGGATTAAAGCTTGTCTGTTTTTTCTGTGCAGGCCACATGAGACTGTGGTGCCTCTTGAAGACCCCATTGTTACTGAGGTTACGTCAACACTACAGGAATGGGCTTTACTATGGAAGCAGCTCTATGTGGTAAGCAATACTTTTCTTTAAAGCCGGAGTAAGCAATGATGTATGTGATTGACGCAGGACTGTAATAAGCATGGCTGGTCTACCTACCTTCCTATCTGCCTGTCTGCCTGCGCGGGCAGTGGCTTTGGAGGGAGGGGGTGGGACTTTTTCATTTGCATAATTTTTAAAATCTAGCTGTCTCTTGCTAGTGTCTCCTGCATTGTCTACCCCAGCTGTGTGTCATGTCACCGTAGTTTTATTTGTGCACTGCACTTTGCTACGTCACGCACTAAAGCAAGGGAGCCAAGCACAACACTCTGTGTAAACCAAAGGCCGTTATCTCAAAAAGCATAACCAGTCATGCTAAACATAACATATCCATTGTGCTTATTAATGCTTTAATTAGCAAATACCTCAACCCACTTGTAATAACACGTCTGGTGTTATTGCAAACTTTAACATAAAGACTGGAGTTATGGGAAACCTCATTATGTATGCAACTATACTGAAGGTTCCTTATAATCTACTCAGTTCAGACAAAAAGAAGGGGTGTCATGACAAACTGGAGACACATGTGCAGTGGAAACATTCAACATTTGTATGCATGCAAGCTACTTTTTGCACCTGGTAGCTGAAAGGCAGTCATCATTTCCTTCCACTTTGACAGCACTGTTGTTGTAATCTGACAGTGTTCTTGATAAATTCATGAGTCTTTCAATCAATTCCTGTGTCTACAGTTAGGCTATGTAAAAAAGAAACATGCACTGCTAAAGTTTTAAAAATAAGTTCCACAATGTTTGCTTGCACTTCAGCTTCATTGTCTCTTGTTGAGATCCGCAGCATCTGGTTTCTTCATGTTAAAGATGTTTGGTAATGTTAGCAGGGAGGCAGCTCTGAATGTCCACATTATGCCATTCGCTGGGGCGTGTGGTGTTTTCAGCTCACATGCTAAGATTTCAGACAGCTAGACAGTGACTGCGATGAATATTTTGCACAAATGGAAGCAAACACAGATTCCTTCGCTTTCAGTCTTCCCTCAGATATGTAAAGTATCTCCCATTAGCTTGAAGCGTTCATTCTGTTCATGCTGAGAAACCCAGAGCATTATGTGGTTCCTACTCTACACACAGAATGATCCCATTAAGTTTGTTTGTACTTAGTACTTGAGAATTTTTAGTCCTCCTCCTAGCTGTGTGTGTAGCTACTTGCGTGTGTTTTGCAGTTCAGTACAGAATCAAAGGGGATTTTCAGGCCGGGTGGTAAAGAGCTGAAACTGTGCCACAGGTCGTGTCTTTCTCTTTGTTTCTAGGTTTTTTAGGGTTTGTGCAACAGTAAGAACCCTCCTTTTCCCTTTATCTTGTTGTTTTTTAGAGGTGAGCCTGTCGACCTTCAAAAACAAAAATAGAGTTTAGTTTCCTTAACACCTGACCACTGGGGTTGGGCTTTAATACAATCTCCATTATTGTATTAACCTTAGAAAATGTCCTCATCCAACGAAGAGCAATTAAGTTGTTTTTTTTATTCTAAATAATAAATAATCATTACTTCATCGTGCTTTATCTTAATAGCAATGGTGGAAACACATGGATCTTGAGTTTTCTTTCTTTGCCCCGGATCATAAGTAGAAAAAAACACTTGTTGTTGTCGTGAGTTCTCTAAAGACGAGAAAAGAGATGTCTTTGGGACTCACGCTGAAAATGTTGGATTATAGGAACAGCAAGTGAGTGATTGTAGTATAGGTATGAAAGGAACGCACCTGGATGCACTGATAGCACAATGAAGAACATCTTAGGTAAACTTGCAGCTTGTAGACTGTGTGGCTGAAGCTGTGGAGGCTGGATGCAGCACTCTGACCTTCCTGTCATTCAGATCTGTGGTGTTACTGTCAATTTCTCCAGAGTTTTATTACTCCCTTCTGTCAATCTGTCATTTCTTTTCTTAGTTCTCTGTGGTGCATGTTTTTATTCATTTGTATGTGATCTGTCTGTCTATTTGCCTTTTTTATCCTAAAGCTCTTAAGGTATTGTCAGTCACAATTTACTGTATAGTTTTATTGGATATCCTTCTTTACATAAATGTATCGAATGATAAATAATGCGATTCAAACTCTGCTGTCCTCTGTTTCTGTCTCTGTTCTGATTATTCTTTGCATCACTCATCTTCCTCCTATCCTGCCAGTCTCTGTCTTCTGTTGTTGCTCTCTGTTTTTATTCAGAGTTAACAGACTCTTGTCTTTGCTCTCTGTCAGAGCTGAAGTGATGAAAGACAAAAGTGTCTTTGTGAGGTTCTGCATGACAGATTTTCAATTTCCATCCTGACAGACCTCACATTAGCGTCTGTGCTTTGTCACTGACGAGCCAAATGTCCCCTTATAGTTGCTGTAATATACAAATCTTGTAATGAGAAATGCTTGTGTTTTGCGTGGATGGGTGAAGAGAGAGAGCGATAGCTGGAGGAATGTACATTTGCAACACAATGTGCGTTTGGATAAGTACATTTGCAGATAAAAAAAGAAATAACAGGCTGAAGGAAGTGAAGATAATGAGAAGAAGAGATGGAGGGATGAAGAGTAAAATATGCTGACATGATATAGTTATAAATAAATAAATAAAACAAATGTTATGAATGGTAGAGCCAGATATCACCTCCAAGTGTCCTCTGGTTTGATAGAAGGGACAATGTAAAAATGCAAAGGTAACAAGCGATTACCTATTCAAAGTGTATCATAATTATTTATATTTAAATTATTGCTACTTTGCGTAAATGCCAGAGAATATGTCTTACTGGAAAGAGTGCAGTATATAAGCCACAGTGCCTAAATAAATCTGCAGGGACTGGAATTGCAAACAAATCAACTACTTAAAATCACCTACACTCCGGTCAGGGACTTGAGGCGAACGCAGAAGTCCTATAAACCTGCATTCTATTGAACAGCCAGCAGGGGACTCTTCTGGTTGCAAAAATAAGTCCGGTTACATTAGAAATAATGGTTGATGCTGAATTATTACCTCAGTAAACACTTCCATAATGAGTTGATGGCCTCAGTCGCTAGTTTCAAGTCTTCTTCAACACAACATGATGTTCATTTAGTAAATTATGGTCCCATTTAGAGGAAAATAGACCATAAAGCAGAGTATGCTTCAGGGCGGGATTATCTGTGATTGACAAGTTGTTACCATGGCGGCCTGTCAATCAGGCTAGAGTGACTCACTGTATAAATTTAACCAGTGGCATTGAAAGAGCTTTTTGCGAGTTGGCTGTCCACTTTCTCTGTGAATTTAGTTTTAAGCCTGTTATTCGCTAGACAAAATTATCAGCCCTGTTAAAATGACCTAGCTAAGCAAGCTAGTAACAACTTGTAAGAAAGCTAGCTAGCTCCGCACACGGCCGTTAGCAAGTATGGCAGTTCAAAGTTGCGATGCAGTAAAATAAAGTCACACTGCTTTCTAAGCACCTTTATAGCATTATCATATTGATTTCTTTTGGAATAGGTTTTTTTAAAGGAGTACTACTTCCTGTTTTACCACATCCTCTGAGAGAGAATCACACAAATTCATACATGGATGCACACAGTCCGAGCATCTCCCTCTGTTCTTTCTGTCACACACACACACACAGTACAGTAGGTTTAACTACTACTTTATCTACTGTGTGTCCATCACGCAGTGACACATGGATGAACCCACAGTGTACAGACACACAGTGATGTGCTGGATTCTCACTGAATGGATGTTCGGTGGCGCCGAGATCTGCAGAGGTGACAAATGCCGCAGAGCAGAAAGACACACAAGAGACACATGTACACTAACGCTCTCACTTTCTCACACACACAAACACACACACACACAGAAAGACATATATCTACAGTACATAGGCTATATGTTCGTCGCTGTGTTGATGCATGCTTTTGATGTGGTCGTATATTTGTCTTTTCGTTGTCCTTCTATGATGTGCATGGCCTTTGCACACTGCCGTAGGGAATTTAGCGCATTGCTGGATGTGAGAGTGTGTAGGTTAGAGGGAGAGACAACCCTGACAGTGTGTGTGAAACATCTAGAATAAAATAAGACTTTGAGAAAGAAAGAGAGTGTGTGAGGAAGAGAGAATGCCTGAAAGCAGTTGAGGAAGAGGTGACCAAGCGAGGGCAGTGACGAAAGAAAGAAGGGTAGGTGAGAGGGAAGAAGAGATAACAACTGACAAAGAGCAAAGTGAGTGAAAGAAAGAAAGACTCAGGATAGAAAGTCTAGGCTGAAGTCATAGCCAAAGAAAAAAAAGACCATCTCTTACAAAAACTCAAAACAAACTTAACTTTGAGTTGTACTTAGGATGGACAGAATAGACAATACAGAGTGGCAAATTATGTGGTACAGAGTGACCACTAACTGAGAAAGAAAACAATTAAAATCCAGTGTTAGGAAGGTTACTTTGGAAATGTAATAGGTTACCGATTGAAGTTAGCCTCCCCCCTGCGGGGGAGCCAATCCCAGCAGACATCGGTTGAAAGGCGGGATTCACCCTGGACAGGTTGCACTTAGACAAACAGTCACACACACACACCTAAGGACAATTTAGGGTCACCTAGTCCGCATGTGGGAGGAAGCCGGAGCACCCGGAGAGGACCCACGCAGACACAGGGAGAACATCAAACACAGCAAACTCCACACAGAAAGGCTGGGGCAACCGCGGTTTTGAACCCGCGACCTTCTTGCTGTGAGGCCACCGGACCACCGCTATTTCAATTACCTTATAAAATTAATGTAATTTTTGAAAAGACATGTTGAGAGGCTATTTAACTGGCAGCCGGGCGGCGCTGCAAATCCAAACATGAGAAACAATCAAAAGCATCTGAACAGCATCAAATATTACTAAACGACTGTGGCTGGAAATGACAAAGGAAGATGCAGATGAAAAACATGCAAAGCAACAAAATCAAATCAATTATTCTACATGGAGCCGAGCTTCTTACAGAAAATATTTAAGCAATAGCTCACGACAGGCCGCGGTATACGCTTACATCCCAGTTAAGGGTCGTTGTTCGGCAACCCCCTTAACTGGGATGTAATAAGCCTATGTCACGGCCTGAAGTGAGCTATTGCTTTTATAAAACAGTTACCAAGTAGGGCAAAAAGAAAGTAGGCTAACAGACGCACTACAATTTGACTTTGTTTCATCAACAGATATTTCTTTATGAATACAAAAGTAGCTCCACCAGGCTGCTGGTAGGCTACACAGCGCATGACGGTTTCTAAGCAACATGCATCAAAGGCTAGAATTATTAGAACTACTTATTTATATCTATTTGCACGTTGCCGTTTGTTTTGCAGCCACTAAACACTGTCCAGCGTCGGGAGATTTACTTTGCTTATAAGATAATATGCTTGCTACTGTGTGCTGGTGTAACACCAAAATCTGTGACCTATCAGATTCTGTGACTACACTCAAATGACGATGTTTTCCTAACCATAACCACGTCCTTTTGGTACATAAACCCAACCAAGTACTTTTGGTACATAAACCCAACCACGTCCTTTTGGTTCATAAACCCAACCAAGTACTTTTGGTGCCTAAACCTAAACAAGTACTTTTGGTACATAAACCCAACCAAGTACTTTTGGTGCCTAAACCTAAACAAGTACTTTTGGTGCCTAAACCCAACCAAGTACTTTTGGTACATAAACCCAACCAAGTACTTTTGGTACATAAACCCAACCAAGTACTTTTGGTACATAAACCCAACCAAGTACTTTTGGTGCCTAAACCCAACCACATCCTTTTGGTACATAAACCCAACCAAGTACTTTTGGTGTCTAAACCTAAACAAGTACTTTTGGTACATAAACCCAACCAAGTACTTTTGGTGCCTAAACCTAAACAAGTACTTTTGGTACATAAACCCAACCAAGTACTTTTGGTGCCTAAACCTAAACAAGTACTTTTGGTGCCTAAACCCAACCAAGTACTTTTGGTACATAAACCCAACCAAGTACTTTTGGTGCCTAAACCCAACCAAGTACTTTTGGTGCCTAAACCCAACCAAGTACTTTTGGTGCCTAAACCCAACCACGTCCTTTTGGTACATAAACCCAACCAAGTACTTTTGGTGTCTAAACCCAACCACGTCCTTTTGGTTCATAAACCCAACCACGTCCTTTTGGTGCCTAAACCTAAACAAGTACTTTTGGTACATAAACCCAACCAAGTACTTTTGGTGCCTAAACCTAAACAAGTACTTTTGGTGCCTAAACCTAAACAAGTACTTTTGGTACATAAACCTAAACAAGTACTTTTGGTGCCTAAACCTAAACAAGTACTTTTGGTGCCTAAACCTAAACAAGTACTTTTGGTGCCTAAACCTAAACAAGTACTTTTGGTACATAAACCTAAACAAGTACTTTTGGTGCCTAAACCTAAACAAGTACTTTTGGTGCCTAAACCCAACCAAGTACTTTTGGTGCCTAAACCCAACCACCTAAACCCAACCAAGTACTTTTGGTGCCTAAACCCAACCAAGTACTTTTGGTACCTAAACCCAACCAAGTACTTTTGGTACATAAACCCAACCAAGTACTTTTGGTGCCTAAACCTAAACAAGTACTTTTGGTACATAAACCCAACCAAGTACTTTTGGTGTCTAAACCCAACCACATCCTTTTGGTACATAAACCCAACCAAGTACTTTTGGTGTCTAAACCTAAACAAGTACTTTTGGTACATAAACCCAACCAAGTACTTTTGGTGCCTAAACCTAAACAAGTACTTTTGGTACATAAACCCAACCAAGTACTTTTGGTGCCTAAACCTAAACAAGTACTTTTGGTACATAAACCCAACCAAGTACTTTTGGTGTCTAAACCCAACCACATCCTTTTGGTACATAAACCCAACCAAGTACTTTTGGTGTCTAAACCCAACCACGTCCTTTTGGTTCATAAACCCAACCACGTCCTTTTGGTGCCTAAACCTAAACAAGTACTTTTGGTACATAAACCCAACCACGTCCTTTTGGTTCATAAACCCAACCAAGTACTTTTGGTGCCTAAACCTAAACAAGTACTTTTGGTACATAAACCCAACCAAGTACTTTTGGTGCCTAAACCTAAACAAGTACTTTTGGTGCCTAAACCTAAACAAGTACTTTTGGTACATAAACCTAAACAAGTACTTTTGGTGCCTAAACCTAAACAAGTACTTTTGGTACATAAACCCAACCACGTCCTTTTGGTACATAAACCCAACCACGTCCTTTTGGTACATAAACCCAACCAAGTACTTTTGGTGCCTAAACCTAACCAAGTACTTTTGGTGCCTAAACCCAACCAAGTACTTTTGGTGCCTAAACCCAACCACCTAAACCCAACCAAGTACTTTTGGTGCCTAAACCTAAACAAGTACTTTTGGTGCCTAAACCTAAACAAGTACTTTTGGTGCCTAAACCCAACCAAGTACTTTTGGTACATAAACCCAACCAAGTACTTTTGGTGCCTAAACCCAACCAAGTACTTTTGGTGCCTAAACCCAACCAAGTACTTTTGGTGCCTAAACCCAACCAAGTACTTTTGGTACCTAAACCCAACCAAGTACTTTCGGGACATAAACCCAACCAAACTGCAACCGCTTCAAAGCCTCTGGCGCTTAACTTCCCATTTGGGTCACAGAATCTGATAGGTCACACATTTTGGTGTCACACATTTTGGTGTCACACCAGCGGCCTAACTTAAACTTTGTTGCAATGTCGCAGACAACTGAGGCAAGTAGTGGACTGCTGTCTGTGTGTTTGTGCGTTTTCATGTGTGTGTGTGAGAGAGGGAAATGTTGAATCACGTAATAAGCAATGATTTCTCTCTCTCACTCTCTCTCATTATTAATTTATTCATCTCGGCCGGTAAAATGCGATCTGTGGCCTATCAGATCGCATTTTAATACCAGGTGTAAGTGGGGCGTGAGACCCCCATGAAGCTCAGATTATAACTCGAACCCTGTTCGACGTCATACCTGCTGTATACGCTCCTCATATCGCGACTATGAACCAATCAGATTGCTTGATTTGAGCTACCCATTTTATAATCAGATGTAACCCCCAATGTGATCATGAACATTTTCATAACAAAACAGATTACAGTTACATTTATTTTGTAATTAAATTGCATAACTAAATGACACAGTGAGACGGGTGGACACAGACAGAGTTACACCTCCACTGAATAAAGTCAGAGGAACCAAAGCAGCAAAATATGTCAGAGCATGTCACAGAGAGAAAACCAGCAGAACATGTTGAACTGTACTGAGCTTCAAAATCTCATTCCTGCTCATTTTATTCAATTGGTAAACTACATCTAACTGTATCATAAATTTTATATGGTATATGTCATTTTATTTGTTTAGCTCTATTCAAGTCCTTCTCAGGATGAATTTTGATAACTTTGGTGATCTTCTGACTTTGCCTCTAGCAAATACCTGCAAGCTAATAGCACTTCCAGTATACCTGCTACAGTAAACATCAGTATGTTGGTATTGTCACAGTGAGAATGTTAGCATTTAGCTCAGTACAGCCTCAGAGCTGCCTTCATAATACCATACCTGGTATTTGTCTTGCAAATTTAGATTTGAAAATAGGAAAATGATTCAGAGAAAGAAAGAGTGAAAGTATCTGTGTGGTGCCTATGTTTCCTTTTTTTTTCTCCATGTCTTTGTCCGTCTCTCTCTGACTCTCTATTTCAACCCATTTTTTGTTTTCTGCTTCTGTCTCTTCCATCCTTCCCCGACATTGCTTTGTTTCTCATTCCCTGATTTTCTTCCTCTGCTGTCTCTTACATGCTGATGTCAAAGTAGATAAGATTGCATGTGTATTTCTGTGTGTGTGTGTGTGCGCGCACAGGGAGGAGAGGGAGTGGTGACAACCAAACAATGATGGAGGGATGTGAAGACGGAGAAAAACACAGAGGGAGACATTTCTTTGCTGAGACAACTGTGTGTGTGTGTGTGTGTGTGTGTGTGAAGCCAAGACGACAGAGAGAAAAATAGAGGGGAATGACAGGAAAGACATCCAGTAGGAGGAGGCCTCTTCCAGCTCTTTTAGCTTTACAATGCAATGACATTTCCTCTGTCACAACCTAAGCCAAGTGAATGCAAACAAACGCACACTGTAGAGTTCATAGCTGAAATGCAAAGTATGTAGTCAGATGAAAAAGCTCTGTCATTCATTTTGTGATGTTTTAACGAACCAAGGTCTAAATCTCAGACACGCATCAGGATTGAAGTTTATGTTTCTGACCAGAGAAAGCTGTGGGTTTTTTTTTATTTTGACTAGAGGATTCACAGATTAAGTCTCTCATTATTAAAGTAAACAGAAGATGCTGCAGGTCAAAGCTCTTAAAAGCTATTAAAAAAGACAAACAAGGCATTAAATCACAAAACCTTTTAGAGCTCTGTTGACACACACAAACACACAGGGAAACATGAAGCACTTAGTATAACATTTTTAGAAATGCAGCAGGGCATGATACAAATCATTGTTACATTGTCCTCTCTCTTTACATGAATATATACTTTGATGACATAATGGCATGTAATGAAACCTGTGGAGATCGATCACATTGTGATGTTTACAAAAAATGAATATGCATTGTGATGAGCAGCGCAACTTCTTACAGTAAAGTAAGCCAAACAAGTAAACCCATAAACCTAAATAATCCTATAATCTCAATAAAACCACTACAGCAGGAGACAGATGGTGAAAGAGAGAGTACTGCATTTACATTTATTCATTTAGCTGACGCTTTTATCCAAAGCGACTTACAATTACTAAGTATGTCAGAGGTCGCACGCCTCTGGAGCAACGAGGGGTTAAATGTCTTGCTCAGGGACACATTGGTGGACGTGCCCGATTATCCACTTCGCCATCACCAGATAAATTAGAAAGACGGGTGGGAGATGATGCAGTAGAGAGAATTATAGACAGTGACAGAGGAGACCTGAGCTGAGTTAGAAAGGCAAATATAAATAAAAACAGTCAAGGTGAAAGACTAACGCTGAACTGAAATTCCTCTTGGAATCTTTAAACAATATTTAAATTAAATTGGATACAGACAGACAGAGAGAGCAAATTCAAGTTTAATTCTGGTGGCTGTACAAATCAAGAGGAGGAAATGGCTGACACAAAAAAAGATACTGAATCTCTCAGTACTTCAAAGTTTCCATAAAAAAACATGAGCGAAAATCAATCAAAAGAAAAAAGCTGTAGATGCTTTGCTATGCTCTTTGCCATGTAGCATCCGAAATAATAATAATAATAATAATAAAAACAGCTCAACTTAAACGCACACTTAAATATTGATGATTGAAAAACATGAAATATGCTCTCAGTTGATTGCTTGTCACTGTGGTTTAATGGAGTTTCTTCCTTTGACTGCTTCAGTTCCAGACTGTAATGTCTGGAGATAATTGGTGTGTGGTGGTCGGCAGGGTTGTGTAAGGATAAAGCTTTGTAGTGTGTCATGTAGCGGAAGATCGTAGGAACTTCAAAATGCCTCTGTCTTTCCGCTGGTTTGTGCGTGCATCTCTGAAACGGTAATTGGACAAAAATGATGTGAATAATTCCTTAGAGATTCTTTGTAGTGAGGGCTTATAGGTAGGGATGTAACATGCCTCCTCTGTAATCACAGTGGAGGTCTGCTGATCAGCCAGCATTATTAACTCCTTCTCCCAGAAATGAGATTTATATACTACTAATAGACCTTTTTGACAGCAGACATTTCCAGTCGTCATATCAAGAAAAACACAGGTGGAATTAATAACAATGCCTGAGCTCCATTACATGTCCCATTATGCTACTCCAGTCAGCCAGCACGCACAAAACCCAGACCTTCATAAGTGGAATGCAGCCATCAGTGATATTATTAAATATACCTGTGCTTTCCCTTATATGACATGTCTGCTGTCAAAAAGGTTCATTTGCAACAGCAAATACCACCCCTGGCCATTTTAGACAACAAATCGGCCACAACATTTAGGCAGTGTTAGGCAAGTTACTCAGAAAGTGAATAAAGTTACTAGTTCCTTATTGCTCCTTAAAAAAGTAATAATATTAGGCTACTTTACAGTGTCGCACGACTTCTTAACTAATAATTATAACAGCATAAAGGAGTGTGGTTTTTACAAAACACAAAACGCTTCTTTACACCACCGGCGGAAATAAAACATTAAAGCAGGTAAATCCTGACTTTTGAACTACATTTTTTCTGCACATGTATTTAGAAAAGCAGTATTCAGTAATTTTACAAAACGTTCCGTTGCTAAATGCCTCTTTCTCCTGACGCGTCCAAGCATCACTGGCAGCAGCTGCCGGAGTTTCTTTGTGTAAGTTTCACTATGCTGTGCTGCTTCAATAAATAAATAAATCTAGAATTGAAATCACAATGTTCTGTGCGTCTTAGACTGTGACACAATAATGGCAGTCCAGCTGTGGAAAGAACGCCTCTCTTCCTGATTCTCCATTCTTTCTTTAGCTTTTTGGCTAACAGCTGACTTGAACAACTTAAGATCCGGTGCCGCTGACCTGCAGCACAGTCGCGCATCTACGTCAATGACGATGTGTTTAGTAAAGCAGCGTTACTTGGATTAGTAACTGTAATAATATTGCTGTTTTGGAAAAGTTCAGTTTATGTTGACATTGTCAGATTAACAATATGTTATTGTGGTTAATATTGATATTTTGAAAAAAATACTTGCATCTCAAGAATATGAACAGTTTTGAATGTCATCCACTGTTCTTAACTGAGACAAATCTCAGATGAAAAGACAGACAGTGATGGACACAGACTTTGTCGGTGTTGGTGTATATTTGCTGTATACGACAGCGTACTGTCTGATCTGTCTCCTCCCCTCTAGGCCGATGTTGTCGTTTGCTGTGCAGTTTGACTGACAGCTCTGTGTAGTAACGCTAACAGCAGAGTGTTAAACGCCACCTCTGGTTGTGGCCTTTGACACACATCTCTCTGTGTCTGTCTCTCCCACTGTGTGCCTGCTCTGCGTGATAAAACGTGGCGAGAGATGACTGTTGACAGGTGAATGCAGCTGTGTCAGCCCTGCAGCCTTCATGTCCTCAAAGCAGATCAGTCTTTGTGTTTAAAGCACAGAAACCACTGGTTGGAAACACATGTTGAAAACATAGTTGTGCATGTTGACCCACAACCTCCTATCCTAGTTATGGAGTTAATGTTGAGGCAGACAGCCAATCACATGGTCATCTTCATGTCATAGCCAACTTTCTTTAAGGTAAGTTCAAAGCAGAAAGTTTTTATAGCTTTGTTGGCGAGTAGATTTGTAGATAACTATGATTTAGCTAACAAACTATGATGTCACCAAGCTGAGGATTAGTAGGAATATTGGATGAGCTTAGTGCCTTCACTGACTCCAAAATCAGCTTGGTTTGTCAATGTAATGGAGAGGAAGTAATAAGAATAGGAATAATCCAGAAGTGTATACTGTGACAATTAGCATCAATACATTATCAGTTATTTTGGTTTGTCATGTCATCCTTAAATTGCTCATATTTTTGCTGCAGGTTCTGCAACACAATATCCACACACAGAAACAAAAATATTAAAGGTGGTAGTGTGGTACAGACAGAAAATGAATATTAGTACTAATAGTACTAATAAAGATAGACTAAAGACTAATAATAATAACTCTAGCAGGATGTGTAGAGCAGGAACTTGGCAGGAAGCTTGCAACGACAGATCCAGACCCCACAGCTCCGGAGCCAGAAACAGCTGCCGAAAGCAATAAAAGGAGAGAGGAGAGAGAGAAAAAAGCACAAAACTACTTTTTTTAAGTTCAAAGCTGTTAGAAGATATTATTTTATTGGCCAGTAAACGTATGTGCAGACAGACTTGGAATAAATGTAAAACTATCTATTAAGCCTTTGTCCTGTCGCATGTATTCAGGAGTCTGATAAAGCGCTGAAACATTTTGCATTTGTCAGTTTTGATGAAAGATTGTTGATTATATTATAACAGGTCTCCACAAACCACAAACACTTGTAGTTTATTATAACTTTTCCAATAAACTTTAGGTAACTTTTTTTTTTTTACCAAAACCATCTATCAGTCTGCAACAAATGATTAGATTCTGACCGGATTTGGCAGTTTGATGCACAACGCCTTTCTGTTCTGGCACTCTCAAACGTCAGGGGATGACATACTGTTGGTTCTCTATCCATCTAACCCTTTCTAATTGTCTTTCCATGTGTCTGGTCTCTCTCTTTCTATCTTTCACGTCCACACAAACACCACACATTTGATTTCAAGGCTCTCTGTGGGCAACAGCCTCCGGATGTAAGCTCTGCTGTCAGATGTCTTTATCATCAAATGCGCCGTATATCACTATCTTTAGAGAACACACCTCGCTCCATCTTTCCTCAGCTTTTTGTACTCCTCTAACATTGCAAAAGTAGAGAGGAGCTTACTGCTGCTGACTGGCCTGTGGGTGGGTGGGTGGGTGGGTGGGTGGGAGAGAGGGAGAGAGGGGGGGTGAGAAGAGAGATAAAGAAAGATGAGAAAGATGGAGACCGGGAGGAGGTCAGAGGATGGGAGAGAGAGGGAGAATAAGGCTTAGGTACATGCACACACAAAAGCAGAGAGAGAGAGAGGTAGTGTTGCCGGAGTACATTGTGAGTGGATCTCAAGTCGTATGACAGGCTGTGATTTTCTTATCTGCCGGTTTGAATCGCTGTTTAGCGGCTTGCCAGTGGTAGAGTCAGAGAAAGAGGAAGGAGAAAGGCGAGGAGAGAAACGAGTGGATTTATCATCCTATCACACCTGTAAGTAGCTCCAATCATTTGGACGTTATGTGTGCGTGTGTCTGTTTCAAAAATAGACCTTCTGTAATTCAGTGTGTGTGCGAGAGAGAGAGGGAGAGTTTTCCTCAGAGAGTGAAAGTGTGTAAAGTGTTTGTCCTTGTGGATTTTTAGCTGCATGCATATCTGTGTATGAACAGCATCTATAGGCTTCAATAAGTGCAGTGTCATATATTTTACATGGTGACTCACCCTTCGCTGCCACAGTGACGATGCCATTGTTGGCCTATAGATGTTTTTTCATTACATCAGTGGGAAGCTCTGTATCTACTGATGCTTTAATTATTTTAGCTTATGACACACGTGGCTGTGTGTGTGTCAAGTTATAATCATCCATGACATCCAGCGGTATCTAGTTTTACTCTTATATTACGTCATTTTTTCTCCATTCTTTCATTATTCTTATACAACTTGCATCGGTTTATTTCACATTTTCTTCATTTATTTATGTCCACTATATGTTTGTCTACGTGTAGCACCATATCACCAAAGAAAATTCCTCTTACCTGTAAAATATTACTTGTCAAAGCTCATTCTGATTCAGAGAGTCCAAGACATATTGAAAAAGCTGATTGAGCCCAGCTTTGTCAGTACATTGACGGATAATTGATCAGCTTTAGCACTGATTCTTCTTGTTATACTATGCCTTGGTGTCACTTGTGTATAAACTATTTTCTCTACTAGGTCTCAGGAGTATCCCTCACGGAGGCACCTGAGCTGTTATGTTTCACCCTCATCTTTTCGTGGTGTTTAAATTAAAGGCTTAATGTTACCCAGATCACATCACTCAGAGGAGAGTTTTATACTCACCTGCAGAAAGTCTCGTCGAGTTGAATCCAATTTTCCTACTGTAATTCCACCTGTTCATCATCCTAAATATATGGGATAGAGATGCTGTCATTTTGTGCTCCTATTTTGATGTAGTGTGCAGTTCATCATATTTTATGCTGTCAAACTAGTTATACACAAGGTGAAACTAATTGCAGCAAATCCTTGGCAGCAATGTTGAATTAACATCACAGTTTTCTGCACAACTACAGCACAGTCATACTGAAACATTAACTGCTAAGATACAAATCATGTAGATGTCAGTCGATATAAATGTACAGTGAAAAAGCATTTAATAAATCAGTAGATTTTGAATTTTACGATAGATGTTTAAGAAGTTTATTTAGACCAGGACAGAATGTACATCAAAACATACAGAAACTCCTATAAATAAGAGATCAATTGTTGTGGTAGATTCACCCAACAGCCTAGTTTCATATCATTTTCTCTGGATCAGGGCAGAGTAACGACATAATGTTAGATAAACAGTGACATACATGTAAAATAAAATGACTAAACCAATCATAGCTGCATCACTATCATCCAGTACAATCATTTACTGCCAACAATATGTAGTTGCAGCCTAGATTTATCAACCTGGTAACTTTAAATTGCCCTGAGCTCATAAGACGGTTTGCGAACTGTTAGGTTAGCTAAAGTAAGTCGTATTAGTGGTATAAGTAATGTTGTACTGTGTAACTTGTGTCCTATTAACTGTAATCCTAATGGCAAAAATACAATCACATGGTAACTTGTTCCCACTTTGTGTTGCTATTTTAATGTTCTCAGCTGCACGACAGAGTCGCACTTTGTTCATGACTCTGAAGCTATAAAGGAAGGCAACATCAAGTAGTTATTACTGTTGTCTGTTGGGAACAAATGTTATTAAAGAGGCACAAAGTCTGCAGAAGGAGGAGGTTCGTTTCTTATTTTCCTTCGGGGAGTCAAAGCTGGTGACCACGGTTGTTCCCTGACATTAACCACGTGGTTATTATTGTAACCATGTCAACAAAGGTCACCTGACCTTATCAAAGTTGTACTTTTTACTCAAACTCATAGTAAACATAGTAGTAGTTGTAAGCCAACCATTGTAGTTTATGTGCTTTACCTTACTGAACCTTGGCCATCAGCTGTGTAAGATCAGAGGACGCTTTTGGTTTTGCAGCTGTGATTTGTAGTAGTTGGCGTCAGACCACTTCTATTTGTATTTCTAAGGGCAATTACAAACATTTTGTTGTTTCATTTGGAGGAGTTGTTCAATGGGATATTTCAGTAGTATTTTTATATTGCCATTTGTGACAATCAGCTGCTTGTAGGTTGTTTTTGGAAGTCGCCCTTATTCTGCACCTCATCCTTTTTGCTCCTGTACAGCCGCAAAGCATTTTTGTTCTTAAGCACTCCAATAACAGGAAATATAATTTGCCTTCTGGACATCATCACCTTTGACCTCTCTAAGAGGGTGAGCTCGTTCCAAAATTTCCTTTTTAGGGCTGTAAGGGAAACTTGTCCTTCCAAAGTGTCTTTTTCTGCCCCGTAAAGCTGTACGTGGAGGTTGTCCTTCCAAAATGTGTGCTCATGCAGTACATTGTCATTCAATACAATGTATTTTTCCCAACCATTTATAATATGAAGGGATATGTCCTTCCAAAATCGGAGCTTCCCCTCAGTTCTTGTTGACATATCCACATAAGTCTATAATTACACCAAATATCTGGATGTCTTATATCTGATGTTATCTGATCTGAATTAAGTCATTTCCATATTCATACTCAAAACATGAATAAACTTGAGGAAAGCCAAATCACCGTGTGCAGTTCTGCAAACTAAATCCCAAATCTAGGTGTTTAGATTAAAATATTGTGTTGGTTTCTAACTTATTTATTTCCACATGTCCTCATGACTTGATACCGCTTTTACCAGGTGGTGTAAATGTATCGTACAGTCAGACAGGACTGTCCTCTGTCCACGGCTTAAACTCCACACAGCATGGGACATGACAGGCTGGCATCCCTGCTATCACATGCGAGGCAGGATGTGTTTCATCACTGTGTATGTGTATGTGTGTGTGTGCTTGTTTGCCTTGCGTGTCACCAGGCAGGGTTCACACAAGGTCAGGGGAGGATTTAAGATGGAGTTTGCACCGGACGAGCAAGCACAGGACACAAAACACACACACACAACACATATTGCGCGCTGCATGATGCCAAACTCCTGCTAGAAAAGGTTGCAGTTACTGAACTCTTTGACAGCTTGGAGTAGCTGCTGGCTTAGCACAGGAGCACAGTGTTGTTTAAATTTCAATGAAGGGAATTTATTTTATGCTGTTGATGTTGCTCGCCGATGTACTTTGCGCCAAAGTCAGACACTAGATATTTATTTCCAGCCACAGTTCAGTGTCTAGACTTCCCAATGATATACCTAGAAAAAAAAGACACTGGGATTTATTTTAAACACTTGTTTCACAGTCCTTTAGAAAGTAGCTGTGAAAAGCGTATGTGTTAACCTGAAGTGCTATACAATAATAAGCAATACTTAAAATACATATATACAGTAATTAAATTCCATTATGTATTTGACGGGTTATTAAAAACCGTGTTCAGTCAGTTAACGTGCTTTTTAATGTGAGATTGTTTTCTCAACTATGAACTGAAACATTCAGGTCCAGGCTTACTGATGCCCGTCTTGAAGTTGTAGCTACTCAGGGTTTCAACTGCAACCTCCATCAGTGCAAATGTGTTTCAGTTGTGTGAGAAGCAGCGCAGGTGTCTGGCAAGAATTAAAATAAATCAGGCCTATGAGCCAACAAAGTATTCAGGGAATGCATTTGTTAGTTCAGTGTTAAATTGAAGTATAAAACTGATGTTTGTATGATGCTCTGTTTGCAAGATTTGAATTAATTTGTGGCTGAGTGTGGATTACTTAATTACATATACTTGAGAATGCTCTACATTTGAGTGTAAATGAAAGTATATATTGTAGTTTTTCACTTAAGTATAATTATTACAGCTTTAATTTACAATTTATTTCAGAAAAACACATGAAAATGTTCAAAATATGTTGGAAGCGGTAATAAAATAAGTAGATATTGAGAATATTGCAATTTCTTGGAGTACTTTAATGCTGCTGTGGCCCTCCTATGAGATGACAGTACCAAAGTGGCCCCTGGATGATTTGAATATGAGACCCCTGACTTAAATACATTTTGTATAGATGAATGCAGTCAGAGGGATGCGTGATTCTTTAATCTATTTGCGTGCTTACATCTAAAGTACCATATTGATACTATGGTAAAATGTTTGCAGATGTTGAACACATTCAGAATCAAAACCTTGACCCCAATCTCACTAACACACATGATTAAAAGCCATGTGACGTCCTGTCTCAGTGAAGTTCATGGTCTCATCCTGTACAGATGGATGTTGCAGGATTTAGACAGAAATACATTTTACATAAAAATCCTGCCTTCAGATACATCCTAAGAAAGCTGTGGCAGCGTGTTACAATAACAGCTGAGCAGCAGAGACCAAAAAGGAATTCAGAGGCTCTTTGTTTGTGGTCCCTGGTGATTTGCCTCAGCGCTTTTTTTTTCACTAACACAGCAGCCAGTTTGACAGGTGCGAAAATGAAGCAGGACGTTTGCTAATGGATCAGAGGTGTTGTGAGTGTCCCCTCTGATTAGGGGATGCCAGGCTGACTCACATCCTATTAGCAGGCCTCAAACTGGTAACTTCCTGAAAGTAATCAGTTACACATTACAGATTACCTGACTCAATTTGCATCCAGCTTGTCAGAGTGAATTACTATCCAGTATTTTGAGGCAGAACTGTGGTACAAATGTGTGGATGTGTTGAGTTAACATACGCTTCTTCAAAGAGATTGACAGCAAGCATCTGCCCTGATGAGGTGTCCTCAATAAAATGCCACGGCTGTTTCTGACATCATGAGCTCACTCACTAGAGACTTTTGTGTGAATAAAAAAAAATAAACGCCTTTTGCTTTTCTTATTTGTCAGGTGTAGAAAAGGAAGCAGGATGTCGCTAATGGAAAAGAGGTGTTGCAAATGTCCCATTAGATATTAGAGCCGTCAGGGTGAATAAAATCCTATTATGTATTAAATCCAAGCGGTGACAATCCCTCACCCACTGGAGACCCACCTTTGGACCTTAACCCACAGCTTGAAAAAACGCTGATGTAGTTTTATTCTGGTAGAAAATGCGGGGGCTGATTGTTCGTGGAGGGGAGGGGTTATGGTGGGCCTTTCTAGTTTGTGGGCTGTCAGAGTGATTAAGATCTTCATATTATGTCCCTCTAACTCTGACTCAAAAGGCCAACGCAGCAATAAAGAGGAAAGTAAATGTTTGATTTAGTCAACTGTGCTTAACGCCGCAGCCCTGCCGGAAGCTGCTTCGTAAGACCAAACATGTATTCCTTCTCTTGGTGCTCAGTATTACACTTTGCTTTGCTTTGTTTTACACTTTTGTTGGAAATTAAGTAGCTTTGCTGGAATTGTAAGTATTTTGTTTTACTTAGCTAATATCAAGATGGTCTGAATGAAGTCTGATGAAACAGAATAGCTTCTATAAACGGCATCATGATCTGGGGATTTGCTCGGCTGGTTTTTTTCATAGTGCTGAGGTGGTAAAGATGTGTTAAACGGTGCTGGTGTGTATGTTTTGTGTATTTGTTCCCGCTGAATTTGAAGGTGTGATTACTCACTCCTGCTGGGGAAAGAGGCAGCTGATGCAGTTAGAGAGGGAGAGAGGTAGGAGGGAGACTACATCCACAAATAGTCGACACAAAAGCTGAAAAGCTATTTTTTTCTTGTGCTCAATTTTACCTCTGAGGTTGTACATTTTCTCTCAAAGACAGACAGATCGGGCAGTTTCATTTTAAAGCACCGTACATTTCTGTCTGTGGTGTGGACGGGTGTAGTTTGTGTGCCTGCTAGAGGTGGAGAGGAGACTTGGTTTCCCTCCTGTTTTGCCAGCTGGTGCACCTGTTCCCAGTCTAGTTGACTGACTCAGAGGAGGGTCGAAGGTCGAAGCACATCCACCCACTGACTGGGATGGCCAGATGTCCCCAAAAAAATCTACAGTCCTGGCTTAAAAGCAGGCAGACTGGCTGAGAAAAAGAAGTACAGATGGCACATGGCTGAGCTGCTTCCACTCCCTGTTGCCTCTCAATCTGCCCTCCTGCTTTTATTTCATGCCTGTAGAAAAATAAGTCACTTTTACTGATCACTTTTCTCATTGTTTCCTAAAGAACTATTTTAGAAGCTTCTCAGAGACCTGTTAGAATCCAGTCATGAGTTTGCTCTGTGGTAGCGCTGGACTGCTCAACATTTAGTAAATATTTGTTCTCAAAGTTCATCAGTAAATATTTCCAAAATCAAAAAGTATTACCATTTTGTATTTTGGTCTTAAATGGTGGGGGACGAGGGGAATGATTATTCTATTTAGTTCACTACTACTATTTATCATTACACTTCTGTTAATACTGTCTGTTAATACTGTAAAATACTTATATTTGTAGATTTCCTTATATTTTCTACTTGCCTCCCTTCTCTCATTCTATTCATTAATACCTTGATATGCAAGTGAGCAATTGTAACAAAGAATTTTCCTTCGGGTATCAAAGTATTTCTGATTTTGTTTGACACGATGTCAAATGCTTTGAGAGGTAGCTAGTTCGTTTTGCAATTCAAATTTATAAATTTCCTCACCAGATTAATCTGCTAGGTGGTAGGGCTGAATGCTTTGGGGAAAAAATCTAATTGCAATTTTTTTTTCCAGATTATGCGATTATGATTCGATTTGTGATTATTTTTACTATAAAAGTTCAGCTAAAGTTCAATATTCACCGCCAGTGTATTTTTGACAGAAGCTGCGTCAAGCAGCACAGAGCAGATGAACCGGGCAGGAAGTCAGACACGGCAGAGAGAATCCGGTCAGTTTTCAAAATAAAACACCCTGTGCAGACCCCGAATCGTATATCAACAATAAACACATTGAAAGCAGACAAAAATAAAGAAACAATTTAGCACAGAAATCAAGGACAGCTGAAAAAATTAACAAAATCTGAGTCAGCAAAATCAGGCAGGCAAAACGCTTTTATTCTGAAATGCTCTGAAATGTGGGATATTTGGCCTGCACAGAGCGTAACGAAACAGGCTTTTAGAGAACTGTTGAATCTGTAGTTGAAGCACACAAAATGACAAATAAACAACCCTTAAACAATGTGTAGGCTGAACGCTCCGCTGCTGAAATACTTCAGTGTGAGTTGACGCCGGACAAAACTGCAGCACAGCCACGTTCTTTCAAATTTTGATTTGAAAACAAATAATCGCTCAGCCCCACTAGGGGGCCCAGGGACTGTTGACCTGACTGTGCCCTCTGTGCATTTTGTATGTACCTGTCACCTTTAAGTTATCATCAAGCAGAAGCATTATTTGCACAGGGATTATTAATCTCATGAGGAAATACCACCTTGCACCAAGTTGTCTGTGTGTCAGTTCGATTAAAATGCACCAGTTGAATATATATATAACCTGAAATAAATCTCAAAACTAGATAGGGGCTCTTGTAGCCTCTTCGCCTGATTGGTATTCCAGTCTTGAATGGCTGCAAATGCGTTCTATTAATGGCTGTGAATTGAATACGAGAGTCTGTTGCGCCTCGTGTATTATGGTAACATGTGGTTCAGCACTTACCTCAATGAAAAATGACTTTCACACTGGATCCGCTGAGTTAGCAGTTTCTCCACGTTGGTGGATGTGCATCCCATATTGTTTGCTGTTTATTTATCCATCCAGTAATTCAGTTTTTATCACCCTGATGTCTCTAGGACAGGACGCCTTAACTCCAGGTTTGTTCCTTTGTGTTTCTGTAGCACTAAAGGAGAGTGACACACAACCTCTCTTCTTCGAATTGAGGTGAACTTGAGCCAAGCACATACTTCACTGTTTCCCCCGGCGGCTCCGGTGGCTGACAGTAGGCAGCCAGTGTCGAGCAGCTCTCTGGTGTAAATACGTTGGTGAACCTTGCTCCTGGGACAGCTCCCCTCTCAGCCTGCTGCTGTAAATAAGAACTGGGTTCATTTTGTGTGTCCTCTGATGTGTCTGCTGGGTTCTGGTCTGTGTAGCAATTTGGGCTTTATCGCTTACTGCTGTGCTGCTGCTTTCTTCGAGGAGCACCCTCAGGAATAGGCTGTATTCTGCCAAATTAAAGTTTATAACCTTTTTATGCTATAAATGGCCGTATATAAGTTTTCCCTGAGCACAATGAATAGAACGAAACTTATGGGCTGACACTGGCTTTACGATACTATTGCAGCACGCAGTGAATTAAAATAAAAGTGCACAGGTTGATGCAGACTGCTGTTCTCAGGGGTGGCCTCACAGATGGGTTGAACAGCACAGGACTTTCCCTCAGGAGACCACTATTCATGTCCTGTGTGAAACCAAAAGTCAACGTTTACTCATATTAAGTTACATCACTAATGAAACTTACTTATTTTAACCTAAACCGTGATCTTTTCCAAAGCCTAACCAAGTAGTTTTGACAAAGTTGAAGATGATCTAATCCTTGTCGTGCAGTTCCCAAACTTTGCACGTGCCAAATTACTTCTATCTGATGGTGAATGATAAATGCTACTCACTTGGTGCCAACGTGCGTCAAAGCGCTCATAATGACACACAAACACTGACTGACACAGCCATCTGAAGCAGTTTGGCGTTCTTGCCCGAGTAGACTTCGACCAGACTTGGGGAGCCTGGAATCGAACGAGCAACCCTCCAATGACTAGACGACCCGCTCTGCCACCTGAGCAGCAGCCTATCTGGTGGCACGATTCCTTTGAGTGCTTCTGGTCGTATAAACTGCAAGTAGTTTTTCATTAACTTTACTTTTTTATTTACTTTTTTATTCATTCGCTCAGTCATCTATTAATTCTAATCCTGGCTCCTGTAATCATCACTTATAATGCTAGTGACAAATTCATTGTTTGATTTGGATTTATATTTGTAGCAGATGTGTGTTCATTTAATCAATTAAATCACCAAAACAGCTTTACAAGATTTCTCTCTGTTTTATGTCATTTTCAAATTGAACTCGTTCATTTTCATTTGTTATTTTCTTCTTTATCACTTGGGCTCTGGGAACTTGTTTTTCACTTTCATTAGACGAAAGTGTTAATTGATTAGTGAGAAAGAAAATCTAATTTATGTATTATTAATGACAATAATTGGAGTGCACTTTTGATGATGTGTTAAAGCTTGCACCCTGAAAGATGTTCCTGCATCATTAATGATCTTATGCTCATGCAGAATTTTAATACGGACTCTCACAGTGTGTGTATCAAAGAGCATTAGCTTCTGTGTCCACTGGGCATCTCCTTAAAAACAAATGCTAAACAGATGCTGATGGAAACTGCTGCGTGTGACTCGAGTTGTTGCTAAGCAACTACTGAAAATCCATTTGAAATATGAGCGTCTTTGGCTAAAAGTTATAGTATTTTTAACCTCGAGTGCCACAGACATGCTAATCACTCAGCACAGCCGCAACGGTGCAACAGGGTTCCCAACAGGAAGTACTGAGAAACAGAAGCCAGTGCTGTGAAAAGAGCTTCCCTGTGGACACGTTGCCTCAGAGTTGTGTTATAATTTATAAACGACAGAAAACCAACCTCCTTAAAATGATACCATATTTTAAAAATCCCCTCATGCCCTCAGGCACAGACTTGCACGTAGGCATACAGATGTACCCATTTTTTTTACCACTGGGTTGTTTTCTTACCTTTTCTGTCATGTCTGTGTGATTCACGGTGAGCTGCTTCAATCCCAAAATACAAGGTTTTACTGTGAACCTCTGATAGCCAGTAAGTCATCCTGGGAAACCTTGTAAAGATAAACTGAGATCAGACTTGAACTGAAGGTTTGGACTATCTGACTTAAGGTTAAGAACAATTCTTGACTACCTGCAAAGGAAGTCAAACCACAGTTGGAGCAGTATTTAGTTTTGTCCTCATTTTAACTGAGTTGAGTTTAAACTAAAAGTGTGAGAATCTTTGGGAACTTTGATTTGGTTCTCTATTCAAACCTGAATCTTCATATAGAAAAGGCGGCACTATGTGTGCACTGTGTGCCAAACCACTGACTTGGGTTTAACTGGCCGTTAAGCTACAGTAAACGGTCCTGATCAGAGTTCGAGTTACGTGGGGGCTCAGCTCCCATAAGGAGGGCTGAGCTGAGCTCCCATGGAAGCAGTAAAATCATGCCTCTGGGGGGGGTCACTAATTAATTTATCAAAAAACATTATTTTGAATCACAAATAATGTATTTTTTACTGTGATTGGTATTATTTACATTAAAAAGATAAACAGACTTAAATCAACATGTTTTCCTAATGAACTACGCTGCATGGCTGACCGGATGGCTGCACTTCTGCACCATCAGCCACTATGGTGCGTAGTAGCCTACAGTTTGGACCCGCAAACATGAACTCAGTTGTGTGCTTGAAGTGGGGCGGTACGCACCGGTACACAGTGCCGGCACCTCAACATTTTACTCTTTGGCGTACCGGGACTTTTTCTTGCGTACCGGGACTTCTCCCAAACTTCCGGTCCTCTTCTCGGCCCTCTCCATATCGGGTTCTCTGGGCGCTACGTGACGCTCACCTATTCCCGTTCTCACCTACCTGCTAATCTCTGTCGGGATGACAGACGAGGGAGAAGCTCGGGTGCCTTTCTAGCAGCTGTTTGCAGAAAGTAGCTTGTCAGTGTCAGTTTTGGTGAACCGACCAATCACAGCCTGGATGGAGCGGGACATTTCAAAGTGTTGATAGGCGTCATTTGCACTGGGGACGCTGGGGACAGGTCAGAATCAGAATGTCTCCATCACTTTTTGAAAGCTTTTGTTAAAAATGTTCTGAAAAACAGCAACAAGAAATGTTGAATAACAACTGAAACAATAAGAAAACATGCAATGCAACTGAAATATAGAAGAACGAAATGTGCATTGTCCAAAAAAGTAACAACAAGCTGCTGATTACTGCAATATATTCCATTATAATTATATATTTTGAATTGTCACCTGGCACCTTAATTTTGTTTCCCTTCATATAAATATAGACATTTCCACCATAAATTGGTGCAGAAAATGTCTTCAGAATGCAGGAAAGTTTTTAATGCTTAAAGTCTTAAAGCCTTATCTCTGCCGGTAACTTTATTTAATAGGTGTTGGTTAGGTTGCTCATTTGCTGGTGCTAGAGTTTGGTGCTTCACTTCATTCATTCATGTTTTAATTATTCTAAAAATTACTTCACCGTTGTCTTTTCAGGCAAATTATGAAGCTATCAAATCCAAAATGCAGCCAAACATTTGCCCTCTTTGAAGATGAACCACATGATAACTCTAGTGTAACTATGCTTTAATGTGCCTTTCTCCACCGTCATTAATAAAGCACGACAAACTTAATTCTGTTTACTCTGATTTGGCAATAATTTCACGCCACCCTCATTTACTATAGACCTAAGACGTGACAGGAGTTTAGACAACTGTAAAAATGCAATTAAAAACAGGTTTCATCTGGAAAAAAGTATTAGTGGAATGCATAAAATCATCTTTTGCCAGTACTGAGACAGTTTTAAAGTAGAGGTAGATGAAGAAGTCTGGGGTAGCAAAATGAACATGTTGTGTACAAAGTTCATGGACGGAATGAAAACCAGCAGAACCAGCTTAAGTCTGGCCCAGCATGCACTGGAAGAACAGCAGAGAAACCTAAGGCAAGTCACTGGTCGATATCAGAGGTGTTTCGTATGTGTTAGCTAAACTCTGAGTTTACCAAACAAAGCTCCACCTCCACTGCAGCCACAGTTATATAATGGTTCTGCACTGGGTCTCCTGTCTGTAAATCAGAGATACCCAACACAGAGACAGACAAGGTTCACTGCTCTTCAACCAGGTTTACAGAAATCCACACCTCTGCATTTGTTTGTAGTTGCAATTATTCATGCATGCATGAACACCTATATGCATGTACGCAGGTGTGTGGGGGGGGAGGGGGAGGGGTATAGACTATGTGGGATAATCATATCCTATTCATGCAGAATAGCCTTTGCCACGTGTAACATACTGTATGTATGAATCTGTATGGTGGTTTAGGCTGTACGCACTTTCAGTCTCAGAGGACTGTGTGTTTGTGTGTGTGTTCATAGTACCTGCCCCTCTATGCAGGGATTTCTGCCTATCTAGCTGTCCTGCTAAGAACTGAATGGGCATTTAACCCCGCTGCCTGCTGCTGAAGGCCTGTAGGGTAAATTAGAGCACTAATAATAGAATGAGCTATAGCGGGAAGTGCGTGCGTGTTTGTGTGTGCACTCCCCTGTTTTTGCAGATGCTGTCCCATCTCAGTTGCATCACCAAACTATTGACCTACTGTAGTTTAATCTACGCTTCATTTGTTCTCAGAAAAGTAGAAGTAGAGACCCAAGAGGAGTCCGTGAAACAACGCTGCATTTAAAGTAAATTAGTTTTCATCGGTTCTCATGTTTATATGTGCGTGAAAATGTAATGAAAAACAATCATAGGGCTGCAACTAACATTAGTAAAATCATTACACAGTCCCCTCCAAAAGTATTGGAACTGTAAGGCAAATTCCTTTGTTTTTGTTGTTCACTGAAGACATTTGGGTTTATGAGACAAGAGTTCAGAATTACAGCTTTTATTTCCTGGTATTAATCAGTGATATTACACATCATCAGCTGTGGGGGACAGCTGTGGCTTAGAGGTAAAAAGGTTCACCCACTAATTGGAGGATTGGCTGTTTAATCTCAAGCTTCCCCCAACCTGCATGTCAAAGTGTCCTTAGGCCTGATATTGAACCCCAAATTGCTCCCAGAGGCTGTGCCATCGGTGTGTGTGTGTGTGTGTGCATGAGTGACTTGCAATGTGAAGCTCTTTAAGTTGTTGGAAGACTAGAATGGCACTATATAAGTTCTTCAAGACTGTGGAGAGGTGCATCTGAACTGCTAAAAGTTCTACATGGAAGATCAACAAGAGTAAAGAAAAAGAGTTGGACCCTTAACGCTTAATTATTCATGTTGGATTTTTACATCCATAATCTGATTTTGATCCTGTAGTTGAGCAACAGGCCTCTGAAGAGAAACGATAAAAATTTGCAAACACTGGTTGTTGCAAACACTGGTTGTTCACCTCTTTACAGTGGCAAAGACAATAGTGCAGCTCAAACTAAGAAGGTCAAGGGTTTGATTCCTTCTTTGTAAGGCAGGAATAGGCACTGTAAATGTGTTTGTTGATATTATCTCTGTGATAGACTGTTCACAGTATTTCTCTGCCTCCTGGCCAATACATGCTGGCACAGGCTCCATCTCCCTCTAAAGAGCTAAATTGGAATGAGCCGGTAAAACAATGAACACATTCACCCTAACTGTTTTACAGTGTGAGTTGTTATTGTTTGAGTGCCACCATAGAGAAGGACTAGTGCTTCCCTCGTGCCTGCCAAAGAACCACATCTTACTCAGCTTTTTCAATCTAGAGTGCTGAACAACAGATGAAAGTGAGTAATCCCCACCCTCTCTCTCTCTCTCTCTCTCTCCATCAGAAACACAAAGTGGATCTGTTCTACAAGGTTCGCCACGTGATGATGGAGCTGATCGACCTGAGAAGGCAGCTCTTGTCTGGTCACCTGACGCAGGACCAGAGCAGAGACGTCAAGAGACACATCACCGTCAGATTGGACTGGGGCAACGAGTGAGAATCAAACACACGATTATTTAAACGCACATTCACACACGCTGACATGCATGAACTGAGACATCAAGACGTGTAAAGGGATGCAAAGTAGAGTTACGTTTAATTCTTGATCTTGGAAATAGTAGCTGAGAAAACAAGAAAGAAAAGAAACACATTTATCTGATGCTTTTATCCAAAGCGACTTATAATTGCTAAACATGTCAGAGGTCGCACTCCTCTGGAGCAACTAGGGGTTAAGTGTCTTGCTTAGGGACACATTGGTAGATACACTCACCTAAAGGACTATTAGGAACACCTAATTTCTCATTAATCCAATTATCTAATCAACCAATCACATGGCAGTTGCTTCAATGCATTTAGGGGTGTGGTCCTGGTCAAGACAATCTCCTGAACTCCAAACTGAATGTCAGAATGGGAAAGAAAGGTGATTTAAGCAATTTTGAGCGCGGCATGGTTGTTGGTGCCAGACGGGCCGGTCTGAGTATTTCACAGTCTGCTCAGTTACTGGGATTTTCATGCACAACCATTTCTAGGGTTTACAAAGAATGGTGTGAAAAGGGAAAAACATCCAGTATGCGGCAGTCCTGTGGGCGAAAATGCCTCGTTGATGCTAGAGGTCAGAGGAGAATGGGCCGACCGATTCAAGCTGATAGAAGAGCAACTTTGACTGAAATAACCACTCGTTACAACCGAGGTATGCAGCAAAGCATTTGTGAAGCCACAACACGCACGACCTTGAGGCGGATGGGCTACAACAGCAGAAGACCCCACCGGGTACCACTCATCTCCACTACAAATAGGAAAAAGAGGCTACAATTTGCAAGAGCTCACCAAAATTGGACAGTTGAAGACTGGAAAAATGTTGCCTGGTCTGATGAGTCTCGATTTCTGTTGAGACATTCAGATGGTAGAGTCAGAATTTGGCGTAAACAGAATGAGAACATGGATCCATCGTGCCTTGTTACCACTGTGCAGGCTGCTGGTGGTGGTGTAATGGTGTGGGGGATGTTTTCTTGGCACACTTTAGGCCCCTTAGTGCCAACTGGGCATCGTTTAAATGCCACGGCCTACCTGAACATTGTTTCTGACCGTGTCCATCCCTTTATGGCCACCATGTACCCATCCTCTGATGGCTACTTCCAGCAGGATAATGCACCATGTCACAAAGCTTGAATCATTTCAAATTGGTTTCTTGAACATGACAATGAGTTCACTGTACTAAAATGGCCCCCACAGTCACCAGATCTCAGCCCAATAGAGCATCTTTGGGATGTGGTGGAACGGGAGCTTCGTGCCCTGGATGTGCATCCCACAAATCTCCATCAACTGCAAGATGCTATCCATCAATATGGGCCAACATTTCTAAAGAATGCTTTCAGCACCTTGTTGAATCAATGCCACGTAGAATTAAGGCAGTTCTGAAGGCAAAAGGGGGTCAAACACAGTATTAGTGTGGTGTTCCTAATAATCCTTTAGGTGAGTGTATGTCGCTGTGGGGAATTGAACCTGGGTCTCTCACACCTAAGACATGTGTCTTATCCACTGCTCCATCACCACCCCATTTACACATTACCTACACACAAATGCATACACACTAACAAATGTGATTTAGGGTGCTGCCACACCTGAACTGTTGGTCCGACCTCGATCCAACCGACTACCATAGTCTAACATCTTCAGTTTAAAATGTTGACGGTTTGCATGCTGTTGTACAGGCTCAAAATAAGCTCCCTTGTCCTGCTCAGTCGTCTGAAGGCAGCACATCTTTGCAAAGTGTGAAGCAGTATTTTCAAGATGTTTCTTCAAAGTGCATTCAGCATTCTGCTGGTAAAGTTTTGCCTGGTATATTGCCCAGATAATTACCACCGCTGTGAGCAAATGCCAGCTGTGCCGTTGCTCCATGTTAAATTACAATGTTTCTCTCACGGAAATATGCACTATCCCGAACACATGACCTTCTTCCTGTATCTACTTTCTTGCTACCGCCCCAGACATATGTGATCAATAAGCAGAATAAAAATGTTCTCACATGGTTTGTAAGTGATTTTTCTGTGCAAAAAGAAACCAAACCAAGGGGGAAACTCATTAACGGATTCAGACCACAGCAAACAAACTACAGGGCTAGAAACACCCATACACTAATAAAGGAGTCTTGTGCACTTGTATCCACTCTTTAAAAGAAATATACTGTTCACTATGTCTATATCTTGCTCATCCAAATAAAAAAATCAATTTAGGATATAGCATTTTTGCATATTTATACATGTTAATATATTTATTGACTTGAACTATCTCCTACACATGATCTGCCCTCTAAATCTGAGCTGCAGATGGAGGAGCAGTGCGCTCGTCTGACACAGGTCAAATAAAAGTATGATTGGAGGCAGGTGGATGAAGCTGTGCTCTTGCGGTTGAAAAGGCTCATGGGAGCTTGTCAAAAGACTGATGGAAAACAAATGAAATGGAGAGAAATCGCCGGTTGACTTGGGATTGCGTTATTAATACTGCAGAAATGAAAGGTGGGCAGCCCGGGACTGTAACACAGGTTATTTAAAGTTAAAGTCTGCTGTCTGTGGGGAAGAGACGCTGACTGTGAGGTGACGTGTGTGCTACCAAGGAACATGAGGAGGATGATAATTATTAGAATTTTTATTATTATAGTAATAGTAGCAGTACTAATACTTTTTTAGCAGACCAATACCTACTTGTACCATAGTACAAGTAATATTAGGTATTACTGTTGCTGCTTTTATTTAATTATTAAAGGGTTTGCTCAGATTTATTGACACAAATTGAGTTTATATGCTGGCAGTGATATTAACATGAGATATGAGGCTAGTGGTCCTATAAAACAGAGATTTTCTCTCCAGGCAGTGGCTTGCCAAAAAAGAACTTAATGAGAACTGGGCTAACAAACATTTTAAGGCACAATAGTGGAAAACACATTATCTAGGTGCTGCTCATCTCATCTAGCAGATCACTGCTAATTCAGTCCCCAGCTGGTCAGACAATAACGAGCAGCAGCATCAGTTTACAGCCTGAAAGCTAATTCAATGAAAGGTAGCGTGAGGAGCAAACAAGCCCCACTGCATCTCCTTCTGTTGTGGTGGTACCTCTTCCAAATTTAGAACAAATTTGCTACCTTTCTTTGTTGTATGATTGTAAATTGAATATATTTATAATGTTTGTTTGACAAAACAAGAAATGTAGTTTAATTGTGATAGTGTGTGGGACATTTTTCACTATTCTCTGACAAAAGAGGATCATTCAGTATATATTTTCATGAGATGCAGCCCTATATTTAATGTGATAATAATATATCTATGTAACCCCATTTTAGAGAAGTAAATTAAACTAATTCAGTGTCACTGCCTCAAAGGTATTATTCCTTTGTATGAAAAGATGAGAGACAAGTTATGGCTCAGTTATGGCCCTCAGTTCTTAAACTTTATCAGCCAGGGAACGTTGCGTTTCCTTCTGCCGTCGGAGCCTCGGTTAAACAAAATGTACTGACCCTCCTCTACGACCAGAAATACAGGAACAGACCTTTATTTTCTCATTCACAGTTAAATCCGCCGTTTTACCGAGAATATTCTGGACTGCGTCTTGAAGATTAAGGTCACTGGTCTGAATGTGTAAAGTGTGATTGTTGAGACTGAAGAGAAAGGAATCATCAGGGACAACTTCCCTGGAGGCCACATCTAAAACTACTTTAATATACTGCTGTGTGTGTACTTGTGTCCCGGAAGAGATCTAACAAGGTCTCTCTCTTTCTGTCTCTCAGACACCTGGGTCTGGACCTGGTGCCAAGAAAGGAGTTTGAGATGGTGGATGAAGACCAGATAAGCGTGTCAGATCTTTATAAGATGGTAAGACCTTTAACGTAGTGCAGGAAGTCTCGACTGTTCACACACTGGAAAACCTTAGGGGACTGAGTAATCCCACCTGAGGTGAGGGTATCTCGTGGGAGCAGACCTGAAACACCCACTAATCCCGGATTACATCGCCATTATGAGTGCAGTAGAAGATAAACACAAAATCCTCGTAACTTTGGCCCAAGTCTGAAGGAATGGGGTCTTTGCAAACAACGTTACCAACAGTCAATTCCCGAAAGAGATGCACCATTAAAAAGAAGTGGTAGAGGGTTTGCTTACATAAACAAAAATTATAATTTTAATCCTGTCCTTTAAGTCCTTAAATTAGAGATGGGTTCTGATAGCTGGTTCTATTTTGGATCAGGATTTGTTAAGGATCTCGCTTTTAGCTGACGCTGGTCGCTGGTCAAAATGACAAACAGGTATATTTCATGAACAGTTGAGAGTTTCTGCTGCTCGTTTCATTTCAGATGGTAGATTCAGACTGTGAACATCAGTCAGGCTACTAATTAAAACTACTCCTACCTTCTTAGCCTTCAAAAGCTGATTGGAGGTCTTTGAGTTGGAGTTTAGCCTTTAACTACTTTTACGCGTTGAAACCAAATAATATGATTCAAAGGATTTGGATTCAGTAAGTTTCTATATGTATACTGTATATACTATATTTGAAATGCTAATACACCCTGTCTCTAGTTCTGACGGTGCAGCAGGGTTATCATTTTACATCAAATAGAAAATATTCCATTGTTTTTCACTATATATAAAATATCAGGACATAAAAGAAACATTAAACCTGCAGTGACATAAAAAAAGATCCCTACCGGTTCACCATGTCTGTGAATGTCTCCACAGACGTATTTAAAAATAAATTTGCTCTTGCAGTGAGAGGCTTAATCAACTCGTTTGGCGAGGGCTTGACTGTAACTGATGTTCATTGATATGTAACAGCACTGTGGCTTTGATTACTGTAAGTATGTAATGAATGTTATTAGACCTTCTCAGCGATCAAATATTTTCAGCTTGTCAGTGAACAATAATAAAGGACCTGAAGGAATCAAATCTATTAGAAACAAAAAGCTGATGTGATTGTATATTTACACATTAATTACATTATTTATTTATTTTCTTTTTTAACATGAGGAAACAGGATTAGATCACATTTTTCTGTATTGATCACGGTGGTGACAGCTGGCTGGATTTGAGAGTGTGTTGAAACTGCAGTTGGTGGGGAGCTTTTTTCCAATCAGAGCGCAGGTACAGTGAGGTTTGAAGCCAGAAGCCTCGGCGGCTGTTGCAGTAATCATGGAGTGATTGGTACAGATCAAGAGCTCCATCACCTTTCTATATAGATTTTACAGAAACTGTGGTTTTACAAAAAAGATTACAAAAATAATATTTTAAAAAATTGTGTAGCCAAGGGAAGATTTGTTTGTCTGCTGTAAATCAGCCACCTGTTGGTGTGTTTTGATTCTCTCTCCTGCTGGCCACCCCCTCGTTCCCTTCATTCCCCCGGCTTCAGTTGTTTGTCCTTTATTTGTGTTGTATGTTTTGTTTTGTGTAAAATGCTGCACACTCACAACTGCTGCCTAGCAAAAACTCTATTTATATAAAGAATACCACTTTATTGCACGGGTGATGCAACTCCCATCCCAGATATCTCTACATGTATGAAATTAAGGCTATCTGAGCATCTACGTTTTTATTTTCAGTTTTGTCACCAGGAAGTTTCCACAGTCCCCTACTGGTGGCTTCATCGGGGTACTTCAGACCACTTCAGTAGTAGTTCAGCAAATCAACATTCAAACATACTGTATATGATCTAAGGATGACAACCAATGAGAAAATATTTCAAATTACAATATGTTGTGGAAATTTCTATATTGCTGGTGAGGGATTAAGCAAATAATTGAAGAATTTATTAATAAAAAGAGTACTACAATTTTAATCAGCTGGGCCAGAGGTTCTGTCTCCTAGGACAGTCTGGGATGCATAATCATTTACACAGTCTAGGTTTCTATGTTTTGGGGAACAGAGATCCTCTCCAGGCCTTGAATTCAAGGAGAGGAGAGGAACAGCAATGAAAGAAAAACACCAAAACAATCTCACAGCTTTGACCTAAACCCTAGTAAATGTGGACAGACTTACTAAGGAGTGTAGAAGGAAAGGTCAATAATGAAAAATACAATAGATACATATATAAGGCCTAATCAATAATAAGACATAAACAATAATACTAGTAAAAATAACAATAGTAAAAGAACATGCATAAAATATTAAATGTAAGAGAAAACAATTTTCTGCCATAACACAATACTGCTATTGTAAAATTTGTCATTTGTAATGACCCCTTAATGATTCTGCTCACAAAAACACAGTGAAATGTCACAAATACAAGTTGAGAAATTATGTCAGAGATACTTTTGCATTTTCTTTCATCTTTAAATGTCAGGAACTAATGGATTTTTGTTTGTTTTGTTCATATGTCAAACATAGACATTACTTGAACAACAAGAAATATGGTATAACTTTATTAATACTTTTGTTCTTCATATATCAACACGTCCTAATATAGAAACAACCGAATAGGTCGATAGTTGATGTCTTCAAAACGACCAATATGAGTGTTTTCTGTTCCAAAAACCACAAAGTATTTCCAACGCTAATAGCAAAAACGAACACACGCTGGTCTCTTTGGGTGAAAGACGCCTAATGATCAAACGATCTGCCCAACCCATCCCCTCCAAAATAGGATTTTTTGGGTTAGTTATATCGTTAAATCTAGTTTTTTCCATGAAATTTCATATGTACATGGCTGAAGAGGTCGCTCAAAATGCAAAATTTGGTCATTTTAAGCAGTTTAAGGATCTGTGTTGCTGTTTTTTGGGTGAGGACAGACTGCATATGTCCATAGTATGAATAGATAATCTGTGAGCCAGTTTGGGTAAAATTTCCACGTCTGTTTTTAAGAAATATTGAATAAACAACAACTGAAGCTACTGAATGTAGGTGTGAGTTGCTGCAATGTGAGTTATTCTTGTTGTGGATGGTCTATTGGTACTACTTGATGTTATGTGTCTTACATCAGTCCTGCTTTAAATAGCTGAGCTGCAGCAGTCAAACACCGTAGTCCTGGTGATTCCCCCTTTGTTCAGTTGCCTGGAGACTGATCTGGAGACAGGATGAGAGAAAGAGGAAGAAACAGAAACGCAGAGAAGTGGTGAAGTTGATAGATGGTAGGCTGGAAGGTGGGAAAGAGGAAAAAACATGATGTTTGTTGAGGATTTGTTTTCCTTTGCATCAGACCCAGAATGTTTTCTTTATACAAATGTAGAGTGATGAGAATAACTAGAACAAATAAAGACAAACAAAGAATGTTACACAGATGTGAAATTATAATTCATTGCTTCAGTGATGGTCAATTTCCTTGTGTTTCGGTCTCAGGTCAAAACACAAGATAAGATAAAATTAAACTTCATTGATCCCTACGGAGAATTTACATAACTGCAGCAGCAGCAGAATAAGATTCAGCAGTGGAGACAGAAAAACAACCAGAATACAAACTTTCCACATTAACGCAATAGGAAATCAATGAATTGCGAGATAATTCAGTGTTTCCAAACATATATAACCAAATTAAACATTAGAAAATGTCAATTTGTCATCAATATATCATTTCTGGGTAATGAAATAATTTAGTTATAGCAACATTACCATTAACATATGAATAAGGCGGCCTCTAGAAGGAGCTATGTACATAATGTGCAAATGTATTTTGTGTTTGCCGAAAGTATTGAAGCATAAAACATTTCTGATTGGTTACCTGTCAAACTTCTATGTTATGAAAGCAATGAGAGAGTGGCTGGTGTTAATTTTCTGCTCAGGTTGGAATATTTGCAGATGGTTTGCATTTGACATTCATTACTTCAATTCATCAAACAGTTTTTCACTTCTCGCTCCCTCTCTTCTTATACAGCCACTAAGAGATTTAGAGAGACAAGTCGGGGTAATGAGTCTCTGGGGCGTTTAAGCATTTTCATCATCTGAGCGAGAGAATGAAGAGAACAGAGTAGAATACAATAGAGGAGAGCAGAGCAGCCAATGGCAGAGCTGGAGAGGAGGAAGAGAGGAGATGAGAGGAGAGGGAAGGAGATAAAACAAGGAGAAGATAGGCAACAAGTAAAGGAAACAAGGAGAAGACAGGAACAAAAGGAAAGTGAAGAAAACAGGGACAGGAGAGGATATGAAACAATAGAGGAGGAGGGGGAGAAGAGGTAATGAGGAGAGGATACAAGACAAGGAGAGACAGCAAGAAGAAAGGAGGGAACAAAGAGGGGATGTGAGGAGAGAAGAGGAAACAAGGAGAAGATAGGAGACAAGGAGAATATAGGAAATATTGGAAATGAGGATAATTAGGAAATTAGGACAGAAAACAAGGACAGGTGAAGATAGGAAACAATGAGAGGAGCGGAAACGAGGCGAGGAGAAGACACGAATAAAGGATACAAGACAAGGAGAGGAGAAGAGAGGAGAGGAAACAAAGACAAGATACAAGAGAAGGAGAGAAGACGGGAAGAAAGGAGGGAACAAGGACAAGGAATGTGAGGAGAAGAGAGGAGAGGAAACAAGGAGAAGATAGGAGAAAAGGAGAAGACAGGAAATGAGGATAATTAGGAAATTAGGAGAGAAAACAAGGACATGAGAGGAAACGAGGAGAGGGGAAGATACGAATAGAGGATACAAGACAAGGAGAGGAGACGGGAAGAAAGGAGGGAACGAGGAGAGGGGATGAGAGGAGAGAAGAGGAAACAAGGAGAAGATAGGAGACAAGGAGAATATAGGATTGGAAATGAGGATAATTAGGAAATTAGGACAGAAAACAAGGACAGATGAAGATAGGAAACAATGAGAGGAGCGGAAACGAGGCGAGGAGAAGACACGAATAAAGGATACAAGACAAGGAGAGGAGAAGAGAGGAGAGGAAACAAAGACAAGATACAAGAGAAGGAGAGAAGACGGGAAGAAAGGAGGGGACAAGGAATGTGAGGAGAGAAGAGGAAACAAGGAGAAGATAGGAGAAAAGGAGAAGACAGGAAATGAGGATAATTAGGAAATTAGGAGAGAAAACAAGGACATGAGAGGAAACGAGGAGAGGGGAAGATACGAATAGAGGATACAAGACAAGGAGAGGAGACGGGAAGAAAGGAGGGAACGAGGAGAGGGGAGGAGAGGAGAGAAGAGGAAACAAGGAGAAGATAGGAGACAAGGAGAGGAGTGGAAATAAGGAAAGTTTGGAAATGAGGAGAGAAAACAAGGACAGGAGAGTAAACAAGGTGAGGAGAAGAGACACGTTGAGGGTACAAGACAAGGAGAGACAACGAGAAGAAAGGAGGGAACAAGGAGATGGATGGGAGGAGAGAAGAGGAAAGAATGAGAAGATAGGAGACAAAGCGAGGAGTCGAGGAATGTGAGGAAATTAGGAGAGAAAACAAGGACAGGAGAGAATAGAAAACAGAGAGGAGAGGAAACGAGGAGAGGAGACCAGAGAAGAGTAAAGGAAGCGAGGAGAGGAGAGAACATGATAATTAACTTCCTACTTAACTACTTTCTGTCTTCCACAGCACCTGTCCAGCAGACACAGTGTACAACAGAGCACCACACAGGTACGTATTAGATACCGCAGTAAAGTCTATGTATTTCATGGGTGTTAAATACTACACTCGTGTACTATACCGAAGTACAGAGATACTGGTATATTTTGTGATACTCAACTACATTTGTCTGATACACCTAATAACAAGTCAAAACTACAGAGTTAGTGTTACTATACTTTAATAATTCAACTCAAAGACAATCACATGTTGTACTTTTACTATGTTTCTGAGGTGCTTTATATCATTAATACTTCAGTAAACATTTGAATGCACGGTCTGGACATTAATGACAATATTTTAGGGACATGTAGCCCAAAATTAGGTCAGACAGCACAAATAAAATAAAAGTTTTAACACACATGGTGATTTATTCCAACCAATACATAAGGAAATACTCACCAGAAGCCACAACATACGCTGTGGTCTCCTGTTGGCCACAGAGCAGTCAGGGATTTAATGCCTTGCTAAATGGCATCCACATGCTTAGTTTTAAAGGAGGGTAGAGCAATTTAATTTCTTAACCTGGCAATCTTTCTGAAACAATCTGAGACTAAACAATCCAGCAAGTTAACACTTAACAAGGTGTTGAGAACTTTTTTGTTTGCAGTAACTAATGTTCCAGAGTTTATATGCTAATTTGTTATAAATATTATATTTCTGTAAAGGTTGCAAGGCCCACATAAATCTATCAATTTTCCAATAATGCTTGTTTCCCTGTGGACTTTCCAGGGTGACGGTACCCGGCAGCGACACGGGGAGCCGTGCAGAGTTCCAGTTCCTCACCACCTACTGGTCAACCTGAAGAGCTTCACCTACAACAGCATAGGAGAAGACACCGACATATTCTTCTCTTTGTACGACCTGAGGGAGGGGAAGACCATCAGGTAGAAATATACACTCACTGCTGCAAATCATGTGACTCTAATTTACTCATTTGCTGCTGAAGAGTGATCGCTGTGAAGTTCAGATAAACTCAAAATCAAATGCAAACTGGATCCAAAGGCTAAAAGATTTGAAGTTTGCACAGTCAAAAAATACCTTAACAAAAAGTGAGTTGAAGTCACACGATAAAATAGTAAATATGGTGGTATGTATATAATGGTGTAAACATGCCGCTCATTCAGACAGAAGTTTGTGTCTTAGCTTTTAAGTTGATATGGTGAACTTGTTTATCATCCACTTGAAGACATGTTTGTGTCACCTGATGAATGTGGGTCCAGTGTTCGCTCTGTTTTTAGTCTCCACGAGCTCCTGAGAGAAATATCTGGCTCTCTATCTACTAAATGCTCCACTATGTTCAGCAGCTCCTGTCTAACCGTGTCTGTCTGCTGTTGCTGTTTGCTGCTGAGCAGGCCTGTACGGTGGCTTTTTACAGCTTCTTCTCTGAAAGCGACGCTATGAGAGCGCTGAGCGTGAATCAAGAACAGTGATGTTGCAGCCGGACAGATAAACAATGAACTATGGGTACAAAGACGCATAAAGACAATTCAGCTGATGATTCTCTGCAGGTTCATCTTTACAGTTTTTTCACGGTTTTATTACATTTCTTGCATTAATATCATATATGGATTACAGGCTCTTTAAGTACAGTCAAAGCATGCATCTTTCCTCTCTCTGCTCTCTACACCCACTCTCTCTCTCTCTCCCTCTCCCTCTCACCTGACATATTGCCTTCATAATAAGGAACAAATCGTGGCAAGTGGCCACACAGAGCTGCTGTAAATAATACATGACCCCCCCGCCCAACATAATGAATGCACATTAATTATGCATTAGTGGAGCGATCACAACTGGTAGGAATTTCTAATGTCAAATATGAGGTTGATGAAAACTATGTATGAGCTGTGGATCACATCTCATATCATACACCTCACTAGCACCTGAGGAGACGTCTGAACGACCTCAGACATTACACCCACAGTTTTTTTTTTTTATAGCCTTGTGCACAGTGGTTACACAGGCGTTAGGCACACGTGGTGTCGGCGATGAGTGTTTTATTCAGGTGTAACACTAACATGTTAGCACCATCGCCTGTGCCGTAGCGTAACGCTAAGTCTGTGGAAATTATAGGTGTCAGAGGCTGGTCAGATCACAGAGGTCTTACTGGTGTGCACGTACGATCCACACCTCATAACTACAATGACTTAAGTGTGTGTGTGTGTGTGTGTGTGTGTGCTTTGGAGGTATGTAGCAAAGTGCAGTTCAGCGCTGGGTCAATGAGAATATTATACACAAATGTTTAGTAGAAAGTAGAAGTAATGCCTTTTTAGTGTGTGTGTATGTGTGTGATAGAGAAAGAGAGGAAATTGGTCCCTACAGGAAACCGACGGGGGTTTAACAAACAATCCGTTTTTGTTCATTTTATTTCTGTCTTTTCATTGGAAACCGACCAGCGGCTCTGTCCTCTCACACACACACTCACACAAATACGTTTGACCTTGGCGTGTTTTCAGTGTCTAGTCTGACTCAGCATTGGAGTCTAATGACAAGACCTGCTCCTCTGAGACGCTCAGATGGGAGAGGAGAGTGGAGAGGAGGACAGAATAGAGGAGGTGGGGGGAGAGAGGAGGAGAGGAGAGGAGAGGAACTGGCCGACAGTGACTTTCCAAGAAATCCTCCGGCTGTTGAGATTTTACTCACCCATTGAGACTGTTTGCCCTCAGAGCAGCTCTGCCTCTGAGAGTGATTCATGTTTGTTGTTTGAATGTGTGTACTTCATGTCTATATATCCCAGTGAGGACTTTAATGCACACTAACCCATGGGGACTCGAGTAGAGACGCTTTTTAGGGTTCAGGTTACAGTTAGGCTAAGGTTAGGGGTAAGGGTTTGGGATGAAATGAGATGTCACCACAGCAGTAGATGAACAAACATGCTTTTACATCTGCTGTTGTAAGTCCAGTAAGCACCATGGTCCCTCTGCAGTGGGGGGGCTGGGATCGTTTGGTGACTTCTCTCTGTGCATCCTTCCCCGAAGTCCTCAGTGTGTCTCTGAGTGGACTTTTGAGAGGAAACTGAAACTTCTTGTCTTTTGTCTTCTTGTTGTTTTTAGAACCTTCCTGGTTGTAATTTTGCATCTCTTATTTTTGTCTCATTTCTATGTTTGATTTAGGTTTTCAGTGTTGCTTGTTTGACTTTGTTGTAAGCACGTTATGAATCTTTGGTCAGCTGCAGTGCTGTAATAAAACTTTACCAGTCTTTCAGCAGGGTTACAGACTTACCAGCTTCACACTGATGAGACATTTAGACAACTAATTCTTTGTGTCTTTGTTAACATCTGGGCTAAAATGAGGCTGTCCAGAGTTTTAAAGTGGACGCTGTCTTGCTTGTCTAAACCCAGGTAATCACAAGTGGGCCAAAACAAAAACTTAAGATAGTCATTAAGTTTAGTGGGATTTTAAGTTTCTCACTTGGGACATGTAATTAAAGCTAAGCTAATTTTTTTACTAGTTCACAAAAGGCAGTGTTGGGGGTAACGCGTTACTGTAATCAGATTACTTTTGTCTGTGACGCAGTAATGTAACTCATTACTGTTGATAACTTCAGTAATCACATCACACTTACTAATAACAAAATCATTGTGTTACTTGCGAACTGGTTCTTGAACTATTGGCCTAACGGGAGGAGAGAAAAATAAATCAAACGTCCCTTTTCGTGTGTGTTTGCGTAACACTTTTCCAACCTCACTTTTGACTTTAGCGCCATTTCATGAGGACGCAGAAATGGCAGAGCTGCCAAAGACGTCTTTCGAGGGGTGGAGGTATTGTATAAGTTTCGCGAAAGGACAGAGATCCCCTCTAGTGCGCCTGTGGCGAGGCTCTTTAGCCTGGGCAATCTTGTGCTGACTCCGAGGAGGAACAGGTTGTCTGACAAACGATTTGAGAGACTCCTGCTCTTCAGGTATAACCACTCTTTGATAAGCATGTCCAGTAAGAGGGAAAAATCTAAATTAAAGCCAGTACATTTCATATGATATGTCTTTCCTTTGAAGTCTCAGAATCAGATGTGTAATCCATCCACATCCTTTGAGTAACTAGCCCAACACTGTTTACCAATAACCTGTAATAAATAAGAAACTACATAAAATATTTGACCTGCATGCTGCGACCCTCAGTTATTTAGCTCTTCCTTCCTGGTTTCAGGACTTAACTTTGTTCTTCTTTTACGAGTAGTAAAGTCTTTTAACACTCCAGTCATGATTGCAGAGCACTCTCTGTGTTCTGTCACTAGCTTCAAAATCTCATCTCCACAAGAGACTCGCACACAATAGGCACAGGAGTCTGTTCTCACTGAATCACTTCCCTTCTTCTTTTCACTATAATGTTCTCATCACAGAAGCATGAATGGTCTCTTTATCTTTTTTTGATCCTTCCCAACAACTTGTTTCTTACATTTTACAGTGATCACAGGAGTCTGGGTGTTCGTGCTCCAGTGAGTGCATGTTCCTCCTCGGTTAACAGAGTCATCTTAACCTAAAGTAACACTGTAAATCTGTGCAAGGTGTCGTGAGAGGACGTTTGTAATGGAGTTCAGTGATGTTTAGCTGTTGAATCAATGTTGCATTGAAATGGCTTCACTGTGCTGAATTAGAATAGAAAATCTTTATTATTAACAATACAACATTTTATTTGTATTGCACTTTACACAAATCTCATAGGGCTACAAAGTAAAATCACAAAAGCAAGGTAAAAACACAGATATCAAAGACAGAGTAGTGCAACAACTGGCAAGGTTATTTAAAACTCATATGTTCTGCTAAAAAAATTAAACCAGCTTTGTTTTGAAATTGTATTTGCATAGCCCGACATCACATACAGTGGGATTTAAAGGTTTCCTGACTGAGCACAAGTTCCCTTAAAAGACTCATAAAATGTCTTAAAAAGTATATCTGGGTGGAGAAGAGACATTTTTGTCCCCATCACTTTTTAAAAGTATTTGTTTAAATGGTTCTGAAAAATAGCTTGCAACAGGAAATGTTAAATAACAAATGAAAATGCTTTGAGAAATGTTTGTTTGCACAATAAGACAACATGCAATTCAATGTAAATATCTAATAAACGAATGTACATTGTCCAAGACAGAAACTTAAATAAAAAAAACAAGCTGCTGATTTCTGCATTATATTCCATTATATTTTTATATTTTGAATTTTCACCTGCCAGCTGTATTTTGTATTTCCCTTTATATTGATATAGACGTTTCAACCATAAATTGGTGGAGATGTCTGGCTTAATGTCTTAAAGGAGGACCCCCAGACCTCCCAATCATATATCATAGTAGTTAATATTTATTCTAATCTCATCTTGTCTTATTTTCGTGAGCCCAAAATTGAGCGTTGTTACATCTCGTGAGGGAAGTGTATCAGTGTACCCCTAATCTTTTCAGCACAAAGTGACGCCCTTGAGCAGAGACGTTTACCCTGGTCCGGTGCAATAGGAGTAGATGCTCTACTTTGCCTCACTGTCGGGGCCCGGGGCCGGGATGCTGCTTACTCAAATACAACGTACATTGTCACTTGCAGTGGTGGGGGGGTTGGTGACAGCAGTGTTACAATTCTATTGTGACTTTTTGTTTGTATTATTAGGAATAAATCTTACTTATTACTTATTTTTGTTATTGCTATTGTTATTTTTGTGTTTTCTTCTTCTTTTTTTATCTCCCTTTCTCTCTCTCGTAGCTCCCCACCAGCCTCTTTGCCTCTCTCTATTATCCATCCACACACAAGATTCAGTGTTTGTTTGTTGATAAGTAATTTTGTTACTGCCGCTGTTATTGTTTTCATGTACCTGGATTTTTTTTTCTTTTTTCTCATATCTCGTTCCCTTTGTATCGTCATGTCTGTGTTGTGAATTTTGTCTTGCAATAATCATTTTTTTAAAAAGAGTAGATCGTAGAAATACAAATGTGGGTTTGGAATGTATGATTATTGGCACAATTCTGAGGTACAATAGGTGAAATTTGAAAGTCAGTGTACGGGGCAGCTTGGACGATATGCAGTATATGATGGACAACATCAGGGTGAGCAGTGAGGTTGCTGGTTTAATCCCGGTGAAATCAGGTGAAATCTGTGCAGAGAGAGAGATTAAATGTTTCTCACCTCCTCAAGAACTAAAACTCAGACTGCTGCACGCAGTGGATCTGCTCTGTGGTTGAGAGTGGAAGGATGTGGTTGGTCTGGGCTGCTCCCATGTGTAAATTTTAATTTACAAATTCCTCTGGATAAATTAAGGTTGAAAAGAGCATGGTCACACTGACTGTGTGTGTTTGTGTGTGTGCTGTGTTTTCCTAAGCTGAGGCCCCTCTGCTGCTGCAGATGTGGTATATTTAGAGGATGGATGGCAGCGGTGTGGAAATGATTGGTTGATGGTTCATATGCATTTCCACAAAGAGTGTGTGTGCATGTTGGTGCACCTCTGTGTACACCATATGTGCACATGACTGAGTGCAGCCATGCATTCACCCATCTACGGTACATCTGTGTGTGTCCATACATACATGCTAGAGTCTTAGTGTGCGTGTGTGTGTGTATGAACACATTTGTATCAAGCAGAACATTTCCTGATTGCATCCACGCTGTTAATGTTGCCTCCTTCATATCGATGTGGACGTAAAACTGTGTTAATGATTCAACTCTGGTTTTGTGTGTGTGTCTAGGTGAACAGTGAGTGTGTGTACTATGATTTATGTGCATGAGTGTGTGTCGTACATTTGTGCCAAGGGAAGGTTGTGTGTGTCGTGTGTGTGTGTGTGCGCGCGCTCATTTTGCTCAGTGAATCACTCTGACTCAATAAAAAATGACCAACAGGAAACAGGAGCTATGATTTGAATATGAAAACTCGCTCTTTCTTTGCACCCCACAGTCTCCCACCTACTCTGTCTCACACACACAGTCACACGCTCCTACTGTTTGTGAGAAATACATATTTATTCTCTTTTGTTGTGTTTGTTTGGGCCACGGTATCTCTAGGGGATTAGAATAAATTGTTTAGTTGAAAGAAGTTGGACATGGTGCGCGTTGTGGGGATTTGTCGGTCATCACTGCTGTTGTTTGCAGCAAAACTGTGCAAATATTAGCAATAACCTAAGAGTTGTGTGGGAGTAATACTGAATAATAAAGACTCTATGAGGAGCTTTTTTTCTAATAAGAAACAGCATTTTCCAGGACACATGTGAAATTAAATCCGCACAATATACCGCACACGTGTCACATTACAGCGATCATCGGTGTTGAGCAAGTAAAGCAAAGCACAATAAATACACCATAAAGAAGCGATAAACATTTTTTAAAGATCGTGTTAAAAGATAAATACGTAAATTGAACCAGGCAACAATTTATAAGTACATTCTTAGATGACTGAGTAAATCAGCCATTTATTATTCTGATGGACACAAAACCTCCCTTGGCTCTCAGTCTTGAATGTGAGTGATCTGTTTATCAGGCCTGAGGGTAGAAGTCTGTGATGGCTGTGCAGTGTGTGTGTGTGTGAGGAGCGTCTGAGGCTGTGTTCCTTTTAGTTTAATCCTTCAGGTGTAAATACTGATAAGTTGTTCCTGCTCCATGCAGTCCAATTATTTTACTGCTCATTGTTATGATTTTGTTTAGTGGCCCACACCAGTCTGATATATTGAATGTTAATGAAGATTCTATGAAACATTTGCACAAAGTGATCAGGACTGACTGGTGAACCTGAAGTCTGATTATACTGAACATTTTCCAAATAAACTTTAACCATCTGTTCTTGAGCAAATCTGATGATTGGCAGGGATGGTGACGTGCGGAGGTTGAGGACCCAAATGCAGGACACGAAGGCTGAGCAGATGCAGTTTGAGAGGTTTATTTAGACAAAAGGCGAGCACACTTTCAGTGAGTGGCAGGAAATCAAAAACAAATCCAAACAAACAAAGTGACCCAATAGAAACAGGTAATCCAAAAGAACTCAAAAGGCAAAATCCAAATAACCACGGAACATTCAGGACACGACACCTTCTCAAACTGCACTGACCGGACTCAGACTTAGGGACACACAGGCAATATAAACACAGGGTTAATGTGATCCACAGGTGAAAAACTGGAGGGACTAATCATGCACACAGACAGGCAGAGAGAAAGCAGGGGAAACAGACAGGACCAAACCAAACTGCAGAAACACAAACCAACACTTAGCAGACAAGAAAACTAATAATACAAATAAACTACAACCTAACAGGGAAAAATAATAAAAACACAGAACCAGGAGTAAATGCAAAGACATGAACTAAGACACAGAACTAAAATGCAGGACTAAAAACTAAGATCCGAGACAGGACAGGTACTAAGTGAACTAAACTGAACAAGCAAACGAACAAAAGAATCAACGAGGCTTAACGGAGACACACAAGACAAGGAACAAAACCCCCAATCATTCAGTGAACTTCAAGCAATAAAGTATTCTTTGCTCAACTAAATGCACTAAGATGATCTCAATTCTCCAGGTGTGCACTCAATTAAACATTTTTGAGTCTATCTTGCCTTTTTGTTGCTGCTCTGGCTGATATTTAAGCTAGTGCAGCTGTATCAACTACTGACTCTCATTTTAAATGGCTTTGTCCCTCTGTGTGCAGTACAAAGTAATTCTAATTTCTAATGTATGTTTTCAAAGAGCAGATAAGCTGGCAACAGTTGTACCTGAATGAGAAACAATTTCCCCATATCTCGTGTATTTCAGAATTCTTGAATTAGGACTCCTGTCCTTCTGTGAATTACATTTACATATATTCATTTGGTGGACGCTTTGGACCAAAGCGACATACAAATTAGGTACAATCCAAGCCGCGGTAGATCAAGGAGAAGCCTTAGAGAACAAGTGCCTCAACACTCAGCTCACGTTCCACATGACACAAGTGGAAAAAATGGGATTTGAGAAATAGATAGTAAAGGAGAGAGAGAGCGAGAGAATGCGTTAAGTCAGATAAGTACTCTCAGAAGAGGAAGGTCTTCAAGACAGAAACAGATTCTGCTGACTGAAACGAGTTTAGTAACTCTTTCCACCGACGAGGGAACACGCAATGAGGGAGTTCAGGCAGGTGGGTGCTGTGCTTGTGGCCTCTTCAGGCGAGCGTTATTGACTCAGACTTAATGCGAGCAGCAACAGGGATGGATGTTTCTAAATGCACTACACAGGTTCACTACCAAGCAGCAGCAAGAGAGACAGCAGGAGCAGCAGAGTCGTGGTGGTTGTTGGCCTCTAAATAGTGTCTATGTGATTGTTATAAGTGTGTGAGTGAAAGCTCCAGGTTTCCCTCTTATACCATCCAGGTGATCCATGATTCGTTACAACATGAGTGTGTGTTTTTGAGACTGGTCGTCCAACTATCCTGTGTCACAAACAAGCAGCCGATGAACAAACAACAAAATTTAATTTCTGAAAGAGGAAGGAGTAAAATAAATACAGTATCACACTGAAGATGACGAGGAACTCGATGCAAATCGTAGCACAAACCATATCTCCTGCTAAATGAGTCTGCTCTGAGTTTATTTTGGTACAAAATCTAGAAGCACTTTAATAAGTATAAGTGGAGCACAACACGGGTCATTTATTCTGTTTTCAGATGCCTCAAAGCCAGGTGGTGTTGTGTGTGTGAAGAGACTGAAAATCTGCAAATGTCAGTGGATTAGTGTGTGCCGCTCCTTCTTTTCAGAGTCACTTATGATTGGGGAAATCTTACGTGTCGAGGCTTAACTGTATTAATGTCAAGCACGCCATTATTGAATAAAAGCATGTTAGCTTAGTCACATTCCCCTCGATAAATACGGGTTAAAGAATAGAGTCGCTGACACCGGCAGACAATATTTTGCTGTTCCCTGAAGCGAAAAGAAGGCTGAGACGCCCCGCTTTAGAGTTTCCTCACTGCCGGTGCTCCAGAGGGAGAAGAGAGAAGGCATGAGAAGAAATCTTAAAGAATTTTATCTCTTTCAGAAATCCCCCGAGGAGATTGAAAAGGCTCCGGGGGTAAATTGCTAGCGGTTAGAGCAGAGTTTTCTTAACCGTGGAGTCGGTGCTGAGAAGCATATGCAGATGAGGTCACAGCGAACAACGATATAATGACATTGGTAGATGGGCTGAACTTTTAATTAAATTGTAATTAAAAATATAAGTCAGAATTCTTGAAAAGAGAATGAAAGGAACGTGTGACACTCAATTTTTACATGACAGCTTCAGCGCTACCTCACTATGATCATTATGAGACATAAAAACTGAATATTGCTGCAGAAAAGATTTAATCACAAGCTCAATCTCCAGACCAGACAGTGCGTCAGAGACCCCGAACACCCTCCGCTTGTTCCTCTTTAAAGTTATCTTAGGTCAAGGGTCAATTCAGGGAATCTCACTCACTGAAATTAAACCTTTTGCTCCAAAGTTAAAGACATTTATTTGTGTCATATTTGTGTTTTTCAGTGAGAAGTTCATGGTAAGACTGAACAAGAATGGAGGACCAAAGAATCCGGAGAAGGTGGACAGGCTGTGTGCACTCTTCACGGTAAAACTCTCACCCACAGACACATAAAATGTAAAACATGTGTTTAAAATGCAGGTGTTTGAGTGGTTAAAGAAGGGGAACTGTGAAGAATGTAAAAGAAAGGATGCATTGCCCCCTATTGCTCTGTTGTAGAATCAGCCTTGAGAGGAAACGGCTTCAGTCATTAATCTTGACATTTGCTGCATATCATCTCCCCCTTTTCCACGTTCTCTTCTCTTGTCTTATGATTCATTACTCAAAGAGTAAGAGAAAGGAAGCTGCAGTGCTGTATTTGAACTTTTCATCATCTTTTCATACATTTTCAGTTCCTGTGTTTTTTTGTTTCTCTTGCGCTCTGCAGGACCTGAGCAACAAAGACATGAAGAGGGATCTCTACATCATCTCCCAGGTCATCAGAACAGGTAAGCTATACAGTATGACATCCAGGAGTGGGTGGACAAAAAAATCAACAACACCTACACGATGTCATACAATCCAGCCCTGAAATAAAATAGAAACGTTGTGAAGTATATATTGTTGAGACTATCAGAGAAGTGTTGAGTCCACGGGTCATTTCTGAGGCTTGGACTATAATTAATATGTTTTTCAAAGAATGAAACATGTTAAAAGTTCATTCCCAGCTTAGTTTATGTGACATATATACACATATATACACATACAGTAATATATAGTTTCAGCTTTTTAAATCTTGTTTATTTCCAAGTCAGACACTTGAATGTGAAAGGATCCTTTTCCATGTCCAGTATTTCTCACTATACAACACATCCCACACACACACTTGCAGGTCGTATGCTGCTGAATGACAGTAAGAAGGGCCCTCCGCATGTTCAGTACCGCCGACCGTACGGCTGTGCTGTCCTGGCCATGAGCGACGTGCTGCAGACCATCTCAGAGCTCAAAGAGGAGAAAGACTTTGTCCTGAAAGTCTACACGTAAGTGGCTGCACACGCAGATTGTCAACATTCATGTGACATGTGATGTGAGCGCAATGAGTTTTGTTTTTCAGGTGCTACATAAGAGAACTTTATTTATAACCTAGCTACCTTCTGACTTCTGAAAAACATTTTAGCCTAATGGGTTAATGTTCTCAGGCTGATCATCTGCTGATTTAAGCTGATTTTACACAATGCTACACTGAGTAATCACACCAAAATGAATCTTAACGCTGTAGAACCCGACATTAAACAAGAACTCACAGAGAAATGGGTTCATAAAGCCATAGCTTTATTTATTTCGTATGGAGCAGAGCGTTATGTCACAGATGTAAGGGTCAGATCTTTAGTTGGTAGGTTTAGGAAAGTGATACCAAGCACTGTGAATGTAATTACCCTTTTGTCCTCACCTCATAAACAAACTTTTTCCTTTCAGAAAAACATCTTATTATCATAAACTGAACATGCTGGGGCAGAGAGGGAGAGTAGTTTGAAGTGAGACTTGATAAATGAATGTTATAGAGACGGTCAGAGAGGAGAGAATGGGCAGAAGGTTAAAGATAAGCGAGAAGGAGAGATAATTAAGCGGGTGGCATACGGTATCTTCTTATCATTGCCTCCTTCACCACTGACCTTTTCCTTTCTCTCTTCCCTTTTATCTCTTTATTGTTCACCTCATGTAACACTTCACCCTCTTATTTTCACTCTCTCTGGCATCGTGTTATGTAAAGGAGAGAGAGAGAGAGAGAATGACTTCAGACGGCCACTTCACTGTTTTGTCACAGAATAGTCTCTGCAGTCTCAAAAAGCCTTCAGCATTCTTCTCTGTCTCAAACACACACCAGGGAACCCCCCTTTGGCTGAAACTTCTGAAGCTTTGCCTGCAGGAGCCCCACAGTGCTCACAGTCACAACATGATGTAACTGTGACTGTGTGTGTGTGTGTGTGTGTTCAGAGCAGCCTTAGCTGAACTCCTGAGGATGCTTCATGGGTGGTTACACATCGTCTCTGTGTACCCCAGGCTTCCTGTTTCTCAAGCTTCCTGTGACGTCGATGTGACTGAAAGTGCTGCTTAATATGTTGCTGACGCCAGACGACAATTCGGCTCTTTATAGTAATAAAAAAAATTAAACCAGCCCAACTTCTGTCCGTGTGGAGGTCCAGCTAGTTCTGCTTGACTCCAAATGCTGTTTTAGCTGCAATTCTATAATATAAACTGTTCTATCCAGCAGAGGTCTGAGAGTAAGGGAAGCAACATGTTGCCGATGTAGTCAGGCAAGTTCAGCCATTTATTGTCTAATTAGACACAAATAAACAGTTACAAGCTTTTCTGCAAAGATAACAGATAATCAGCAACAAAGAAAATCAACGTGAGGCAGAGAAGAAAGGGAAGGGCTATATCAGCAAATCAGCAAACAACCTTCCTAGCCTGACAGGTCCCTACCAACTCACTACAGCTGCAGCAGCACTCTGTTGCATTCTCATCTGCATGAAGCATCAATCAGCCTTTTGATGTTTACATAATAACAAGTAGGGGGACCGCTCTGACATTTCTTAGGCACTACTTCAGAACATTTTACTGGTAAAAAGACAAGACAGCCGTGTTCTTAAAGGTCCAGTGTGTGATATTTAGGAGGATCTGTTGACAGAAATGCAATATAATATCCATAACTATCTTTTCAGTGGTGTATAAAGACTTTACATAATGAAGCGTAGCTTCTCCTGCTCGCTTGGAAAGAGAGCGGTGAGCGGTGATTGATGGTGCATTCATGTAGTATCAGAATAATCTTCTTTCTAATCTTTTTTCCTCCTTAAATCTTTATTGCAAAAGAGTAATGAAGTGTTCACGGGACATAAAGAAGCATACAGAACTTATTACATATACATATTTTGCAAACCTGTAATGTGTAATATGGTTATAACGGTTAGTTTGCTGTCCATATAGAGTGAACTGGATACACTAATAATGTTAATCCAACACATCTTTGTTGTAGCGTCCATGTTGATTCAAACTTAAGTGCTCATTAACACGTACTGAAGTCGGAAGAACGACTTCACAACTCGGGAAATGGGACCATACGAGGAGCACATGAATGCACTGTGAAGCGCTGGTTGCAATTCACAAACCTTACCACTAGATGGCACTAAAACGAACGCACACAACCTTTAACTAAGCCTCTCCAAGGGATTTTCAATATTGTTAGAAACATGAGTCACAAACACATTTCTGATTAGTAAAGTGTTTCACTTTCTTGTTCTTCAGGTGTAACAATGAGAACGAATGGTACCAGATTCACGAGAACATCATCCGCAAGTCCAGCACCAAATACACGGCCCCAAGCACCAACTACGGTAAGAGTGTTTGTGGTTTTATCAGCCTTGTGTGCAGATCTGTGACTGTTTGTGTTTCCTCCCAGGTAACACAACATTAATAATAAATACCTCACTCAACCTTAAAACTGTTTTCTTGCCTTAGGTGTGTCTGCGTCTGGTGTCTCTGTTTACTCTCAGTCTCTTCCGCATTTAGTATCTGTAAAAGTCACCTTGTTACTTCTGTTGGAGCACACGGCACACAGATTTGTTGAGTTTAGCAACTCTAGCAGCACTAGTGAGGAGGCACTCACTCCGACACTAATAAAGTTAGTTAGACACACAAATACAGGCTGCATAAAGTCAGCCCCAAAACAAACACAAACCTCCAGGAGCGTCTCATCCAGTTTGGAGAGCAGCACGCACCCTGACTGACACGTTACTTGACATCCGCTGGAAAATTATCTTAATTAGTGTCACTGCAGGGAACTCTCGGCCTCCTGTGCCCTCTTGTTAGAGCCTGTGAACTCCTGTGGCCCCACAAGTTCATGTTTTTGAATGGAGGTTGTAACCGATGTTATTTTCACATTTGGCTCTGAGTTTATTACAGCTCTCATCTTGCGTTTTCAGGTGACAGGAGTTACAGGATATTTTGTTTTAGACAGTTAACGTCCCTCAGGAGAAACCAGACTCATTGTAGTCAAGATGCGCTTAATTGTTTTGTCCCGGTTATGGAAAATAAAGATGAGATCAGGTGAAATTTCACAGCAGCAAATTCCTTCTTTTGTCCTTTTTACCCCTCACCTCTCCATTTCTACTGCTCTCCTCCCTCTCTGTGTTTTATCCTTATCTCTCTCTTCTCCCTCTCCTACTCGTTTCTCTATCTGTCTTCTGTTTCTCTGCCTTCCTCTTCCTCCTCCTCCCTCCATCCCTGCAGGTCTGATCATCTCTCTGCAGCTGCTGAGGGGCGACATGGAGCAGGTCCGCAGAGAGAACCCACTCATTTTTAGCAGGGGGGTGGCAATGACACGCAAACTGGGCTTCCCAGATGTCATCATGCCAGGTGAGTCACGCCACACGGACCAAAAAGATGTGCAACATAACTTACGTTTTTGTTTTTGGTTTTTTTTTAGAGGGACAAGAGTGAATCGCAATGTAATGCAAGAACTACTGAATCCATTAATGTTTGTTTGCATCCATTTGGATCTTTCTTTTGACTCTGTATGGACTGGACGTGTTCACATTACTTGTCCATGTACAACACGAGGACTCTGACACTAAATCAGCTCATTTTAATTTAGTTGTTTACACCTGTGCTTTTCCTGGAGGTCTTCTGTAAAAAAAAAAAAAGGCATCTGCACCTCAAAACAAATGTGTCCTGTCAGTAAATGTAATTTAATTTGGTAAACCCAGAAGTTGAGTTGCTAACCAATATTTTTAGATTTATAGATTTTAGAGACATAAATTGTAAACTTTAGAACCCAGCAAACTTTTTGGATAAGCGGTGAAACATGTCTGCATCACAAGTATTTACTATCTTGTTTGTTTGTTTGTTTGTTTGTGTCATGTTATTCACTTTGTAAGAGAAGATACCAATTTCTAGTGCTTTTACTAGTGCTCTTTGTGATTATAAGAAAACTCTCTTTGCTTTTAGTTGGGCTGCTGTAGTTGTTGTTTTGTTCAGTCTTTTTGGTTAAAACAAAACAAGTACACAGAAATGTAAAGCAAGGAAAAGAATAACAGAAACAAAATAAAGCCAGGGGGAAGGCTACAGGCTGCAGGTTTTTACCAAGAAGGATACATATTTAAACAAAAACACCGACTGTTTATTCACTATAAGAAATAAGAGATGTAAATTATGTTTTCATTAACCAGAGCAGGAAAAAAGTGTTTGCTGTTCTTGTATTTAAATTCTTTCAGTTATGTTTGTGAGAAAACAAATTTGTTTTCCCATTTGGAACTGAGGTTCAGTTTCCTGGTCAGATTAACGACCAGTTTGCTGCAAGCTGATTAAGACACTCTGAAACATTTCATCTACCAGAAAGACACACGCGTGTCTCTGTGTGTGTGTGTGTGTGTGTGTGTGTGTGTGTGTGTGTGTGTGTGTGTGTGTGTGTGCAGGGTCTGAATGAGGCCGTATATCATACTGAAGTACCGGCTGGATTTACATGCAAAGCATCACTCAGTTTAGCGTCTGCGTCCACGGAACATACCGTAGCTATAATTTAAGTTTAACAGAACTGCACTTTCCAATAGCTGCTCAGTAAAACACGAGCTGTTACAGAGAAACAGCTCTTTGTATTTTGTATACAGACTTAGAAAAGGTCAAAATTAGATGGCAGGGTGCTTTAGTTTGTCAGCTTGTTAAACACAAGACGGCTGTTGGTAATTGCAGTAATTAGCACAAAGTCACAGAGGTATTATACTTCTAACAAAAGTGTTAGTTAAATGCAAAAGTAGAAGGATATAAACAAAGCTCAGATTGAACACTCGTCAAACAAACACCCTCTGCTTTTAATTCATTTTAATATCTGCAGCCTCTCCTTCAACATCATCTTACAAAAAAAAAACATGTCAAATATATATAGATTTATTTTGTAATTTCATCATTCATGTCTGGACTGAACAGGGTCTAAATTGTGTTTATCATTTGTGATATATTGCATTTAATACCGGGCTTACAGTTTATAATGGTCAGGTTATAATACCATATAGATACAAGATACAGAACCCTTTCAACAATCTCAATAACCAATGGGATCAACACTCAAACTGCCCTGAGAGAAGGAAACAGCTGCTTTTTCGTAGCACCTACACCCGTACCATATGCCTTTTCCCGCCTCTCTCACATACATTAACCATGCACGTCACGCACCCCCCTCCCCTCGGGCAGTGATGGAGCGAGTATTTAACTCCCATCTCGATACAATAAGGGTCTCCTCTATAAGGACAAGCTGAAATGATAAATGAATCCGCACACGTTAACACCGGTCATCAGTCTTGTGTATGGCAGAGGTATTCAGCTTTAAATGTGTGTGAGACCCTGTGTGCCTCCAGCTGTGTCTTTAATAGCCAGGTCTTTATCAGGTGTAAGAAGGTATAGGTGACACAGACCAGGCTGTGGGGAAGGCAGCTTGTGTTTGTGTATCTGGACTTTTGTAGTTTAACATTCTCAATACCTGTTTGTGAGGCTTGTTTTTACATTTTGGCGTCATAACATCTCTAAGGTGAAATGCGAAACAAACTGTAAGGTTCTGTCTGTCTCTTTGGGCCCGTTCTGGTCACAGGTGACATCCGTAACGACCTGTACTTGACCCTGGAGCGAGGCGACTTTGAGAGGGGAGGGAAGAGCGTTCAGAAGAACATTGAAGTCACTGTCTATGTGCTCTACGCCGACGGAGAGATCCTCAAGGTAGCTGCCTTACGCCCCTCATGGCACAAAGCTTGACTACACTTCACTGTGTTGCTTTTTGTTGCTTTGTCCACAGTCATTTTTCTTGTGGTCAGTTCTTGAAAAGCCTCAGGAGGCAAAACATTTCACAGCAAACACAGGGAATCATCAGTTAGAAGAAGGAACTTGTCTGGTACATTTAGCTTTGCTGTTGTTTACTATTGCTTTCCACCAATGGACATTTCATAACCTTGTTCCCATTTTGTGACAGTTAGCAACCAAAGTAGCTTCTTAGGGCAACAACATCTCGCAGACAGTTCTAATTTCAACCACCAGTGAACCATTTCCACACGTACACAGAACATGATGTGGCCGTCACAGACGCAGACTAGATGATGCATTAAAAGTTCAAATTAGGTATTGAGCTGATCATGTTCTGCACCCCATTTAAGGGAGTTTGCCCCGATCTTACTGTTTCATTAAAAGCAGCACATAAGCACAGCCACGTGGAGGAGGGTTGTTCACTTCTACTGTCAGCACATTTATGAATACCACATGAAAAATAATTGCTGCTGCAAAGCTAACACGCAGAGGGGGCGAGACGGTCTCAGAGCCAGCACGCCAGCACCCCAGCTCCAGCGATACTCACAGCTCTCCTGCTACCATAGCCAACATGACAACAACACCATGTCTCGGAGAGCTAGAAAGTCAGCTCGATGTCCGTGGGCGAGTCATTTAACATTACTTGACACACAAATCATGGCTGGAACTGCTGGAATTGTTGCTGCTGTTGTTGGAAAGGTTCAGTGGCTCTGTCCCTGTGTTGGATTAGAATCACATGTCCCACCTTTAATAACTTTGAATTAAACAATAGTAATGCCAGATGCATTTACTTGTTCAGACGTGCAACACAACACACAAGAAAATCTTTCTGCACCAAACATTTTGTATGAATTTATAATTAATTAATTAATTAATATAAAATTTCACTGAGCCAGTCCATCGTTCAAAGGCATTTGTATTAACATAGATATGTAGACCATTTCTCTCATATTTAAATAACCTAATCCCAGCTGTCCTCTATTCTTTACATTGCTAAAAATTCCTCCAACTAAATAATACCGTTGCACAATGAACATGTGCACGTGTCAGAGACATCCATTGTCTCATGCAGTTAGGTTTTCTGCAGAGCTGCATGTTAATGTCCTCGTCTCTGTTTGTCTCTCTGCCTCCCCCTGCAGGACTGCATCTGTCTGGGTTCAGGTGAGCCCAGCGTGCCAGAGCATCGATCCTTCGTGCTCTACCATAACAACAGCCCCCGATGGAGTGAAGTGATTAAACTACCGATTCCTATCGACCGTTTCAGAGGTTCCCACCTACGCTTCGAGTTCAGACACTGCTCCAGTGAGTAACTTACTCTTACTGTAGTAGTTCAAGTAGGCTTTCATTGTCATTTCAATCATACACACAATACACAGTGAAGTGAGACAGTGTTTTGCCAGGATCATGGTGCCACATAAGTACAAAGTGGAAACAGGACTACATTAGAGTGCGCAAACATTAGAGCAGTACGTGTAGACACTACGTTTTGACAAAAACAACAGACAGAAAGAGCTTTGGAGTTTGTATGCACACGTGGAGGTGTTTGTACATGGGAGCTGAGATATTTTTAATACATTAATTGTGGGAAAAGACTTATTTACTTGAGTTGAGTATAAAATCCCTGTAAAGTTTCTTGCACAGTGAACTTTAAGCTTCATTGTATCAGGACGTACAGACTGATGACATCTGTGCAAAGACAAGAGTAGGCCTGCTTGAAATGCATCCGCATAAACAATATATTGTTAATGTGGTTTTACATCATTTGTTCACCACATTGTCTCATTTATCTTCACAGTTGTGAATAAGTTTAATGCCAACCAGAACAGCTGATATGACAGTCCAGATAATAATCTGTTTTCGTTTCCAAATTGCTTTCCTGTCCCAATTTCACACTGATTTAAAGCAATTAAAGTAAAGCCAGGAGAAAATTAGCCTCACTCTAAACAGTTTGTTTTTGTCTCTCGTCATCTTTCCCAATTCCTTCTCGTTTCCTCTCCCTCTACAGCGAAGGACAAAGGAGAGAAGAAGCTGTTTGGCTTTGCCTTCACTCCTCTGATGAGGGAGGATGGGACCACTCTTTCAGACGAGAGTCACGAACTCTACGTTTACAAGGTCAGACATATTTTACTGTCTCTGTCTCTCTGTCTGTTCACTGACTTCCTCACAGACCTTTACCACAACGTGACATGACACCAAAGTCTCCAAACAGAGTGTAGATGGGTTTTTTTCACGTGTCAGTAAAGTTCCAAATTTCTTCCTGATATTTATTTTTGTGTTTCAATGTAGACTTTGTGGTATTTTACTGTTATTTGTACATCTGCCTGTATGCATTAATGGAACTTCGACCTTTTTTTAAATCAATGACGTCCGTTGGTCTTTTACTTACACAAGTTTCACCTCCATAATAAAGTCACTACATTTACACAATTACACCCAAACTGTGTGCATTAAACAGCCTTTTGAGTTTGTCTTTCATTTGAGATTTGTGAAGTTGCAGATGTTACCCTTTGGGACAGAGAGAGAGCCTGTTTTAAAATATCTTACAGCACAATAACCAAAGTTTTCCCCTGTCTTCCTCCTCCTCCTCCTCCTCCTCCCTCGTCTTGGCCTCAGTGCGATGAGAACACGACCTTCAGTAACCACGCCCTCTACCTTGGCCTGCCCTGCTGCAAAGAAGACTTCAACAGCTGTCCCAGCATCCCCTCCAGCCTCATCTTCCAGCGCAGCGCCAAGGAGACGTTCTGGATCGCCACACAGCTCTCCTCCACCAAGCTGACTCAGAACGGTACACAGCTGATCCAACATTAGTACTCAGAGTGTTTGTTCTGGCGTGGATCTGCATGCAGGACAGTCATGGACAATGTGTGAACATATACTGTGGTGATGCCACGACACAGTCACATGTCAAACCCTAGTGATGAGGACAATCCATGTCAAGCGTATGTTGTGATTGTTTGTTAGAATTCCTCGTTGGGTCTCCATGTGTTTATTCACCGCCCTTTTTGCGTGTGGATTCTGGACCCTGTTGTTGTTAATGCTCCCCACAAGGCCTGAGCGGTTCTTTCCTGGTGTCATACCACATTTTAGTTTGTGTCTTTCCTGGTAGTTGACATTGCTCTTGTCTTCCAGTGGACCTACTCGCCCTCCTTAAGTGGAAGGCCCACCCGGACCGGGTCATGGACATTCTCGGCCGGCTACGACACGTCAGCGGAGAGGAGATAGTGAAGGTGAGTTTCAGTTACACCAAAGCTTGAAACAGATAGAGCATGTTGCCCCTGGGGTGAGATGGATTTCTTCACCTGAATACTTTCATGCCTCATCACTCTCTCCTTCCAGATGGTTAGAAAATGTACACTATAGTCCCAGTGAAAGGGAAGTCGGGTAACTGCAGTGTCACACTGGTCTGGAAGAGAAAACATTAATGTGAATTATGTTATATTTGACAGGCTTCCTGTTCTTTACCTTTGTCATTTAACTTGGACCTTCTCTGAGTTTGGGTTAGCAAAAATATTTTATGTATTTTAGACCAAAACAAATCTCCACATAATTTTTGAGAAGGAATTATTTGCAAAACAAATAAATAACATGATGAAACAACATCTGTATGATGTAAATAACATTTAACTGTACATAGACAAACATGCTGCAAGAAAGCAGAGGTTCAGTTTCTCACACCAAGGACAACAGGTTGGTCAGTCTAAAACTAGATATGCAGTGAGTTCCAGTAAAACTAAATAGGCGCCATGACTTAGTGGTTTGATCCACTGACCTGCAGCCAACAGGTCACAGGTTACATCCAACGTGTCTGTCAGCAGCCATGTGAGGCACCAGAGTCTAAACAGGCGCCTTCTTACAGGATTTTTTGTCACGCCATGCCCCAAGCTGGAGTAGGCATTTTATTTTCTCATTTTTGTGTCAGAGCATTTGATTTATTGATTGCTGTCAGGATGGAATAGAATTTTAAACAAATATAACAAACTGTCGACCTCAGCTTCTTTTATAACTGTGTGTGTGTGTGTGTGTGTCAGTTTCTACAAGACATTTTGGACACCTTATTCTCCATCTTGGATGACAACACTGACAAATATGGACCCCTGGTGTTCCAGTCATTGGTAAGTGTGTGTACAGAAAACATAAGGAAAGACAGAGAGTTGAATATTCACAGTCCTGTTTGAGTGAGTCTGAGTTAAATTAAGACTACAGAGAGCCAGCTAAAGCACGGTCAGTCAATTTCATGTCCGGTTATCTGTGAAGCAGTCAGACAGACTGACTGATTTGGTTTCTGAAATTGGTCTTGCGTGCAGCTGCAGCAACGTTTGAGTTGCAGATTTGTTATTCACATGTTGGATCGCCTCTTATTGGACCTTTCACCTGTAAACAACACATTCAGTCACTCTAAATGCAAAGTGACAATATGAAGTTCAATGTTCATGTAGTTTACATTTAAGTGACATGTTGGCACGGACATACAATCTTTTCAGATACCTTTTATATACATTAAAGTGTCAGATTCATTTATTATAACTGTAATATTTCTCTCTCTGTCTCTCAGGTGTTCATCATAAACCTGCTCAGGGACAGTAAATATTACCACTTTCGGCCGGTGATGGACACATATATCCAGAAGCACTTTGCTGGCGCGTTGGCTTACAAGTGAGTATTTTGACTGATACCCTGAGTGTAACCTCACAGGCTGATTCACCAGTCATTGCACCGACAAACTAGGCTCAAATGCACTCTCTTTCAAAGGTATGCAGATCTGTGTGCGCACACTGCATGATACTATTCTTCTCAAAATGGAATGTGCTGCCCCTCAATTTGATTTTCACACCGCTGATGTGTTTTTTTTTTTTCTTTTTGAAGTGTTGCCTTTTATTCTCTAAAGTACATTTACATGCACATAAATAACTACATTATTGTAAAAATTCAGAATTGGAGAAAATTTTTCATTTAAGCGTTAACACGGTTTGAATTTTCTCCTACAATAATATGTACGAGAAATTGAAATGTGTCATTTATAGTTTGTAAAGTCTGAATGTATGATCACTTCAATTTGAGTGCTCATCTATACTGAATCCAGCCCCTTCTAAAAACACCAGTCAGTGCATTGTTAACAGAGTTGGTCTCAGTATCACAGGTCTTGGCTGTTATTTTGAAGTCTAAGGGTGCTTTCACACCTGCCTTGTTTAGTTGGGTTGAATCGCACTAGAGTTTGTTTCCCCCCTTGGTTCGGTTCGTTTGGGCAGGTGTGAATGCAGACCAATGCGGACCAAACAAGCGTACCGAGGCCTCGTTGAAGAGGTGGTGTCGGTACGCATGTGATGTGAAAGCAAACGAACCAACCACAGGATTTTGATGAAGCAGGATGACAAAGCTGTCCAATCAACAAGTTACGTGTCAGTCTGTAAAACGTCATGGTTACTCCTCTTGGTTCGTTTGTAAAACTGAAGCGTGAACAGGAACCTGACCAGAACCAAAATGAACAGCGTATCATTTTTTTTTCCACTTGGTCCGGACCAAATAAACAAAACTGCACCTTAATCCTCGTCCTGAATTTCTTTCCCTGTTTCTTCTGGAAAAGGAAAACCACGCTGTGCGGCTCAGATGTCATAATTTAACACTGTTTACCGTCTGTTGTGTTTTAGAGAGCTGATCCGCTGTCTGAAGTGGTACATGGACCGCTCTGCAGAGGTGGTCAGACAGGACCACATACAGGAAGCAATGAGGGTAAGAACCACTGACTGACGCTGTGTGCTCGCCACAAACGAGCTTAGCGCATTATAGTAAAACATACTCTCTGTACTTGGTCTCCATTCATAACTGTCTCATAACTAGTGACCATTACAGCCATTTTTATATTTGCATTACGCATTTTATCCAATTCACTTTTTACAAATATGAAGCGTCCAACTTTGCTTTGTTGTTGTTGTTCATTTAGTAAAACAGAAGGCGACGTTTGTTGAATCTATAATTATTGAACAGCAACAATCTGACCTTCATTTGCTGAACAAAACACTGAACAAGAGATTTTAATTCTTATTCCAATGGTCACTCTGCTGCTCTTCAATTATTTATGTGCACATTGTTTTTATGTGTGTATCAACCTTTTATTTCTTTTTTTTTTTTTTTACACCTTTCTAATTCTTCCCAATGAATGCCCTTCGCTCACTCTTCCGACATCATATGTTCACCATTACATCAGTATTGTAGGCAGAGCTCAGAAACAGATGCACAGAACGAACCACATTTAGCAGACAAACGCTGCTCAGCGCGTTAAAATATTCATCACACTCCAACATTCGTCTCAAATAGGTCACACTGTCATGTTAAAGTGGACGGTGTGAATTATTGAGCAGAGTTTTGACACATGCTGCAGCTGTGGGTTCAGATCTCAGTTTTTATTCATCTTTTATATATCCACTGAGTTTGAGTCTCTATCTGTCTGTTTCCTTCAGCACAAACTATGCACTCACCCTTTAAAGTAAATTTGTTTTTCTGTTCTGGTTAAACCGTGAAACACTAAACAATCTAAAATATATCGACATATTCAGGTGGTTTTCAGATAACTTACTAATCAGCTTCAAAGGACTTTTTTTTATCGCCAAAGAAATCCTAAAATCTGTTTGTATATTTAATTTAATCACAGTAAATTATTTAAACTCATATTATACTGTATATCTAATCTGTTACAGAGAGTCATGAGTAAGTTAAAACAACATGATTAAATGAAGAGTCTCTTTAGAAAATTAAATAGCCGTCTACTTTCTGTTTGAAAAAATTTGATTAACAAACACTGGGAATTTTTTAGTAACACTTTTGAATTTTTCCTGGAATGAAATGATTAAAGTGTGAATAAGCTAAATTATAAAATACTCAAGTTGGTGATGTTTAAATGAAAATAAAATATTGATGCTGTGTGTTATATTCTTCCTTCTCCATTTCCCCCCCCCTGTGCTTCTGGCTGCTGCTTCTCTCTCCTTGTTTCTTTCTCTCTCCGTCTCACAAACACAAACAAACGTCCGCCCTCAGGCCCTCGAGTACCTGTTCAAGTTTATCGTCCAGTCTCGGATCCTTTACTCTCGCGCCACCTGCGGGATGGAGGAGGAGCAGTTCCGCACCAGCATCCAGGAACTCTTTCAGTCGATCCGCTTCGTCCTCAGCCTGGACAGCCGCAACTCAGAGACCCTCATCTTCACACAGGTGAGGAAACGCACACTCAAACAAACAACAAGGATTATACAGAATCTTGTTTTTACGTATTTTCTTTAACTCTTCTGTTTTTTGTTTTTTTTAAAGAAGCATACATTTTTGATTTTTGACAATCTTCTTTTTTTTACAGCTGAAATGTCACTGCAGCTTATTATGTCTTTGTAGTTTAGGCTCATTTGCTTTTATAACAGCTAATCCCACAATTTCATTATATTTGCTTATAGTTTAGATGTTTCTTCCTTAGTTTGTCTTGCATCTCCTTTTAGTTGCTTTAATCTGACTCTTATCTCCTCTTCGCACCTCTTTCTACTTCTACCTCGGACCTTTCCTTCTTCCTCCCCTCACCTCTTTCAATCTCCCACAATTCTTTGCTCCATCCTTTGGGTCCCTATTATTCCTCCTGGCCCTCTTCCCTCCACACGCAGACACCACAGGGCTCACAGCCTTGTCCAGGCCCAACTCAAGCCCCAGGCCCCGGCGTTGGGCCTACCGCTTCCTTAGCACTAGCCCCTGCCCCGGGCCTAGCCCAGCCCCCTCCTGCCCCAGGACAGGTTCCTGGCAGCGGGCAAGCCACCTGCACTCAGGCCTGGAGCTCCAACGCTCTGCGGCCGTCTCCACTGTCAGTAAGTAGACATCCAGATAAAAACCACAACAACCCGTTCCTTGTGTGAAGCCGAGAGTCCTAATTCATCTGTGAGCCTAACCTCACGCAGAAGTCCTGTGCACACCCGCAACCTGACTGCTTTCACACCCGCAAGCACACATTCCCGCACTGACTGCTTAGTCACACCTCCGTTCTTCTACAAACCCCAATGCAAATCATCATGTAACTGTTACCACACCCAAAACCATGAACCTTGTACCCGGTTACAGTCAAAGTCACACGTCTGAGCTCATAAACCCTCATCAAACTAAACAGTGGCTGCTCATTCACATGTGAAGAATAAACAGCTTCTTTCTCTCTTATTGTGAGGCAGCGAGCTACTAAGACCTGGTGCTGCGATTTCCCAATAACCCACAGAAATAAAGAGCAATTATTTTGATAATAGATTAATATTTAAAGTCATTTTTCAAGCAAAGATTGTGTCACGGTAAAAATGAATCTGGCTTTAGGGAATAACAATGAGTATTTTTACTTTTCTCCAACATTTTATAGACAAAGTCATTCATCTATTTATCAAGACAATAATAAGCAGAATATTTGATAATCTGATAATTGTTGTTTCAGTCCTACTCTAATCCTTGATGCTGGTATTGTCACCTGAAAGTCAGGCGAGCAAGAGATCCAGAGAGTTTCACCCGAGAGTCAGGTCAGGGCAGGTTAGATCTGAAAAGGCTGCAGAGGTGCCAGACGCGGTAGCGCTGTAGCTGAAACGTGATATTTGTACGTTTGTGTTGAAAACTGATCTGCATCGATTTCTGTGGTGAAGATAAAAACTGTGCTGTTCAGCTCAAGCGCCTAACATGCAAGAAAATACACTTTACCCTTGAAAGACGCTTTCAGGGAGTGTTCAGTTATAACCATCATGCTTCTGCCGAATCACATGATGCGCAACCCTGAGTCCAACCTACTGTGAACAGAAAACATTTAGTCCAAGCACTAAAATCCCAGACTCTTAACTGCTGCACCCTCCTTCATGTGCTCTGCCAATGACTGCTGGACGTCCTCCCGTCTGATCAGATGTGTTGCTGTGCTGTGAGTTTGTAAATGTGTTGGATCAGTTATGGATTAATATCTCTCACTTCTTCCTGCCAATTTCTGGGATTTTTCTTCTTTTCTCCTTTTTCTTGCTGTGTTTTTTTTTTTTTTAATCACTTGAGTTTTTCCTTGTTCGCTCTCGTGTGTGTCTCTCAAATGTCTCACATGGTGAACAGCTGTTTTGCAAAATGCATTATTCAACAGAACATAACAGAAAAATTGGATGACAAAATAGAGGCTGCATAGTAAAACTGCTGAACACACTGTTACTCATAATGTTGCTGTGTGGTCACACCTACTGTATGTGTGAGGAAAAGCTTTACTCAATGGGGATTTTGGAATTCAGCTTTTCACTGTGCGCACTGTGACTCACCTCTGCTCTCTGTTGCATTGCAGAATGAAGTCATGGTCACATTCCTCTCCACTACAAACACAGAAGCTAACCTTATTAACCTTGAAACCCAGCCCACTCTCTTTAACTTCCTTTTTCCCAACTTCCACTTCTACCCTCCTCTCACCTCGCCGCTCTCTCACCCTCCTCTCTCCCTCGTCTTCCTCAGGCCGCTCTGTTGAACTCGTTCCCAGCGATCTTTGATGAGCTGCTGCAGATGTTCACGGTGCAGGAAGTGGCAGAGTTTGTGCGCGGCACTCTGGGCAGCATGCCGTCCACGGTGCACATAGGACAGTCCATGGACGTGGTCAAGCTGCAGTCCATAGCCCGGACAGTGGACAGCAGGCTCTTCTCTTTCCCAGGTAAAGGTTTTACCTAAAACACATAACACATCTTAATGTTTTTAAAAACTTCACACTGAAATGAAAGAGTCGTACATATCTTGGCACATAGTTTTATTTTAAAACAATGTAAAGTATTTGGTGAATCTTTGCCTCATCTACACGAATGATTTAGGTATTGATCTACTTAACACATCCTCTACCAATGTGTTCTTTAAATAAACATCAAAATATGATCGGCTACAGATGCTCAAGACGGGTAACTCATTAAAAAACAAGTTAAACCTGTATCACGTTAGTTTTGTTTCCACCATGTTTTGCCTTTCTGTTTTTTTTTCTCGGGCTAACCAGTTTCAACCTTTTCAGCCACATAGTCCATGTTCTGCCGCCAGCATCAAAACCATAGGCCAAATTAATGTGTGCGTGTGTGTGCGTGTGTGTGCGTGTGCGCCCTCAGAGTCTCGAAGGATCCTGCTTCCTGTGGTCCTGCATCACATCCATCTCCATCTGAGGCAGCAGAAAGAGCTGCTCATCTGTTCTGGGATACTCAGCTCTATATTCTCTATTATCAAGACCAGCTCACTGGTAACAAACACACACACGAAAACCAAAAACTAACGAATACTAACGAAGGGGAAAAAAACATTTTCTTTAACTAAAACAATTAACAAAAACAATAATGAGACTTTACATAAAAGCCATGGCTAACTGAAACTGCATTGCCTCTCTTTGGTTTTAGACTTTGTCGATTTATTTCATTGGGCTTACAAAGTATTTTGGGTGGATATGAAATCTATCTTGCTTAAAGGTTTTTGTTCACATCCCTCGTCTGGCATCATGCCGGCGAAAGCAGGGAGAAAGCGGCAGCATATAACAAAAAAACAAGACTAAAACTAATAAAAACTTAACTAAAATTAAACATTTTCACAAATTAAATTAAGGTAAAAACAAAACTAGTAAAACCCACTTTAAAAACTAATTAAAATGAAAACAAAAGGTCAAAATGAAGTAATAAAAACTAATGAAAAATGCTAAACTACAATGAACTTGACAAACACACAGATAAACAGGATATAGAAATAGTATTTTACTCAGTTGGCTGTGAAGCTGCAATGGATTCATATACTTCATTAATCAGTAAATTAATCCCAGAAAAGAGGCCAATGATCACCAATAAAAAGTGTAATGTTCATAACATCAAAGGTTCTTGTTATTCCTGATTTTGGCTAAACCTGGTCAGATGGGTTGTTCCTCTGCAGAGCATGTCATGGCAACCATCCTGTTTTGTGCAAGTGGAGATCTCGATGGAAGAGCTCAGAATCCTCTTGACCTTTGTCCAGTTAATGCTGAGACGTCCGGCTTTAGAATAAAGTGACAGATTTTACGGAGCAAAAAACAGACAATGTCCTTAGAAGCAGATGCCTTTATTATTTCCTGTGATATTAAAAAGGTTCAAATTTATCATTGTGTCATAACTTGGTAGCATCAAATAGCACTGAAGTGACATTCAAAAGCAGGGAGTTAGTTTTTCCCCAGTGTGTCTTATGTTTGTGAATGCTCACAACTGTGAAATATAAATGAGGAGGCGTTTGACTGGAGCTCCCTGTTGACTTCTTTTCTTCTTGTTTGCTCTCCGCCCCGTCCACCGTCTCACCATTTCTTTCCATACCATTACTCCCCTTTTTCTCTTCTCCAGGACACGTCTGTGCAGGAGGAGGTGGAGATGATGGTAGAGTCCCTACTGGACGTCCTCCTCCAGACCCTGCTGTCAATCATGAGCAAGAGCCAGTCGCAGGAGGCGGTAAGGGGTCAACGCTGTCCGCAGTGCACCGCGGAGATCACTGTTAGTAACTAACAATACGACTACTTCAACTTCACCTCCCATCCACCACCCTCATCCACCCTGTAGCTACCTGCCTCTCTATCCGTCCCAGGGCTGGGCAATATTTTATTATTATTGCTAAATGTCTCTTTATATTATTTAAATGCTACAAAAACCTCATTCTCAGCTAAATAGGAAGTACATTTCTTTCAAAATCTGTCACAAAGTGAGACAAAACATGAAAGCAATTTGACTCATTGGGATCAATAAAGTGTGATTTAAAAATAAAAATAAAAAAATAGTAAAAATAGTTTTCTTGTGAAGGTAATGATGTGATAATCATCGTAATATTCATTTTGTCCATGTTGCCCTCCCCTAATTCACCCATTCATCCGTCCTGTCACTGACCCATCTGTCCTCCTCACATCTTTTTGTTAGCGCTCTCATTAAACACCACTCAGTCTTCATCCTCTTCCTTCTCCTCGTCCTCCTCCTCTTCTCTTTTCATGCTTGCACTGCTTTAAAGTTCTCGTTTTGCTCCTCCTTGCATCGTGTCCTTGTTATGTTTACTGTATATTGGAAAAGAACGGCATGTATCTGAGTTCAATTGTAGAGGTGTAATGTAAATGTGTGTTATACTACTTGTATGATTTGAGTCAGGTTTAGTTTGTTCTCTCGGTGTAATCAGTGGTTTTATATCCAAATTTGTCATTCTACATTTATATCCAAACTACTTTCATCGATGGCTCAATCTGCCCGATCCACCACACCTCCATTCGCACTGAGCCGTTTGCCTTATTAAAAAGCTGTATTAACAACAGTTCACTTGTGTTGATTTTGCTTTCTTCACTACCACTACGTTGAAACACGAGTGCCAGAAAACGAAGCAAAGATTGTAAATTTTAGTTCCATTTTGCAACTTTGTAAACATTATTTTAGTTATGCACATAAATCTATAGCTACATCCTCCTTCCGCTGACTTGTGGTGGGTTTAAAACCACAGAATGTGCCGTAAAGTCAAATTCAAGAAACTGTTTTCCTAAATATATTTGATAGGTCTTTTAAACTCATAAACGTGCATCAATTAAAAAAGAACATTCGGTAGGGATTGTTTTGGGAAAGAGCTTTATTCTGCTGTCCCCCGTCCCTGATTGCTGATTGATCATTTGCTGCTTCCATGTGATTGGCTCACATGTCTATCCCCGGTTTCCTATTGGCAGGGAGAGTATGTGTCCTGCCTCCTGTCCCTCCTCCGCCAGATGACGGACATCCACTTCCAACACCTGATGGAAAACTTTCAGAGCAAAGAGGAGCTCAAGGTACGGGAAACTGATGTCCTGAGTGCAGCTTCTAATGAAAACACTTTGCAGTCATCAGGCGGAGGTCAACTCCTGCCTTTGTGTCTGGTGATGTAAATGAGGTCTACTGATACTGTAGGTGAAAGGAACTCAATTCATGGCAAAATTCAAATACTCTCAAACGCCTCTTTCCTTTTCTCTCTTCAGGAGTTCTTGTTGAAGATTTTGTGTGTGTTCAGAAATCTGATGAAGCTCAGTATTTTCCCTCGCGACTGGAACGTCATGAGGCTCCTCACCAGCAAGTAAGACGTCCCAGACAAATTGGACGCACATCTGACTGTGTTTTCATGCGTCAAATACTCAAGCTGGACTGAACACATAACTTTAACTGCCAACAACTGTGTGTGTGTGTGTTCCCCGTTCTGCAGCATCATCCTGACCACAGCTCAGTACTTGTCTCCTGCTCTGCACAAGAACTTCACAGAAGCCGACTTTGATTTTAAGGTGTGTGACACACATTCGTAGATGCACACAAACCACAAACAATGCCTGGGAGTTATTATGGTTACTCTGAGTCAAACTGCCAGCCGTGTCTGAGGTTTCTCTGTTCACTGAGCACATTTTCTGTTTTCATCTCTTCACTTCTGACAGAAAGTGGCTCTTATGTAATCTACTAATGTTGTTTCGACATGATTCACTTTCACCATGAATGTGTTGTTGGACATTTCCTCTATATTAACTTTCAATGCCAAAAAACTTAAAGTATATTCTCTCATAGAACCAGATAACTTTGAACTAACAGCAGCTGATTTAGTGAGAATGAAAACCGTTTGAAGTGCAGTCAGAAAAAGGCTGCAGGCTGCTGGTGAAGCCACAGCAACAGGAGGAGCAGGAATAGTTTACTTCCTCAATAAGTGGAGCGGCTAAGTGCATAAGAGTGGGAAAAAAATTCAATCTGAGGGGCCTCAAGGCCTTTTTTTGCCGTCAGGAGAAAGAAAACAGTGACTCATCATGAATCAATGGAGCTCTAGTGTTCTGTTTATTTTTTACACTCAAAAACTGAGTAGGGTAAACTGTGTGCAGAGCTCAGTGTGTACAGAAAGTAAACACATATTATTACCATAGGTGTCATTTACACTGGGGACGCTGGGGAACATGTTCCTACCACATTTTGAAATGGCTGATTTTCACTTTTGGAAAGCATTTGTTAAAAGTGTTAAAACATGCAAAGCAATGTAGTTTTCCCTCATATAAAAAAAGACATTTTCACCATAAATTGGAGCAGAAAATGTCTCCTCAATGCAGGAATATATATAGATATATTTCCACATCGAATATTTAATCTAAATAGTGCAAAAAATCTTCTTGTCTTCTCGTGCATCGTCACATCTCATGACCCAAATGTATCATCTCACCCCTAATCTGAGCCCTCAAGTCCCCACCACTTGTCAACGCAAAGCGATGCCCTTGATTATTACGTATGGATGTGCTGTAATGTCAGTTTGTGTGTGAGCAGGTGTGGAACTCGTACTTCAGTCTGGCGGTGCTGTACATCAACCAGCCCAGTTTACAGCTGGAAAGCCTGAGTCCTGCTAAGAAGAAGAAGGTCCTAGACAAGTAAGAACCCACAAACACACCGATGTTATTTTATGTAAACATATGTGGCAGCACACACTCGTACAGACCTGGCTGCGACCTGGCTGCGACCTGGCTGCGAGCATCATTACCATAACTGTCGCGTGTCTCATCTGCAGCTAAAATGCTGAGAGTCAGAAGTTTGAAAGAGCCCATTTTTCCTCTTTGAAGTGAAGCAGCTCTACAAACTTGGCGACCTACTTTATAAATCCTGCAGGAACACTTCTTTACTCCAGGAAAGCTCATTTCCCTCTCTGTTAGGCCTTTGCCACCAGACAGTCCCAGGAACGAGGGAGCCCCAGACACCAAACTCAATAAACGTCCTCGGGCACTAAGAGTTCCTCCAGCTTCTGTCAAAGTTCCACATCTCAAGGGTTGAAATTAGGAAAATGACAGCCTGGATTGAGACGTATAGCAGAGTTTCATGTGAGCAGATGCTCTTGTGAGACTGATGTAGGAAAGAAATCATGCAGAGGAGGAAAAAGACATTAAACTTGCGACACGCTGCATTTTATAGCTGTCTGACACTGAAAAGTGTCTGAAATCTCAAATTGCTGCTCGGTACTATTGAGTGTCTGTAATTGTCTGTGACATTTTGTTTTAGACTAGTGATCTACATATCAGTCACTTAAACATCAGTAATATTTAAAGAAACTCGCAGATTAGATTTTCTATATCATGAAAGGAAACAGTATTAACCCCTTTCATCCAAAGGCTCCCTTGTCTTCTTACAGTGAAACACTACACTGAGATCCAATGAGCATCAGTATTATTACTTTCTGTCCGCCTGCAGGTACGGTGACATGAGAGTGATGATGACCTACGAACTGTTCAGTATGTGGCAGAACCTTGGTAAGATTTTCTCTGCACCTTTTCAAATGTATACTGCTCCACACTCCAGTCCAGTAGGCGGTACCAACGCACCCAATAAAAACCCAATAAAGAAAAACAAGAACACCTTTCCAAAGAGTTTAGTTCACTTTAGAGACATGCTAATTCAGTAAGTGCAAATGTTTTCCACTCCAAAGCCTGCAAAGTAACGTAGTGTAAACTAAATAAATTCCCCTCCTTATACTCCAGATCATAAAATCCATCCGTCTCCTCATATTGTTAACTTGCACTCAGACTCATTTATTTACTGCCCTGATCGATGCTGGTTGTAGGTGAGAATAAGATCCACTTCATCCCCGGTATGATCGGCCCGTTCCTGGGAGTGACGCTGGTTCCTCAGGTGGAGGTACGAAACATCATGATCCCCATCTTCCACGACATGATGGACTGGGAGCAGCGCAAGAACGGAAACTTCAAACAGGTACAGTTTAACATTATTACAGCTGTAGACAACAGTTTTAAAAGACTACAGAGGAATAATTTAATTATTTTGTGCGTGTTTTTGTTCGCAGGTGGAGGCTGAGCTGATTGACAAACTGGACAGTTTGGTTTCTGAGGGTAAAGGTGATGAGAACTACAGAGAACTCTTCGGTTTGCTGTGAGTAACATATTTAAGTCTTTCTCCCATCTGTCTGTTTTTAACCCCAGTGTGAATCCTTCCTTCCCGCCTCTCTCTCTCTCTCTGGTAACAGAATTAACTCTGAGTTTTTCTGCTCTAACACTGCTGTGTTTGCTTTGCTCTGTGCTGCTGGACTAGAACCCAGCTGTTTGGGCCCTACCCCAGGTATGACATCACTTACACATATGGCAGCTGATATTTGCCTTCTAATAATCATTTACTGGCTAGCAGCCAGTTTTGGCAGTCTGAAACCAAACTCTGACCGGGGACTACAGGTGAAAAATAGCTTTCTGGGTAAATCTGGCACATCTATGTCATTGATGTTCATTAATGTGCACTGTTCCTTTTAAATAAATAAATTGAAACTTAACTTCATGCACTATAGAAATTCTGTCTTAAAAACTATCTGCACAGTATAATGATACTCATTCTGCAAAATTAAAATATATGATGCATATTTTAATTAACAGGATATTTTTAAGCTTTCCAACTTGTGTTGACTCTGATTTCTGCCTAACAACTTTAAACCAGTTTTATGCATGTGGTGGAGGCTGCAGCCTCTAAAGGTTGCCGGGTTGTTGCATTTGCTCAGGCCGTAAATGACGGTTGTTCTCTCATCTCAGTCATAGAGTAAACTTATGGTTTGGTCACCAGTTATATATATAATTCAGGACGTCGTCTCCTTTTTGTCTGTTTTCCTCAAAGTCTGTTGGAAAAAATCGAGCAGGAGACGTGGAGAGAGACGGGGATCTCCTTCGTTACCTCGGTCACACGGCTGATGGAACGACTGCTGGACTACCGGTAACAGACAGGACAGTCTTCCTTACAAACTTACAGTATATTGTATGTGTGCTTTTCTATTAAATGATGTATTAAATTTCTAGTAGTAGTTACCTAACATGTAGACACACTATTTGTTATTGACAACTTCTCATTTTGACAAAGATAAAACAATTATTACTACAGCTCCCATGAGGCTTTGACGAGGGAAAGAAGTCAATGGGATATGCTGCTGTTAATAAATACTAATACAAATATTCTGCTGTTTAAAATGGAGAGGCAGTAAAACTTCACTGTCCTGTACGGTATTAGACTCCAGTTTAGGTCACAAATCTTCAGAATAGGTATCAGCCTTTCAGAGAAAATGACAAAACGTACCGAGTTACAGAAGCTCATGGACTTTTAATTGTAAAGTTATTTATTAGATTGGTGTGTCTTGTCTTTAGGGACTGCATGAAGGGAGATGAGACAGAGAACAAGAAGATTGGCTGCACTGTTAACCTCCTGGTAAGATTTATGTCATATTAATATCTTACTCACAAAGCTACGGTTTCCTCAGTAGACTAAGAAGTTCAGTTAGTTAGTATACTTGACCAATTGCGAACCCTTTTGTAGATTTAGTAGACACACGGTGGACCACAGAGGCATTGTGTGAGTGTGTTTGGTATCTTCTCAGAACTTCTACAAGTCAGAGATCAACAAGGAGGAGATGTACATCCGCTACATCCACAAACTGTGTGATATGCATCTACAGGCTGAGAACTACACTGGTACAGCACAAACAGACAGGCATGCTGGCACTTACACACACATTTACTCGCTGCGTGACAGATGTGTGACTGTTGTCCGGCTGTACTTGGCCTGTTTGTCCACAGAGGCTGCGTTCACGCTGCTGTTATACTGGGAGCTGCTGCACTGGGACGAGCGGCCTCTGAAAGAGTTCCTGCATTATCCTGCTCAGACTGAGTGGCATCGCAAGGAGGGGCTCTGCCGCAAAGTCATCCACTACTTCAACAAGGGAAAGGTGAGAAGATGATGATGCAACAGCAGCTACACACAGACAGCAATGTTACAGATGCAAGTATTTAGGCGTTGGTCTCTAGAGCTAATTTCCCTGTTCGTGAGATTCTGTAGGGGGTAGAATTTAAACTGTTAAATTCTCTCCCCCACTTCAGTTGTGCTTTATTGGCATGAATGTCAAATAACAATACAAAAAAAAGTCATTTCATGCAGCACTTGAAATAAATAAAATAGAATAAATAAAACAGTAAACGTGTGTGTATATGTGCTATAGATCTGTAATATGTAGAAGTTATTTATGTATGTACATATTTATACCTCTCTCTCTCTCAATTCAATTTCATTTTAATTTCAATTTAATTCAGCTTTATTGGCATGAATGTACAAAAGAACAGTAAAAGTGTATGTTTGTGTGTTTTTAAAAAATAAAATAAAAATATTAAAAACAAAAATAGTGTGTATTAAACACTGTGAGCACTGTTTTTGCATAAGAAAGCAACATGTAACTCTCTCTGTCTCTTTCTCCAGTGCTGGGAGTTTGGTATTCCTCTGTGCAGGGAGCTGGCCTTCCAGTATGAATCTCTGTATGACTACCAGAGTCTCAGCTGGATACGGGTGAGCTGCAGGACGCATCGCACACTCTGGTCTCTGTTGTGTCGGTGACTCAGAGAACACAAACACCGACAAAACACAACAGCTCTCCTATTTCTGTTAGACTATAAGACACCATTCATATGCCACTTGTGTAAAAATATATCAACTGCCTCAGTCTGAGCCCTGAATAACTGATATGCACTCACATACATAATGATCTAAAAATATAACAGTAGAGTGTAAATCTGCTTTTATAGATTCTAACAGAAAAAGAAATATAAACAGCAATTTATGTTTAAGTTTTGACTTAAGTATGACTCCATCCTCCTCATCATCTTTCCTTTGTGTGTGTAGAAAATGGAGGCAGCGTATTATGACAACATTATGGAGCAGCAGCGTCTGGAGCCGGAGTTCTTCAGGGTCGGGTTCTACGGCAGGAAGTTCCCCTTCTTCCTCAGAGTGAGTTAAACATTTATCATTTAGATGAGTTGTACATTATTAACTTCTTTTAAATGCTTAGTGTACTGTATGAAACATTTTCTAGAGTATTTATACTTTATACTAGAGTTAAACATTCGGTTCTGGAAGTAAACATGTTTCTTTTAATTAAACTTATTAGTAAACGTATTACTACTTTATTTTCCCATAAACCCTCTGACTAATAACATGCCTTTTATACTTACTTTGCTCTGTTTCGTTTGGATTTATTCACACCAGAACAAAGAGTTTGTCTGTCGCGGCCATGACTATGAAAGGCTTGAGGCCTTCCAGCAAAGGATGCTGGGAGAATTCCCACAGGCCATTGCGATGCAGCACCCCAATCAGCCAGATGAGGCCATCCTGCAGTGTGACGCACAGTGTATCCTTCAGCAAAAGAGAAAGCACCTGTTTGTCTGATTGATTGATTTGAACAGTAATACACCGCTCACGTGTTCATAAGGAGCAGAATGAGAAACTAAAAACCGTCCGATTCCATTTGCAGTCATTTCTTTGACCTCCCTCCTCCTCGGCTCAGACCTCCAGATCTACGCAGTGACGCCGGTACCGGACAGCGTCACCGTCCTCCAGATGGACAGAGTCCCCGATCGCATCAAGAGCTTCTACCGCGTCAACAACGTTCGCCGTTTCCGATACGACCGACCCTTCCACAAAGGACCCAAAGACCGAGACAACGAGTTCAAGGTGAGTTCAAACGCTCTTCCTCTGGTTTGGTTGCAGCTTCTACTGGTGTTAAGATTTCTTTCTCTTTGTCTGTTCTGTTTGTTTTTGAAATGCAGTCTGCACGTCGTTTCTATAATTAGACATCTATTAACTAAAAGATAGACTCTAATATAAGAGACTCTAATATAAGAGAAACTTTACAAAAAAATGTATGTGTGGATGGTAACTTGTGCAAATACTCACTGACTGGGTTGTCAAAATGAAAAATAAAAAAATCAATTTATTTATTTAGAAACTAAATATAGTAGTTAAACACAGTGGAGCAGTCCCATCACAATTAAACCGTAATCTGTCTGTTTCATTAACGAATTGTTTTAAAGCATTCCTCTTCAAGCCATTATAGTGTTTTCATATTCTGTCAGCTCATTACTTTAATTCACTTTGCATCGAAGGTGATTAGAAGCTTTAATAAAACCCAGTGAGACTCCAGAAGTCCAAACTGTCATGAAACAAATCTGACTTGTACAGTAGATTACAGTGTAATTTGCAATGGTTATATTTAACGATAATGATATTGGTGTAGTTTAATGAGTGAGGTTTCAGGCGTTCACCTCGTGGGATCAGTTTCTCTCACTGCTTGTTGTGTCATGTGTTTCAGAGTCTTTGGATTGAGAGGACGACCCTGATCCTCACCCACCCTCTGCCTGGCATCTCACGCTGGTTTGAGGTGGACAAGAGAGAGCTGGTGAGTGAATGAGATAGATAGACAGATATATTTTCATACTTACTCCACCAGTTTATAAAAGTCTTTAAATTTGCTGTGCTGGACGACTCTCACTCTGACTCCCTCGTCTCTCACTCAGGTGGAGGTGAGTCCGTTAGAAAACGCCATCTCTGTGGTGGAGAATAAGAACCAGGAGCTGCGGACTCTGATCAGCCAGTACCAACACAAGCAGCTGCACGGCAACATCAACCTGCTCAGCATGACTCTGAACGGAGTCATCGACGCCGCCGTTAACGGAGGCATCGCCAGATACCAAGAGGTCGGAGAGAAAGTTAGAAATAATGTTAAATATTTAGCTCAGCTCATCAGGCAGAGCCGTTTCTGAAGCAGGTGTTTTACCCTGAAAATGTAAACCTGTAATAGCACATGCTAACTGAACTCCTTTTAAGGATTTTGCTGCCAAGAGTGTTGTTTAGTTGTTTTTATTTAATGTAGATAATTAAACATATAGTGGGAGGCTTGTCAAATGCTTACCAAGGTTCTTTATGACTGTAATATGTGAAATTATTAATGTTAAAGCAATAATAATAGCTTGCTTTGCTGCAATAATCCAAAAAGCAGTTGTAATTTTAACCCAAATCCACGTGCAGACACATTCATAGGAACTATTGAAGCTAATGCTCAGCTGTCATCGCTGTTCAAGCTGTCTAATAATAACTGTATAACATGATAATTACATGAATTAGCGACATTAGTGGCTTCACACCAATATTAAAGATGCATGACGTTTGTGAATAAAAGTTATTTTACAAAGCTGAATGATTAGTTTATTTTCTTCTTTGTCCCCAGGCCTTCTTTGATAAGGAGTACATCACCAGCCACCCTGAAGACACAGAGAAGATCACACAGCTCAAAGACCTGATGCAGGAGCAGGTGAGACATTAACCAGTGTTGGCGCCGCGTGGTGAACATGCTCTGCATCTGCTTTCATTTACAAGACTGATTCTGGCTTTAGACAAAAAGTCAGGAGGTCACCAAAAATCACCAAGAGTCACCCTATAGTGAGATAGAGTGCAAATATAAACAAATAAACTAAATATTAGAATAAAGATCATAAGAAGTTAATGATAAAGATGATAGATATGAGAAGTGGCAATATAGTATGTACATTATAAAATCTGAACAGGTATATGGTTCATTCAAAACGTTTAATGATTGTGTCCATAAAATTGCATGTGATGTCTCACACTGTGACTCAGAGTTGTAATGGTTGTAATATATGGAGAAACAGAAGTCCAGAGAGAAACAGGGAGATTTAAACAGAGGAGAACAGAACAGAGCTGAAACAGACGCTGGAGCCACCTCAGCCCCTCATGCCGCCACCGTCCGTCTCACAGCATGAGGTAGATGAGCTGTAATCCTGCAAACGACAGCGACCATCAAAGACCACACAATGTCATAGTAATCAGTCCAGTAGATATAAAGTATTGTGACAAACAAGTTAACAAAGTTTAAAGTAATGGTGACGACAAAAAGTGCTTAAATACAATCAGCACAAAACAGTTTTTTAGAATCACTCGGCTGCCAACCTGAAGACACAGAGCGGATCACACAGCTTTAAATCCTGATGCAGGAGCAGCTGAAACAGTATTTAACCGTGTCTGACTTGTCTTTGTAGAGAGGTACATAACAAGGGTCTGAAGAAGATGAAACTATAATTTTACAAACTATAATGGAACAAACAACATACTGACGGTCTTTACAGTTTAGCTAAAATGTTTTATATTGATCTTGCACGAGCAAAGGAAGTGCAGTTATGGGAGCATGAAAGTGTTTAGCAAATTACTGTACATGGAAATCTGTCCATTAGATTTTAAAATGTATTTTGTCCAAAAAAATGGCCTAATGGTGCGACTGCAGGAAAACAAAAAGTGTAGGATTAATGCTGTCAGGAATATCTACTTGTAAAAGATTTATAAAGGAGGCAACAGCGACCCTCTCTGCAGAATAAACATTTTGTCCAATTATGTTTTGTTATTTTCCCTCAGGTCCACGTCCTAGGAGTCGGCCTGGCCGTGCACGAGAAGCTGGTGCACCCAGAAATGCGTCCCCTGCACAAGAAGCTGATAGATCAGTTCCAGATGATGAGGAGCAGCCTCTGCCATGTGAGTGCAGAAACACCAACATTTCAGTTTAATATGTGTCAGACTTTTTAAACTGCAGGAGAGAAAAACATACGCACAAAATATGATTAACAAAAAACTAAACCGACGTCGAGAAAGAGGAGGGTTCATTTTATTGTAAGCATGCTGGCAGCATGGATCATCACATGGAGGAAAGCTAATTAGTAGCTTCCCCAAAGAGGATGTTATCGTGCTTCTAGCTAATATAAGTGTGTCACTGCTCATAATCTGAACTCTTTCAACTGTGAACGTTTGACCTTTTTACATTCTAATTTAATTAATGGGGATATTTTTGCTCTCCGACAACATACAGCAGCTTCAAGCACTTTTCTTTTTTAATTCTGAGTCTCGTTGGTTTTGAACTCTTGCTTTCAAACACACGTGCACATATGCGAGGGCAGTGTGAATATTCAGAGCAGTGTTTCTACGTGGCGTTGCAGGGTCTGCCCGGTTTAGAAAAGGCTGGTTCAGGAGCCAACACTCCCCGAGGGATCCTGGCCTCTCACAGCCCGCTGAGTCCCGAGAGCTTCAAACTCATGCACCGCCACAGGTCTGCAGCACACATACACACACGTTTTCACGTCCACTTCATCCTCCAGTGAGACTTTGAGATTGTTCTGTTTTGTCTTTGTGGAGCGTCATCCGTCCACACTCACATGACGTCACATCCTCATCACACACATCTTCTTCTTACCGTCCTCTCTCTTCACAATCTGATCCCCGGTTTCATCTGCTGAGTGTCTCATTAACGATCTTTGCTTATTTCCTCACTGCATTTGTGAAGCTTCTGCAGTCGACCGCACACACCACGCTTTCTGAAGTTCTACCTTTTTCTTCCTTCCTCTCTCTCTCTCTGTCTTTTCTTTCCCATTACCCCACACCACATCTGGCTTCTTGCATGGCCTTGGCTGCAAACTCCTGCATCTCTCATTTCCACCAAATCACTTCATGCATGTTTCGGTTGTTTTTTTTGCCTTCTTCCTGTTTTCGGTTGTACTCTGCATGGCTCCTCGCGCGCTCCTCCCTGTGCTTCCACCCCGTCCCTTCTCCTCTTTGCACTCCTTCCTGTCCTCCCTACTTTACCTCCTTCTCCTCTCCCTCCACCCCTCTACTTCTACCCCTCGCCTCTTCTTTCCCACCACCCGTCCTTGGTTCTCTCCTCCCAGTCCCATAGCTGTTCTGACTCCTGTGCGCAACTCCTCCTCCTCTCTCTCCTCTCACACCTCCAGTGAGACTGGGAACGTTGGCAGCCTGCTGATTCTGGCTGATGGCATGGTGGTGGAGCACCCGGAGGACTTCTACCGCATGCAGGTCAGTGCTTCTCTGTCAGGGTCAATGAAAGAGATCAAATTCACATGTTACAGTGCGTACGAAAACATGTAATGTATGAAAAATCAACTGCTGCTTCCAACATCTGGATATGTTGAATAGAAAACAAATGTGCAAAAGTAACACATCTTTAAATACTATTTAAGACAGATTAATGAGCTCTAATTTAAGACTTGCTGAGAGTTTAAAGTATATGACATACTGTCGGCTACTTTCTAATAAGTACATTTGAAAACAGTTTGAAGGAAAGGAAAGAAGTTATATCTCAACTGTAGGTATCACGTTTTACATTCATCCACTGCTCTCATGCTGCTACGCTGTTAATGTACATATAAATATTGTAGTTTGTTTTTACTTACCAACAACTTTCTCGCTGCAGGCAAGCCCCTCCTCCTCCAGCCTTAGCTCTACTCACTCGGCGCCCTCACAGATGATGAACTCCGCGCCCTCGACCATCAGAGGTAAGCAGCTCAGATTCATTACTGCAACCCGGAAACACATTTTATCAGGAAGTCACATGAGACATACAAATATTTCTTGCCATTGAGTTCCACATACCTTTTCAGACACATGCACTCGTCAGTACTTTTTCTCTGGTAAACTGTGTCTCCTGTCTCCCCCTGCAGTCGGCTCTCCTTCTCTGCCAGACAAATACAGACACAACAGAGAAATGCTGATGCTGCTGCCGCCACACAGAGAGAGGCCGAGCAGCGCGATGTACACCAACATCACCGAGAACGGACAGGTATATATATATATCCAGCTGGACGGGATCTAACTTAATGACGCTTTTAAGTTTTCAAGTTTTGAACCTGTACTTGTTTGTATCTGAAGCTTAGACAGTCGTCTGTGGTAGTGACGGCTCTTTGAAGGGAGGCTGATCTTATGGCTCCCACACGGCTTTTCATTTAGTACCACTGCTTACATTCTTATTTGTTGCAAGAAATAAAAATGCAATACATTGAAATATTCTGTCATACAGATGGTGAAAACGTTCCAGTCTGGTCCTAGTTGTATAACAAAATTAATTAAATGAAATAGTATGATTAATAAATACTTGCACAACTCTGTTCAGACACATACTTTATATTTGCTTTAGTAAAAGTAATTAGTATAATAAGTATTATTTGTTCATTGTCATGCTTTCTTTTTCCATGGGGTGAGCTGGCGATCACCGGTCTGTGGTGACCGTCTGTGTGATTTGTCCTTGTGTACGACCTAGTTATATACTACTGAGTTCATTAAAATTTGTTGCTGTTCACAGTGACTAGAAGTGAACAGCAGTGTAAACATTTACACTTGAACGGCTCATCTTGCTATTAGAGAAAAGATCCAAGTCACTATAAACACAAACGAGATGCATTACAGTCTGATTTCTGAGAAACAGCAGTGAGGTCACAGGTTTATTATTAATAATATAATCCTTATTTGTAGAGCACTTTTCAAAAACAAGTTACAAAGTGCTTTAACAAGTGTAAAGAATAATACAAAAAAAAAAAAGATAAGAGCATGAAAATAGTATAATATAAAATTTGTAAAATACAATAAAATAAAAGGGATAAAATAAAGTCAAATAAGATCGGGAAATTAATATATACATTAACTGTAATGTATATTTGTTTTGGTAAGTGGACTGTGCGATGTCCTTTTATGCCTGCTTATTCCAGTTTTTAACCGTTTATGTGAATGTTTTTGTTGATTATTTATTATTAATAATGCATCTTGCGTCTTTTTATCTTCACTGACTGTACATCGAGGGGAGTTGCACTCAAATTTTGTTGAACTACGTTCAGTGACAGTAAAGCTTTCTGATTCAGGTGCATGGAAGTACAGAAGCCACACGAGTCCTGTGGTTTATTTAAAATATAGCACCTCTCGCTGTGCCAGCAGGAACGTAACTGCTCATGTTTGACATTTTTCTCTTCAGGTAATGAACTTCCAGCGAGCGTTGTTCCATCAGGTGATCGGTCCATGTAAACCCTGCAGCGACCCCAACCTCTCTGTAGCAGAGAAAGGTAGGCGAGCTCACAGAACAGAAGTCACTCCATTTATCCTTTCTCCACTTACTCCTCTCTCCTTTCCTTCAGTCCTGACCACTCCCAGTAGCTGGAGTTTGGACAGTGGTACCAGGGAGGCCCTCCCCTTCCTGTCTGCTCATGTTGGCAGTGTCATGGCGCCTCCTGTTCCCCCACGCAACCTGCCTCATGGTACGACACAACTGCTAAGTGTGTGCATTTTAAATTTCTGAGTGTTGTCTCTGGGTCACCTGCGTCTTCTGTTTGGTTTGTGTGTTTAAAATGTGTTTTGAGACTATGACTGCGTGTGTGTGTGTTTTTGTTTGTGCATGTGTTGATGTATGTGCCCCCCCCCCCCCCCCCCCCTGCAGTGTCTTTGTATGCAGGAGTGTGTATGCTGCTTTGTTTTAGTGTGAGTTGTTTGTTTGTTTTCCAGTCTGAATTGTCCCTGTACTTTGGTATGAACCTTGACTTACATCATTTTACTTCAGGGCTGATTCCAATTACTTTGGTCTTCTGAATCTCACTTTCTCCTGAAGAAATATTCCCAGTGAAACCTGCTCACACTGAAGTCTGAGGATTATTCTGAGCAGTGTTTGAATAACAGAGTCAGGAGGCGCTGAGCTCCCCTGAAATAAACAACAGCAAAGGTTTGAGTTTGGGCGGGTCTCATGCCGATGCTGCAGTGAACGACAGAGAGTTTAAAAAGTGTCCCGTCATCTGGAGTGTGAAATATCTGCAGCTGAATTGATCTTTTTATCAATAACTCATATGACTTGCTTGGTCTGGACACGTGCAGGGTGTTTTCTCTGTGTCATGACTGTGGGCTGCTTTCGTGTGGTTTTGTTTTGTGCGCCTATGTTTCGATTTGATGTCCGATATTCGCAGCGCCCGGGCTAACAAAGATGTTATGAGACGAGAACAGACATCTCCCTCTGAGGGTGCGAGCAATACGTGAAAACCTAGCGGCTCTTTCCCGACCAAACACCTGGTCAGCCACAAAAACTAAAGTTCTGAATAGACTAATAATTAGTAATCGACAGTAAGCGGTGAGTTATCTTTTATATTCCAACGTTGATCCTGAGGAACTGATACACTGCTTGAAGACATGTTGTTGGAATGTAATTTTTCTAAGCTTTAAGCATCATAAATAGTGTCTGCAAACTGGGGATGGGTTGAAATGTTCAGATGCTGAGATCTTAAAACCTCAGCACATAAAATCAATCAGGAAACTGTGTGCATGACGAGATACACCACAGTTTGATTCGGCTGAACTGACCCTTTCTGAAAATGATTCAAAACCCACTGACCAGCGTAGCAGCTCCCCAGAAAATCCCCATAAAAGCTGGAATTTAAAGGACTTCAGAGGCTGTTTGAAAGATCCCCTTCAAACACCTCCCCTCCCACACTCTCCTCCACCTCCTCCCTCCTCCTCTTGCTCTCTTCTACTTCTCCCTTTCTCTTCCCTTCTGTCCATCATCTTCTTCCTCCCGGCCATTTCTTCTCTCACCTTCCACCCCTCACCACCTCCTCTTCCTCCTCTTCTTCTTCGCCGGTCTGAGGTGTGCGTGTGCATCTCTCTCAGTCAGTCCTGCTGTGTCTCCCCCTGTAGGGCAACACCTGTCGATGCACTTTGACGCTTTCCACCACCAGGTCAGCGACCTCCCTCCAGCTCTCCCTGCGCGCTCCTTAAGAAAGGTACCCTCCTGCTCCTCTTCCTCGTCCTCCTCCTCACTCCTGCTGTCGGTCTGGATGACTGTCTGTCTGTCTGTCTGTCTGTCTGCACTCCAAGAGGAACTTAACTATCTGTGTTTCTTTGTGTCCACTTAGTTTGTACCACAGTTAGGACAGTTTACAACCTCACTGTTTTCATCTCTGAACAGCTTTGGTATGATGTGCAAGAAATGGGCTTTTTAAATTAAAAATAAATCACAAACTACAACATTTTGGATTAAAAAAAACACTCAAAAATTGTGATGCTGCAGTGCATTTACGACTGGAGGAGGCAACAAGCCATCCAGAGAAATGAATCTGTCCCTGTGTGCTTTTCCAAATTTTCCTCTCAGGCCATTTTTTGAATGAAAACTTTGAGTTGAAGATAATCAGAGATGTCAGGTGCTGTCACTGTAACAGAAGCAGAGAGTGCCAAGATTCAAACATTTCTGCATTTCCTCTCATTTTCTGTATGTTCTGTCCCTTTTATTTAGTTTTTACTCCTCGTGTACTTCTCTAACCTCTTTGTTGTCAATTTGATTCCTAAACACAACAAAAATGTGACTTATTCAGTTCATCCTGTCCTTTTGTGACGGTGCAGAGAGAGATTTTCCTGTCTTTGAGCTGTCTGTGCTGTATACCGCACCTGGTGGAGTGACTTTTGGGAGCTGCTGTTTCCATCTCAAGCTGAATCAAAAATAGATTTTAAAAAATAGCACACAGTTTAAATGCAGTCTTTAAAGACTGGATGTCTGATGGATGAATGCCGACGATGATGATGATTATTATATTTTGCCGTATTTCAGTATTGTTTTCATCATTTCGGTAAATGTAACATATTATCTTCAGATCATCACATTAAAAATAGTTGAATAAAAACTCAGCTGATGATGAGATTAAACAGCCGTGATGTTTGCATAACTCTGTTTAACAGTGAACACACTGACTGTCCCTGTTAACTCTCTATCTGCCGCTCTGCCCCCCCCCCCCTCCCCAGTCTCCGCTGCACCCTATACCTGCCTCGCCCACCAGTCCACAGTCCATCCTGGATGGCAGTAACTCCACCTTGTCGGGCAGCGCCAGCTCTGGAGTCTCCTCCCTCAGCGAGAGCAACTTCGGCGGCCCCGCCTCCTCTTCAGACCCCCCGGCCAGCCGCACAGACACCCTGGAGTCTGTCCCCAGCAGCCAGACCTGGACCACCGACCAGGAAGACCTGGACTCGCCTTACCAGCCCGTCAGGTACAGCATCTCCGAGCCTGATGTCCTGGACGGAGTCAAACCCCCGCCCTGCCGCAGCCAATCCGCCCCGGGAGGCGTCACCCCGGCCCAGGCAGGCGGCCAAACCCATCCCCAGGCCCCGGGTGCGGCCTCCACCGGAGCTCCACAACAACCACAGCAGCAGGAGGGGCTGCCACACCCCCAACACCACCACTACTACCACCACTTTCACCCGCACTACCTCCCCCACCACCCGCCGCTCTACCACCTCCACGAGCCCCCGCCAGCCCTGCCCCCCAAGCCCTACCTCAGAGAGGGGTGTATCCCTGAAGAAGACCCCCTTAACACCCAGTCCGCACCCCCTCCTCCTGCACCCCGGCCCATGCCACGCAAGATCTCCCAGCCCATAATCGCAGCCACCAAGGATGAGCAAGCTAAAGTGGCGTGGGAGCACGGCATCAGTGAGTGACGATGGTGAAACGTGCACGATTTAAAACGAACAGAATATAAACTCTTTTCAGAAGAGAGGAAGAAGCGCCGAACTGAGAGAAACTGTCAGATCCCCCCCCCCCCAGATGTCCTGATAACCAACTAATCACTGAAAAGGAGAAGCTGGAAAGATGAAGGTTAAACTGATCTGCGCTCTCACTCCTCACCCTCAGCACGCCAGCTCCGTGTCCTTAGCTTTCAGCATTTAACCTTCACGTCCTTGTATGAGCACACAAAGCTTGATTTATTTGCTTGAATCAACTATTTAATCACCTTTTTGTTTCACGAAAATGTCCAAAAAGTCCATATTTCTAAATTCAGTCGCACCTGTACTGAAATTTGCACAGATAATTATCCATCTCATGTTAGTTATTGGTTTCATTTTCATTGATAACATTACTCAAACGTTATCATTCAGAAGGTTAAAGATGTTAAATAATAGAATAACAACAAGGGATTATTCCCTGTTGTTACTTCGCTCTGGAGATATTTAGACAAGCTGCACTTTAACAAAGCAACAGAGCACCAAAACACACGAGAATCTAATCAAATATTTTTTATAAATATAAAACTGGAGAGACAGTTATTAGGGGTTATGGGATTATTTAGATGCTACATAAAGATAAAGTAAAAATCTTATTGAAAGCATGACAAAGACAAAGAAATTGTAATATTGAAGCCAAAACTTCAGTTCAAGAATCAAACAAACGATTTATTGAGATCCTCCCCCTTCATGTTCTTCGTCAGATAAACGTGACGCAGCCGAAATGTATTTATATTTTCCAACACAGAAATCAAAGTATGTAGATAAATGTAATACAGTATATAGAAGTATATAAATATAATTTATATTTAATCCTTGTTGAAGGTGAAACCTGTGTAGAAATATGCAAGATGAACGGCTTCCTGAGCCGCCAGTAGCTGCTTGATGATACACGATGTGAGGACGCCTCTCGCACAAACACTCTGAAAATGTTTGCATCCCACAATTTTCAGAGGTTAAAGAAATAATTTTATTTAAGCTTTCGATGTTTAAAAAGTCAATTTAACTTTTTTTTTTTTTTTTTTTTTAAGCTGAGGAGGAACTCAAGGGAGGAACCTGTAAATGTGTTTGAGGCTTCAGATGGATGATGTTTATAGATAATATTAACTATAAGAAATACTTGCTACTTTGCTTTTTGCCATTTTTTTTTTTTTATGAAAGAAATGACTGTACATTTTTTAACGAGGAAACTCTTTTGTATGCATGTTCATTCATCTTAAACAGAGACTGTGGGAGAGATCCACAAAGGTAAACCACTGGAAGCTCTGGGGAACTTCTGTGCACTGACGACTTTGTAGTTTAGGAAGCGGAACCAGATTTAATCTTGGTGATACTGGTGTACAAGTACTGTGAAAGGTACTACTTTTTGTATTTTGTTTGTTTGTGTTAAAAATATAAAACTTTTTACTTTCAGCCACCTGTTTAGATTATGTACATAGTGTCATCCTGTAATCTCTCCTCTGCTTTTTGGTTGAAGTGAACATAAGTGAACTGTGAACAGCTGTTAGCTCACCTGCTTTAGCGTCTTCTGTCACAGCTGTTTGAAATGCCGGATCATGTTCTTACTATAACCACTGGAATCCAGGAAGACTAGCTGAGCTTTAGGGAACAGCTAAAAACAAATAACCGGAGATTTTCTGTGCACAGACCTGGATCACAAAGTCTAAAAGAGGCTCTTAAAGAAACAGGAAACTCAAAGTACTGAATTTGTGGTTTTGCAGAAAGCTCCTAGAAATTTCCTTTACTGATGATCTTAATAATGACCATGTTTGTTTCTTTGCTGTATTTTTATTTGATCTAAATATTCTTTATTCTTTCTTTATTTCCTGCATCAAACGCTGGGTTTCAAACAGTAAAATGTTCAGTCCAAAACTACCTGATGTGTGATTGACAGGTTTTCACTGCAGACAAATTAACGACCTGGACACTAAATTAACTGCAGCCATCGTTATGATGTTATTAGTTCCACCTGTGTTTATGCTGCTGCAACAAGTCAAACTAGTTAAAGGTCTGATGAACATTATTGACACTATCAGAGGACAAATGTGAACTTTAATCTGGATTCTTCACCAAGTGAAATAAAATTAATATTTCAGCCCGAACAGGACGCAAAACAAGCAGTTTACAGAGTGAAGAGTCTTTGTGAAGGTTTTCTGCAGGGTGCTGCGTTACTGCTGCTGGAGTTTCCTTCAGCTCTGCAGCAGGTGAGTGGTTTTCCAAATTAACTATGAATTCACACCTATGTTTTTGTCAGTATTTAACATTTGTAAACAGCTTGTCCTCTTCGCCTCAGAGTTAAATACAGATCTTGTTTGTTTGGCCCTGAGGTTTTAAAGATGAATTTATTCGCCTCGTCAGTGTTCAACACAAACTAGCTTTCTATTCCGTTTCATGTTGGACTGAAATGGAGAAGGTGCTCTGTTTTTATTTGAGGTTGTTGATTACTGTGGGTGTTAGGATTCAAATGTTGCAGACGTGTGGAGCTGTTGGTTTGAGGCTTCGAGCTCGGTCACATCACCTTGTGGCTTTCTTAATTTAACTTGCATTGTATAGAAACACTTTTACTGTTTTGGCGTCTGGATCACATGTTGGTTCTGTTCTGTTGGTTCTGATGGTGTTTGGTGTAACTCCACATTATGTTTATCTCATCGTGTAAGACTTTGGATTCGGTCATCTCTATAAGACATCGGTTCCTCAGGAGTTGAGGACCTGGGACATTTTCTTCTAGTTGCAACATCCTTCTACTTAATGCCAAATTATCACCGTTAACAGTATATCTGGGTTATTATGGGAACCAAAGGAAGCTTAAACTCTGGGTTAAAGGTGTGAATATGATTCAGTTTGGCATCTGCTAATTACCAGATTTATAATTGGAAGCATGTGAGCAGGAGCACAGTGTACCCACTCTGTGTGGTGATGTGAAGGGAAGCCATTTACCACTTGGTTTAAATTCTATTAAAAATGAAATGGGACAAATGTTAACTTGGCTTTGAGGTTTTGAGAGTGATGTGAGGTCTAATTTAACAGTCCTGCAACAGATCCTCCCTAACGAAGGTTATAATGTTCACTTTTTATTGAGCCTGTTACACAGAGGAGTTTCTGCTAACCTACCCTCTGTTGATATTTAAGTGTTTATTTTGAATATATGTAAACCAGAAACATCTGACAAATAGTAATTCAGTAGTAAATCAAAATGATTAACTAACACTAAAAATTATAATTACAGCCAAAGACATTTTTGAAACTTGTCTATTTTACATATTTGTACACCAGAAGGAGGGAAAAAAACGTAATTAAATCCACCATGTGTCCACAAATCAAATACCTATACATAGTGGACTAAATAATAGGAACACCTGTCAGTATAAGCACCACAAACTGAAGCCACAATGAGTTGACTCAACACCTCTGAACATTAAAACCTTCATGAAGGATTTAGCACAGGCCTGTTGCATCGTTTAAGCAGACTGTCGTTACACTCGTAATCCTCATGTGTTAACACGTTCCCACAGTCAATTATCCAAACCTTCACTTGTTAAGATTATCCACATTTTTGTTTATTAAAAAAAAAACTATGCAAAGCTTCTTATGATCAGAGATTTTCTTTAATTCGACGTCCAGTTTGAGTTATTTGCTGTTTCTTTAAAGAGCTGAAGTTTTGGTTCCTTTGGACTTTTTCTTCACACTTTTTGACTTTATTACATTATTGAGTTTTTGCTTTAGAGCAAGTTGGTACTTTTTAAAAGTGACAAAAGCAAAGTAGGGGACTGAGTTTATGTGCTGAAGTACACAGTTTGACTTTGTACACAGTCTGAAGATAATTCTCTCACCTGTTAGATTAGCAGTGAGCATGTAGTGACACTAAAACCACTGAACACACTTTGTGTTTTCTAAAAGCTGTGATGGATGAAGTGAAGGGAAAGCAGATTCAGTGCACGGAGGAGACGGGTGGATTTCTGTGTACATAAACAGGAGAGAGTGTATTTATACAGATCATGAAGGGCAAACCTGTAAACATGTAGATGTGATCGTCTTGTACTTTCTGATGTGAAACTGTTTTTAAACCTACAACAACAAACAACACAAGTTCCTTTTGTCTAATTATTCTGTTTCAGGGCAGCTGAGGGGAGGTTCATCTTTATTTTGTGTATTTTGCATCAACGACAGATCAGAGTACTGCGATGATATTCCTTTGTACTATGATGCTAATCAGAAGTATTTCTTGTATATAAAAGTCTTTATTGTGTTAGCATGGGTATAAACTGTGACGTGTACGACAGTAGATGTAAATACTCACGTTTTTTTTTTCCTACTCACTAAACAAACTGCTGTGTTGTGGATTCATGATTTAATGACAAACATTAAACAATGTTTTATTGACTCAGCTACGACTCGGCCTGCTTTCATTTCACATAAAGTTAAACTGCGAAGGCACACGGGCTGCAGTCTTTAACAGCGTTGGAATAACATCCTTTACTAAAGTAAAACAGGCAACACCAGAGTAAAAACACTACAGTAAAAGTATTGTAAGCAGAATTTACTTTAAAGTAAAAGTATTCACTTTGCAGCCAACATGGTCCGTCAGGTATTACTTTATTATTAGTGATACATCAAAGCAGTATTTAAAATCTTGTAACAGGTCCAGCTGATTGTATTACCTGTTTGGTGGTTTCATGTACTTTATAACAGGGTCTGTTCTTTTATATTCTCACTACAGGTTCTTAAAATCTTAATCTGCAAAGTAACCAAAACCTACAGCTGACAGATAAATGTAGTTCTTATACCATGACCACTGACTTTACCTGCAGAACAGGTTTTACTATATGATATTATGTATTTTAATTTGAATACATACAAATATACTTTGTCTTTTATGGTTTACCATTCACAATGTGGGCTTCCCTGAAAACTGCTAATTTTGTGATGTAATTCAGCTGCTACTCATGAAGTCGGGGTACACATTATTTCTGAGTTTACAAGTAGGAACTCCGACTCCGCGTCCTGGAATGCAGAAAAGTACCTCCAGAATTTGAATAAATATAATACTAAAGTAAATGTATTTAGTTTTACTGCTGCTTTGGTTTCTCTTTTAAACATTTTATGTTCATTTAAATAATTAATTTAAACTTTGAGGCAGACAGAGGTAAAACTATCTAACATTTCCTAAAGTAAGTAATTTGTGTATTCTATTATTTCTCACAATCCCTAAGATTTATCTGGTGACCCCCTTATGAAGCAAAATATTTAAGGTAAGGTAAATTCCCGGCTGTTCTCATTTGTGACACCACGATAGTGGAACGAGCTACCACACGCCATCAGAGCAGGGCTTCCCTCTTAGTTCAAGAAGTTCTTAAACTCATCTCTTCCACGAACATTTCCTCTTATAACACCCCTAACTCGCACTTCCTGTGGTCTTCTTCTATCCCCTTTCCCTGTATTGATTGCACTTTTTTTGTTAACTCTTATTACTTTCGGTATTTACCCCCATTGATGTGATTATGTACTATGAGCTCTTACTAGTATGTATTGTAAGTTGTAGATCTGTATTTGAGGCTCTGTTGATGTTTGTATGCTGTTCCTCAAATGTAAGTCGCTTCGTATAAAAGCATCTGCCAAATGAGTAAATGTAACTTGCAGAACAAAACTCTGTACTTGTATGTTAAAACTTTAACTTGTATATGATATTCACACGTGAGCTGAATGTGTAGACTGATATTTACATGAATGCAAACATGTAATGCAACACTTACTTCCAGTACAACTCTGTGATTACAACCTCTCCATGGCCACAGCGAGGTTGTACTCAGAACATTCAGAACACGGATGTGTGAATATTTTGCATTGAAAATTTCAACATGCAAGTACAGACCATTGTTCTACAAGTGCTCACATCGAGTCTACAAGCTCTCGCATCTTGCACCATATTTACCTGCATACTTTGAAGAGGCTGACCCTTAGGTTGGGAACCTCTGGACAAAATAAAGTAGTTATAATTGGCTCCACCTCGAGCAGTTGTGGTAGATGCATCTAATGTTGATGCAACAATCGAATATTAGTCACAGCAGACATTTTACTGCTGACAGAGTACCTTTACTCTTAAATGGTAGGTGGTGATGGCGCAGTGGATAAGACACATGCCTTTGGTGTGAGAGACTCCACCTAGTGTGCGACCTCTGACACAAAGAGCAGTTGTAGTCACTCTGGATAAAAGCCTCAGCTAAATGAATAAATGTTTACTAAATGTTTTTTCTTCCAATGTCTGTCCAAAGCATTCCTGCTAAATAACTACGTATCTGTCTGGTGAACATATTAACACAATGAGAGCACAAAGTGACGATCACCCACAGTCCAGATAAAAACCTCACCTTATTATTCAGGAACCCCGACACGGACGTCATTCTGTGTGATACTAAGCTCAAGTCTTTGCTTTTTAAATTCAGTCCCTTTTTCGAATCAGATGACTAGAAGATTCTTTCAGACTGACTGTTTTTAGTTTTATTCTTAAACCAAGATTTATTTATTAAATGTCGAGCTGCTAAGAAACTGTTTCAAAACTTCCAAGAGCTTCAAGCTTCACAGACTGTAACTTTAACAATTACCATGTGATTGTTTTTTAATTATGTTACTCACATAGGGCTGAAAATAATCATTATTTTCATAGTCGACTAATCTGTTAATTATTTGATTAATCGACTAGTCACGATTATTTGTCACCCCCTAACCCTAATTAAACCATTTAACTAATGAAATATCTTTCAAGTGAATTACTGATCTCTAACACACAGCCTGAGGTTTACTATTCAGAATGAACACTAGTATCAACGCCAGGGGGAAACCAGGGAAGAAGACAGCGTAGGATACTCCTGTAATTCACAGATGTATTATTGCATTTAACTTTCTCTTAGTCAGCAGCGTCCATGAGACCTCAAAAAGCAAAAATAAAACAAGAACGATGGAGCGGCTGCTTCAAGAGAACAGCCAGGCTTCATCACCCAAAACAATAAGCTCATAATCTGATTTACTGCCAAGTAGATTTTAACTTTAAAACTTTTTAAAGATTTTTGCTTTGGAACTATAGAAAATAAAAGCACATTAAAAGCAAGTACTATAACCACAGCTGTACACAAACAACAGTTGCATATCAAGATTATTATTTATATTTTTCCAGTGGATAATCACATTTTGACAACAAAGTAAAACAAAAGCAACAAACAAGGTTCAGAAATAAAATGGAGACGTAAGAGTAAAAAATCCATACAGAATCCAGTAATAAAATCTTTGTGAAACGTTTTACATCTTTGTTGATACGACCTATTTAATTGGCATTTCGCAAGTAACCTCCGTGTGGCCCAGCATACAGATACATGATAGGAGACGAGATTAAAACGTGACTATATTTCTCATCAGGAGAAAAAGTCTCAACTTTAATGGTGAAAAATTATTAGCTTTTTATAGCAGTTTCCCTTTTTTTGTATACAACTGTAAATCTGATTCTGTAAAATCAGTGAGAACCCAACTGTTTTATGTATTTAGTCAATAACAAATTACATCTGTCTCATTTTGAACAGAAGAATTACTGTGTGTACATCTGCTTTTTACATTCAAATGTAAAATCACTGATTATCTATAAATAAATGTGGCTCATTATATAAAAGGATTATGTCCTATTAAATACAAATAAATAACATTTCTCTTCTGTCTTTGCAAACAAATCATCTTTTATAGTTGCCATTGTGAACTCATAACCTGCAGAAATGTTGGTCATTTCGATTAAAAAACATTTTCCCTGCTGTAAAATGTACAGTTAAGTTAGAGAAGTGCTCTAGTGATTGTCTGTCATGATGAAAAACAATGAAACCTTTAACCCTGACTGGACTGGCAAGTACTTTTTATTTTCTATTTTGTAAACATTAATTTCCATTAGTTAATATGTCATTTCAAAAAGTTTCAAAACGGTTTTAAATAGGCAGCTGAAAATGTTTGGCCCATGTACATTTCCTGGATTTAAAATCTGGTCCAATTGAATAACGCTGCTATTGTAACATTGTTGAGCTGCTTTATGTAAAATGTATTTGGTCAAAACCCCTCTGTGTAACCAAAAACTGACCATAACACGTTTCAAAGATCTGTTAGATTACATATTTACAATTTACAGTATATACAGCATGTATAAAAAAAACAGCATTGGACTAATCTACATGATTCAGTACATTCACACACACCTTTACACCTCCTCTGAATGAGCTCTACAAAAACCGTTTTCCTGGGGACGAGAACCTGCAGAAAAGAAAAGTAGACATTACATAAAGTCAACTTTTATATAATACACACAAATGATTAGTCAATCACAGCTGGGAGACACAGAGCCGACAGTTTATGGATCTCCACCTGCAGAATATAAACTACACACAGAAAGTAAGAACATTTGTGTTTGGAGTGTTTCTTTGATGTAATAATGCTTCTTGGCAGTAAATCTTACAGCAGTGGAAAACCTGTTTATGTCCTTTTTAAATGGTGTAACTCACACACTCCGCTCTGCTGCTCATCACACAAATGCACGTTTCTTACAAATGAAATAATTGTACTTACATCCTTTTTGTTCATAGATTATGATTAAGTCATGTATAACATTCAACCTGCAACTATTGTTGGAGCTGGAACCAGAGAAGGTTTTGGCGAAAGGACAAATCTGACCTCAGAGTAAGAAAACTTGGTAGCACGTTACATTATAGGTTGGTAATAACTTGGGAACATTTTTATTTTAAAGATAACTAAGTAATAGCTTGGTTTTAACAATGGGTGTATCTAGGGCTGGAAGATTTGACCTAAAATCACAATTAAATATTTTACCTCGATTACGATTAATGAACTTTTGTTTTGTTTGTCCTCATAGTTCACTGACCAGGTTTGTGCTGTCGATATGCTCTATTAAATACTATTAATATTAAATATATCAAATATATTAAAGGTAATTCATGAATGTCATAAGTCGTTTTTTGCTAACTGATACGTAATGTTGACGGAAGTCGGGAGTGCAGCGGCGGAGACTCTGTGGTGCTACGACAAAGAATGTCCCCCCTGTATTTGGTGCACCGCCGCTGTTGAATGAGCGGCGCTACGAACATTTTATGATTAATATCAATGTGCAACTAATGATTTTCACCTGCACACTGAGCAAGCAGGGTAACACTCAACGCTCTGCTGGCTGCCTCTCCTCATTCATCAAAGGACGTCTACATGACAGGTGCTGCTGTAAGAGCAGGAAGTTGTCAGGTTACAGCTCCGTCCTGTACACATACTGAACATCCTACTGAAATTATATCTGTTTTCTGGTTGGTCAGGAAAAGAATGGACCGCTATGACCATGGAAGAGCTGAGGTTAGTAAAACAAATGATGGATAAAAACTAGTCCTTTAAGCTGATGAGGACGATTCTTTTGAATTTAATGTACTAATGAGATGCTTGGTAATTAAACAGAGGGGAGGTGGTTCTCATGTTGCCTATTATTTGGTTTAGTTGGTATCAACAAAAACAAAACAACAAAAACATAAAAAAAAAAAAGCAGTAAATTAAGACAAAAATGCCAAAAATGAACAATCCTATCTCTAATGACTCTGAGGTCATTAACAGGGTTTTCCCTGCTTGAGACGTGAGGTTTAAAACAGCTTGGTACTGTGCCATGAATGTAAAACCATTGTGACACCAAAACTAACTAAATGGGGTGAAGTCACATGACTACACATGCTGTAGTATGTTTTTTAGAGGAAAGTACGTGAACACAAACTGTGGGGAAATATTAATAGGATTAAAAAAAACGAAATAACCAACAAGGGGAAATTACGTTGATTAAATTGAATTTCGGTTACTTTGTAATTAATCGTCCAGCGTCTGATTTATCTGGGTGGTTTTAGGCAAAAAATACAGTAACAGGGCAAAAAGGTTAACAAACAAAGGGTAATAATGGGGAAACACATTAAAGATTGCAACAAAGCAAAAGTTCTTTAGTATTAGTTATGTTTTGATGAAAATGTGGTACCTAACAATAAAATTGTTACATGAACAATATTTGGATTATAATTGGTAACATGGCGACATTAATGGAACAATAACCTGTTAATGAGGTAATATAGGTTGATGTTTTCACAATATTATAGGCTACTTTCAGCGTAACACCTACAAAATCACATGAAGTTTCTTGGAAATAATTCGGTTATAAAAGCACAGACAGTTTTTTTTACAAATAATCAGATCATTTAAATGGTGGTCAGTATCAGCAGACAGGCAGAATATTCAGGACTTTTACTTTCAAATGTTTCCAGAGACAAAATGGAAAAACAAGAAGTGAATGATATAAACTTAGACTAATAAATAATTGTAAATTATTATTTTGATTGTGTGATATTTTAGTAATTGAGTTTTTAATCTCACATTTGATACTGATTTTTTTTATTTTATTTAAATGAAATAATTAATTTTTTTATTGTCTATTAATATACACAAATTTACAGTTTTATCCATTTTTTTATTAAAATCTTTTAGTATATTATAATAACACTATTTATTTTAATATATTACTTTAATTTTCTAACACAGGCTTATTGTTTTACTTATTTACTTTTTTTTATATTTATTTTTACAGAATGTCTATATTATATATTTTTTATTGTTATTATTTTATTTGGTATTAACACACACAAACACAACTTTTGCTGTTTTATTTCCTTATCTAATGAAATTAATTGTCCTTATGTGCTTTATATGCAGCTTTGGTAATATTGTTGCTACACATTCATGCCAATAAAGCTAATTTGAATTTGATATTCAAACATCTGTTTAAAGAAACTGTCAAAAACATCCATTTAATGGACAGTTATGTATTTAAAGCTTGCTTTGTTAAAAAATATAATCACAATGTGAACCAGAGGCCTCATAAATAAATAAATGAAGCTTAGTGGATTTTTTTTTTTTTTTTTATGTAAATACCAAACGTAAGGGGCGCCCGGTAACTCACCTGGTGGAGCCTGCAGGTTTGATTCCTCCCCTCTTTTGTTTTTCTTCCTGTTTTTCTGTTTCTCATCAGCTGCTCCTGTCAAATAAAAGCAAAACGATCAATTTAATAAAAAAGAACATTGAAGAAAGAACATTGTGACATGAGATGGTTTCTGTATCTGTTATGTTGATAGAATCCATTATATAAACTCACCTTTATTACAGCGTACTGTGATGATCTTTGTAGCTACTAGCAAACCTTGAACTGCAGCAAGAATTACAGCTCCCAAAAAAATTCCACCAAACAATCCTGCGACAACTCCTCTGCTGTACGTGTCCTCAAACAGTTTCTCTGAAACACACAACAAAACCTAGAGTCACACTCAGAATGTAAACTGTATCTCATGTACAGCACGCTGGTTATTACCTACACAGAACTACTACTGAGGCGGCCATGCTGCTAAAATCTATGAACATGTAAAACTATTTTCAGAGAAAACCACTAAAATGAATCTCACCTGGCAAAGTGATGTTACTACTGATTATATGACCGATGTCGTCCTGCTGGACTACGCAGTGGAAGTGGTTGGTTTTGGTCTTCTTCACAGTAGTTTGGAGGGTGATGTAGAAGTGACCTTCTCTTTCTGAGACCTGTGGCTCCTCAGCAGTAAGTTTGTTTCCAGCACTGTCCTGCCACTCTACTGTAGGTTTAGGAAAAGCACCTCTAACTTCACACTGCAGCAGGGCCCCAAACTCTGTGACATCAACTATCGTGATGGACGGCTCTGCAGCTGCACCTGTGAACACAGTAATAAGAAAATCATGTAAACAGAACACTACAAATGTAGTTTCCATTCAAATATAAATCTCAGGGTTTCAAACTTAAAGACAGATCAGGAGAAAGTAACAGTGACTCTTGACTGACGTCACTGATCTCTACATCTGCAACGTGTGTGCTACAACTTAGTGACCTTAGAGCTGGGTAACATTCAAGACGTTTGACAGAACACGTTAACGCAGACATTGTCCTTTATCATAATGAACCAAGCCAACACAACACCTTCAACATCAGCTTCCACTGATCAGTCTGACAGTGTTGCTGGTGGCTACAGGCAGTTTACCTACAAGTGCCTCTGAGAAAACAGCAGCAGGTGTGTGTTTGTGTCTCAAAAGCAGCCAATAAACAAAGCAGATGTAGAGATCAGTAACATCCAAATGTGCAGAACCTGCTGTGATGGTTAGTCAACATGAAGGTCCTGCGTCAAACGTTTTAATGATACTGAGGCCCAGAGAGTTGTAGCACACATGTACAGATCAGTGACGCACCTGTGATTTCGTTTAAACGGTTTCTGAAGGTGAGATCTGAAAGAGAATATTAACAGAATTAGAACATTAATTACTGCACAGTGCAGGGTGATGTTATGAACTAGTCATGTGTTATTAGACTAGTAATTTTAAATAAACAGCCATTTGTGAACATTAGGGGTGTAACGATACCAAATCCACAGTTCGGTTCATATCAAGGTGCAGACTAGGTGTGTGTGAGTGTGGGGAGAAGAGCAGAGGAGCAGATTAAAGTAAATCAACACTAAACTAAGGTGGAAAATTACCTACTGTTAATACAAATAGCCCACAATATACACCATTACCGAGCCCACCCTCCACCGGCCGCCGCCACCCACAGTTGCATTGTGTTCAACAGTCTGCGGAGACGGTGTGTCGCGGTTCTGTTTCTCGGATCCACGACACGAGACCGTGGACTTTAGGTGTCGCGATAAGACCATAACTTTGGGAATATCAATAAATTGCTTTTGCATTGTCTGATTTATTTGTTAATAATTTATTCAAAATAATTCCAGAATTAACATTTTATTTAAACTGAAAACAAAACACTTAAACACTTATTTTGATTTAGAATACATGATAAAGATAAAAACCTAAATGTTCAATTACAACATTTAGTTTTTCTATTACACGTTGGGTTTTTTTTTGTCAAAATTAACAAAACATTTGGCTGAGGATGAATTGGAGTTTATTGAAATTTGTTGAAGAAAACTCAAAAGTAGTTAAAGTAGAGCACTGAACAGAAGCTGTTAAGTCACCTGAGATCAGATGCAGAGCAGTCAGTAGAAGCAGAGGCTCAGTTCTGACATGATGTGGAGACAAAGATCAGGCAGGTCAAGGAGAGGTAAAGCAGGAAGAGGACAACTTGCATGTCTGATTATAGTTTCTTATGAGGAAAGAAAAGAACAAGTAGAGGTAAAGGAAGAAAAGGGGGAGAAGGAGAAAAGGGCGTCAGGTAAATGTTACAAAGAGCATCACAGGCTGAAAGTACAGGAGCTACAGAGGGCAGATGTCTCAACTGTGTCTGACTTTACTGAGGCCTTAAACTTTACCACAGAGTTGAATTTAAAACTGAGATTCATCATAACTTCAAAGTAGGGCTGCCAGGTATTTCGGTATAATTTCAGAAGAGATATAAAATTAGACAACACTGTTTATACAGATATAGTCTGATGTTGAGAATAATTAAAACGGTGAAATAAGAAACAAGCTAAGTTACTGCAAATAGTAAAAACACGCCCGTTAAATTCTCAGCTGTCAACATTAAACTGCTGATATGTGATTAAAGTCGTACTTTCGAGGTGTTCCTCGTTGTCGGTGGTTTAAACAGAAGACTGAACAGACGAGGAAGAACAGCTGGAGTCAAAACAAACCTGAAAACACAGCTGGAGATCTGGACGAACAATATAGATTAACTGTTTCAAGCTGTATGTAGTTTTTCAATGAAATCATTTATCACTACATTAAATTTGTTCAGCCTTTTTGTCAGTGGGCTCTAACATCACTTAGAAATGAAGCACACGCCTCTTTTCTCTGTTGCTTGCAACAGCCACGGGTCGGGCTCCTGAACCTCTCTCCAACCACAGTGACAACAACGCAGCTAACGAGTCCACTAACACCACAAAACAACAGGCTCCCAGCACAAACTCCATGTAAGGATAAAAAAGATTTTTAAAAAGTGTTATGTGCTGTAGCCCGTCAGGCTGAACGAGATGTTTATACCGGCCTTGATGCAAGGCAGGAGCAGCCAGCTACTTTAGCACGGCTCTACTGTTGTTTGCTTCGTAACGTTCAGTTTAGATTTTTAGTAATTTTACTGATACTCAGGTGAAAGAGTCTCCTGGTGTTTTGCTCTTTCTGTGTCGGAGTTTGCTCGCTCTTGAGTTCGAGCACACGCCTGGTTGCACTCTAAAAACTGCACCGCTAGTGGTCGCTGAAAACTACATAACACCCCTTTAATGAAAACACTCACCAACAACAAGCTGAATGTGGAATATCTGTCTTGGCTGAAGACGTGGAAATTCACAGGTGTAGTCTCCTCTGTCGGTCACCTTCGTATTTCTGATGATGATGGAGGTGTTTCCGTACTTCAGCTCATCTTGAAAATGTGAGACGCGACCTTTGAACTGCTGATCTTGACCTGGACGGCCGTTGTTGTAATGAATGCCTCCATCATAAAAGAAAATCTCCTTCGGACCATCTTTCTTCCAGTCAAAGAGTTTCTCCTCAGCGTTCTCCTTGGTGCTGAGTGAACAGGGTAAAATGGCGTCACGTCCTTCTTCCACAACCACTCTGACGACACCCGACCCTGAAAGAAGAAGATTATTTTAGTCATTCTGTTCAAACAGAGATCAATCAGGTTCAGACAGAACATCAGATAACACATTTACATGTCACCTCAATGACTCTGAAACACCAGTTTATAAACACGTTAGTTAGTCGGCACATTATTTATGGAGATTTTTCATGTTGGCGTCATTTAAGAATATTTAAGCTGACATTAGACAGTAGGGCTGTTTCAGAAAGCAGGTTCATCAAACTCTGAGCTGATTGAGCCTGAGGTGGGAAACTCTGTTCCAGAAAAGTCGATCAGAATTAGTTCAGTCAAACTCAGTATTAATTTTTTTTGCAGTGGAAATGTGTCCAGCTTCAAACTGACTGTAAAGTTTTAGATAAATGCCAGATAAAAAAATCTTGCTCCTTTGGTGTTTAATGAAATGCTGTTAAAACACATTGAGTGTAATACAGGACAGTGCAGCCTGTAGATTTTATTCTGAACGATGTCCGGAGAGTCTCTGTCCATAAATCGATGACAGATTGATCATAAAAGCGCTCATGTTTAAGATCATGTTTGCGTAAAAACAATTATATCTGACCGGGATTTTGATGTTTCTAAAGACTAAACATCTGCATCTAAATGGGTTCAGATGTGCTTTGACATCGACAGTGTGAATAAATAAATGAAACTGTGTCAGAAAAAAGGCCCTGATGAATCACAAAGACAGTGTTGGAGAGTTGTTTTGTTTGTTTTTAGACTGAGGTCTCAGTGTGAGCCAAGTTTGATATTGTGCGTTTGGATTTTGCCTATTATTAAATATCATAATAGATTACAGCAGAAATGAAGACATATTCAGATCACAGTTTTCTTCATTACTTTGATGCTCTGTTAGAACAAATGCCTGGTTTTAAGAACAGGTGACAAACACCAAAACTGCAAAGTGTTGTTTTCTCTTAACTCTTCATACAAACAACAAATCAGAATGTGTCTAAATGAAAAACTAATGAAAAGAAACAAAACCCCTTTTATTCAGTCACTATTAGCACAGGGAAAACAAAACGCACACAAACTAACTTTGGATGGATGCACTTTTGTTTGGGCACAATGTTTTTTCATGAACTACAAATACTAGAAGAAAGATTCTTTTTTCCACAAAGGCTAAAAGTCAAACAAGTTCAAATAAAGTAACTTAGTGGTGATAAACAAAACATGAACATATGTTTTGTCATTTACATCAGGACATAGATTTCCATCCACATCACATTTAAATGTTGTCTTAAAGTCACCTCTTTCAAGAACACTTCCTCTGAGCCGCTAACATCCAGCCTGCACTTCTTCTTCATCTCTCTCCTTAACATGTGCTTGTCTTGACGGCACCATTTGTTAACTCCTATTGCTTCCCACAGGTATTTACCCCAGTGACACCGTATGCTTTAATATCTCTTACTAACATCTAGTGATGCTTGTAGATCTCTCTGACCTGATGCTTCAATGTTGTTCCTCAGATGTAAGTCGATTTGGATAAAGGCGTCTGCCACCTTAGATACAGTAGTTATTGATGACAAATCCAACCTCAGTAACTACAGTGATCTCTTTACAGATGAAGCCCATGATACTGAGTTTACTGGCCGTTACATTACCGAGCACCTGGCCCGTATTCTGAATTCTTATCTGAATTTGCAGAGTTTTTGTCAACTTTAGTCCTTAAAACGGATAAAGTTATTATTGTAGGGGATTTTAATATTCATGTGGACGTTGAGAATGACAGCTTCAGTACTGTGTTTATCTTTGTTAGATTCCATCGGCTTCTCTCAGAGTGTTCATGAACCGACTCAATGTTTTAACCACACCCTCGACCTTGTTTTGGTGTATGGTATTGAAATTGAACATTTAGTGGTGTTCCCACAGAATCCCTCTTTGTCCGACCACTGTTTGATAACTTTTGAACTTTTGTATTGCTGAACTACTCGCCATTGGGCAAAGATTTCTATACAAGATGTCTGTCTGATAGTGCTATAGCTAAATTTAAGGATGCGATTCCATCAGCTCTAAATTCATTATCTAGTCACAAAGTAACGGAGGACTCCTATGCTAGTTTCAGTCCCTCCCAAATCGATCATCTTGTTGATAGTGCTGCAGGCTCGCTGCGAATGACACTCGACTCTGTAGCCCCTCTAAAAAAGAAAATACTAAAACAAAGACGGTTAGCTCCATGGTATAATACTGAAACTCGCAAATTAAAGCAAATATCACGGAAACTTGAGAGGAATTGGCGTTCCACCCAACTGGAAAATTCTCGTTTAATTTGGCAAGATAGTCTTAAAACTTATAGGAAGGCCCTCCGTAATGCCAGAGCAGCGTACTACTCGTCATTAATAGAGGAAAATAGGAACAACCCCAGGTTTCTTTTCAGCACTGTAGCCAGGCTGACAGAGAGTCACAGCTATATTCAGCCAAGTATTCCCATATAGCTCTCAGTAGTTACGACTTCATGAGCTTCTTTAATGATAAAATTCTAGCTATTAGAGACAAAATTCACCAAGACCTGCCCTCAACTGGCACCGACTTATCTCTTAACTCAGGAACCTTAGAAACAGCTGTAGAACCAGAAACATGTTTAGACTGTTTTGCTTCCCTCAATCTTTACCAACTAACTTCAATAATTTCTTCATCTAAACCATCAACCTGCCTCTTAGACCCCATCCCGACTAGGTTGCTTAAAGATGTTTTACCCTTAGTCAGCACCTCTATACTAGATATGATCAATCTATCTTTATCAACAGGCTATGTACCACAGTACTTTAAAGTAGCTGTAATTAAACCTCTTCTGAAAAAGCCCAAACTTCATCCGGATGTTTTAGCCAACTATAGACCTATGTCTAACCTTCCATTTCTCTCTAAGGTTCTGGAGAAAGCAGTTGCTAAACAGCTGTGTGACTTTCTACAGAGCAATAGTTTATTTGAGGATTTTCAGTCAGGATTTAGAGCTCATCATAGCACAGAGACAGCACTGGTGAAAATTACTAACGACCTCCTTATTGCATCAGACAAAGGACTTGTCTCTGAACTGGTTTTATTAGATCTTAGTGCTGCATTTGATACCATTGACCATCAGATCCTATTGCAGAGACTGGAATATTTCATTGGCATTAAAGGAACCGCTCTAACCTGGTTTAAGTCCTATTTATCAGATCGATTTCAGTTTGTACATGTTAACGATGAGTCCTCCATGCACGCCAAAGTTAGTCATGGAGTTCCTCAAGGATCTGTCCTCGGACCAATCCTCTTCACTTTATATATGCTTCCTTTAGGCAACATTATCAGGAAATATTCCATAAACTTTCATTGTTATGCAGATGATACTCAGTTATATCTATCGACCAAGCCAGATGAAACTCATCAGTTAGCTAAACTTCAAATGTGCCTTCAGGATGTTAAAACCTGGATGACCTGAAATTTTCTCATGTTAAACTCAGATAAAACTGAAGTTATTGCTCTGGGGCCTAAGCACCTCCGTGACGCATTATCTAAAGATATAGTTTCCCTTGATGGCATCGCCCTGGCCTCCAGCACCACTGTGATGAATCTTGGAGTTATCTTTGATCAGGACATGTCGTTTAAGTCTCACATTAAGCAAATTTCAAGGACCGCCATTTTTCACCTACGTAATATTGCGAAAATCAGGAACATCCTGTCTAAAAATTATGCAGAAAAACTGGTCCATGCATTTGTTACTTCTAGGCTGGATTACTGCAATTCCTTATTATCAGGCTGCTCGAAAAAGTCCATTAAGACTCTTCAGCTGATCCAGAATGCTGCAGCACGTGTTCTGACAGGAACCAGGAAAAGAGATCATATTTCTCCTGTTTTAGCTTCTTTGCATTGGCTTCCAGTAAAATCCAGAATAGAATTTAAAATCATTCTTCTTACCTACAAAGCTCTTAATGGTCAGGCACCATCTTATCTTAAAGAGCTCATAGTACCTTACTACCCCACCAGAGCACTGCGCTCCCAGAATGCAGGGTTACTTGTGGTTCCTAGAAAGTAGACTAGGAGCCACTTTCTCTACTTTCTCTCCCTCTGTATGCAACCTCATCCCATTATTGCATGTTACTAACACAACTTCTCCCCTTTCTGGTAGTCTTGTGCTTTCTCCTCCCTCTCCTCTCTCCTCCTATCACTTCCTGCAGGTTTTCTGGCTCTGGAGCTGTGGAGTCTGGATCTGTGGCTGCGGGTCACCTGCTGCCCCCGTGTTCCTGCTCGACACCCTCTGCTGCAACGACTATTGTTACTAGTCCTATTGTTATTATTGTTATTATAATCATTAACATTACAACTGTTACCATTAACACCATTATAAATATCTGTACCATTTTTCATTTAGTCTATAGCAACATCACCTTTACTATCTGTACCTCTGTGTGGATATTGTGTAGGCTGCTTCCCCCCGCAACCAGTCGAGGCAGATGGCCGCCCACCCTGAGCCATGGTTCTGCTCGAGGTTTCTGCCTCTTAAAGGAAGTTTTTCCTTGCCTCTGTCTCCTAGTGCTGCTCTTGGTGGGAACTGTTGGGCTTCTGTAAATATCATCATACAGTACGGTCTAGACCTGCTCTTTTATGAAAAGCGCTGTGAGATAACTGTTGTTGTGATTTGGCGCTATATAAATTGAATTGAATTTGTGGTTGTATCAAACACCACATTGAATAAAATCACTTTGACTGGAGAGATATTTTCAGATTAGTTTGTAGTCACGTCTGACCTGCAGTGACCTTCATGTTTGGCCAAATTGTACAATTACAATTTACAATATTTGGTAACTGTTCTCTCCTTTTGTAGCTAACCCGGCCAATGTGTCTGCAGCTGAGTTAATGATTTAAAATGTATGTAGTGATCACTGCTTCAGTGTATTTGCAGTCTTACAACACAGTCAGTAACCCCAATACAAAACTTCAGCTGCAGGGCTGTTGTGTCCATGAGCAAGTGATGCACATCTAAAATTTGACTTTGTCCAATGACAAATGTGCAATTTCACATCATTTGGGACCATTATTTTTACCATGTGTGTGAACAAATAGTTGGAAATGCAGCAGATAATAAATAAACAACAACAGCCAGAAAGCTTAATGACTAAACTTGCTAAATAATTTGTCTGGGGAGGAACTATAACCAAGAGATTTTGGAGAAGTTATTTAGTTTCCATCCTCTCTCCACAGTGATTTTACATTCATGACACAGCACCCAAGCCGTTTTGGGCCCCACATCAAGCCTTTAACGGCAGGAAACCCCTGTTAATATGACCTCATAATCATTGTAGATAAGACAGTTCATGTTTGCCTTTTGTGTCTCAATGTAAAACTTCTTTAGCTTATCTGTAGAAATTAATATGAAAATAGGCAACATGAGAACCACCTCCCTTAATTACCAAGCATTTCATTTGCACAATAATCATAAAGAATCGTCTCCTCTTTAGTTTAAAATGACTAGTTTCTTTCTCATGTATGTATTTACATTTACTCATTTAGTTTCATGCAGTTTTGTCCAGAGTGACCAGAGCTCACGCGCCTCTGGAGCAACTTCACGTTGTGTTTACTACGTCATCAGGCACATAGAGCCAAAAACATAATGGTTTCGGTTAAGAGAGAAGGGGAGGGGACAGTAAGGTTAGCTGCCACTAAGCGGCATCACTTTTTCGAGCTCTTTGGGAAACGACAGTCTTCTCTTGGTCTTGAGAAACTGACACCCTGTAACCTAAACACAGCACATGGTCATTGATGGCCATTAAACAACAGTCGGCATGACAGCTCCCAAATTAATGAAACTGTAATGGCGTATTTCGCTTGACCAAATGTTGTGTTATCATTACCTTTAAAGTTACGCATTAGCTTTCTTACCGTTTGTATCCATGTGTCCAGGAGTTATTCCAGACAAAGTCAGCAGGCAGAACCAGGAGAACAGAAGCTCCAGAGCTTTCAACTGCAACATGTTAGATAAATTACTTAAAACCAAAGTTACTGGACTCGTTAACTTGTTCTCAGCCCCTTCGTTCGTGAAGTGCAGCATAACAGAGTGCTGAATGTGGACGTTGCGTTCAAGTGCTCCTTGTATGATCCCATTTCCCGTGTTGTGAAGTCGCTCTCGGTGGGTTCATGTGCTTTTACATGGTAAAGTGGAAACAACATGAACGCTGAACTGTCATTAACATTGTCGTCAAAGTGTGCTGAAAAAGTGCTAAAATGTTCTCTGCTTTTGTTGTTCCGACTTCAGGCGGCCGTTAAATTAATTTTCTCAGTCGGAAATTCACTTTTCCGATTATTTCCACAGAACTTGAATAAACCTAAGTCCTTCTCACTTCCGGTGATATCGGATATGACTTCCCATTTGCTCAACATGGTGTTTAACATCTACATCTTTAAAAACACATGTTCAATAGATTCACCAGTACTTTTACAAAAACTCTTAAATTAAAAAATGTTCCAAAATTATTTACAAGGATAAATCTCATTCAGAATAAGTAATAATTATGTTAGTTAAAAAGTTACACACATTGTCGTATTTTCATTGTTTTCCTGGCGCTAATTATCATGAGCCTTCACAAGTTAATGACATCTTATAAATAAATAAAAGGCTAAAATCTGATCCCAGAGCAGGAAATAGCTCAGATCTGTGACAGACAGCATTTTACCTCTGAGCTCTGCTCTCAGTGAAACTACACAGAATAAGACAGTGTGTGTGTTTAGACACTAGAGGGCGACACTCTGTTGAGGAAGGAGACTAAAACAACCAAATCACTTAGAGAAACTGCAACAGTCAATAATGAGAGTAAGAAATTAAATTGTATGTTGGAAATATTTAGATTTTAATAACCTCTGATGAACAACAATCAGAGTATCAGTGTGGAGGTTCCACTTAAATAGACCTACTTTAATAAAATAAAAAGTCAACTCCAATAATAAAAACATTTGTTTAATTTCAGTCCCGTCCCACGTTGAGCTGCCTAAAGACTTTTTCACACCGGGGATTAAATGAAAAAAGCTATGAGGAATATTCGTTGATGATTTTTCTTTGACACTAAACATTCCACAAAATTTGCACAAATTGAAACAGACCAAACAACTTTGTGTGGATAGGCTGGTAGAGATAGATGGGGTCAATTTATCACCAGTTTATTCAGACTGGTAGTGATTTTAACCAAATAAAAACAGAATCAACCATTAATCTAAATTTCCCCTGTACGGGGACTAACAAAGGTTTATCTTATACTACAGCTCAAGCTTTTGTGGATGTTTGATGGCACTACATGGTTGAGGTACAAATTACATTATTGTATAAAGGCCACGTTACAGATTTTAATCCAAGACCCAGATCTGGGGTCTGCTGGTTTAACAAGTCAACTGATTATTTACCGTATTTTTCCTTTTTGGTTTTAGCTGCTGAGCATTTGGAAATAAATATTAGGATTTGATCTGATACTTTTATCAGGTCCCTCTTTTTTAAGTTATCTCATCACATTGTTTACTTTTCACTCTGTTTTTGTTGAGATAGCTTCTTCTCTCTCATTTTGGTGACATTTCTTTAACAGTCTAGTGGATATTTCAATTTTGACTCAACAGTGTGAGAGAAGCACGAGAGAACCTCTGGGTGAAGTATATGATAATAATCTGACTTCTCCCTTGATTTATTAACTCAGTTAGACTGATGAGTCTAAATATGATCCCTTCTATATAACATTATCCAGAGACTTACATTAGCTATATACCGTGCATCCAGAACAATACTCATAATGACAACATGAAATGAGTTTGTTGACAATGACATAGCTTTAGTGCTGCATTTAACGCCCTATTAGATTCAGGTGGCTTCAGTCAGTGTTCATAAAGCCAGTCACTGTTTAAACCACACCCTCCTCAACCTAGTTTTGGCATTGAAATTGAACATTTAGTAGCACAGAATCCCACTTTATCTGACCACTATTTAATAACTTTTGACTTCCTATTACTGGACTACGTGCCCTCAGGCAAACGTTCCTACACTAGATGTCTATCTGATGGACAGGAAGTGATTCCATCAGCATTTAATTCAAAACCAGACAAACGACTGTAGGCCTATAGGTTGATTATAAAGTTTGTTACTAGTTTTTAAAAAGGAGGACATATATTTTTGACAATAACAGCTACAGTCACCTACCTTGTGGACATTTTTTGGCCAACCTTACATTGGAAAGTGTTCCTCTCGAAAACACGTTTAAAATTCAGATCAGATTTACCTTTCTAACATTCCTTTTAGTGATCCCACGGTACCAGGGTTAATTGATCTTAAAGACTAATGTAATCTTTATGACTTCAGATAGAACAGACAGGTGACGATCAATGATCGTCATGTATTCATTTATAAATCTCCAGTAAACTCAGAAAACAGCATGTTAAGTGGTTTGTGTCTGTGAACTGTCTTACAATAGTCCACAGCAGGTTTATTGTGCTGTGTGGAGATGCTGCTGCAGTCGGTCAGAAAAAGGAGAACGAATGTTTGGTTTCCCAGCTGACACGGAGGAGGAGGAAAAAATGGTTGACTCAGGTCAACAGGAGCAACCTTACAACCACTAAAGAGGCTAACAACAAAATATATGTGAGGTAAAGACAGACATCACTGCAGATCATCTTCAGGCTCCTCTGAACCCCCTGTGAGAGAGAGAGCGTTAGACAAACCTACACATCTGTAAAGATTCATCCAGGTCATGGTTATCCAAGAAAAGTAGAATCTGGAGCATCTGGACGTTTCAGAAGAAGTCCAGTTGCCCTCGACCTCAACCTTCGTTGGAAGGCATAGGTAAAGAGCACCTTATGAACTGGAACTATGGAGAGTGTACGGTCTTGGTCCCCGGCCCCAGTGAGACCACTGGATTGAACAGAGATCAGAGAACTGCCCACTGCTGTCTCAGGTTCTCCTTTGGTTGGCACTAAATTAATTTCTCTCTCTTTTGGATGAATGTGGAGTACAGTTGGAATCGTCCGGCCACGCCTTTCCTGCAACTCACAAGCCACAATTCTCCATCCGTCCCTGTGTTTGTAGGGCAACCTTTTCACTACGGTCAGCATTGTGGTAGGCATGTTCAACTCTTCCATGGCGTTACAACATCCTCGCAGAAAAAGACTGTATGCCTGTAGAGATTTCACACCTTCAGATTTTATTGGTGTCCATGAAAGAGCCTTTTCCATACAGGCTGAAGCAATTTTCCCAAAATGCTCTTGTAGCAAAGCCTTAGCCTTGCCATGTCCTCTGTCACGTGCCATATGTTGACAGCTTCTGACAAGCTCCCTTGGCTGCCCCCTGGTGTACTGTTCAAGGAAGCACAAGCAGTCTTTGGGATTGTCAGCCTTCTCTTCGATGCTGTGTTCAAAAGCCCTCATGAAGGTGTGATATTGCAAAGGATCACCGTCAAAAACATGAAGGTCTCTTAGGCAGAAATGAACGAGATTGTTGCTGAACCAATAAGGCAGTTATTTCATTTTGTTTTTCCAAAACCGTAATTATTTGACTTTGGTCACTGCTGCTTGTCACCAGTGTTGCCGACTGATGATTCCTGTGCTGAAACAGTGGACGTGATCGTACCGTCTCTCGATGTCCTGTCCAACTTGTGCATTGATTCCTTTTGTGATACAAATATGGGAGCATCATATGTGACAACATGAGCAATAGTACGGCTTGTTTGTCTCCCTGTTTCAGAAAGCCATCCTTTTGCATCCTCCATAAATCCATTGTGGCATTTTAGTATGTTCATAAACAATTCATTTTGTTTTTCCTGTTCCTCTTCAGGAAGTATGGGAATCACAGACTCATGTAACAAAGTTTCATCCACCATTTGACTCATTTTCTCAAGATGAGATCGTACTTGTGGGGCATTATCATCCTTTTGCATGAGATTCTTTATTGTCTGTATTAGACCTTTGATTTTGTGAACCTTTTTTCTACGTTCCTTTTGTAGTGTTTCAATTTTATCCCCCAAAGCTTTAGAAGTGAGTTTAATTTCTCTCTTTTGTTCATCCATCTCTGAGCCATTGACATCTGATTTTGATCCACTTGTTGCCATTTCCCAATGTACCACAAACGGCTCGTTTCCGTAGAACAACACTCTGGTTTAATACATTTCTGTTGACTAAACATAGCGGCTGTAGACAACGCAAAACGAAATTTGCAGCCGCCAGGGAGACTGAAAACACTGAGACGCGCAAAACATGAGTTTGTTTCTCAAGGGCTTTTCAGTCGGGGAGTGAAACTTGGAAACAGTAGAAATTATAGAAAGATGAATGTGTGTTTGTTTTTGGACACAGGTGAACGTTGTAATCGATAGTTGTTTTTTGTTGTAGGCTACAGGAGTGCTATTTTGCATTATGCCTACATGCTTTCATTGTTGTAGCTTATGTTCAAGTGCAGTCAATGTGTGTGTGACGTTTTGATACGATTGATGCTTGAATATAAGGATAATCATTTGAACATCTCAGCAAACTCTGTATTTCTCATCCTCTTTCTTATAAAGTGTAGGCTAAACCTTTTTTTTGGTGTAGCCTTGTAGGCTATGAGCTATGATTGAAGCAGGCCATTTCTCAGGAGTTTTTGACCTTGAAAGCTCAGTGTTTAGATCTTAGTCTTTTATTTGGAAAGTCTAACCGGACGTTGCTTATTTATTGTTACTAACGTTGCTAACTTGACCGCGGAGCCCTAAAAGTTAAAACATGATGCAAAGGGGGGGTAGCCTACCCAGGGCGTTAACAAGCGACGCCAATGGGCCTTGACCAAGCGTCAATATGTGACCAGTCGGGAGTGAGAATGCGTTGGCATTTGTTAAGACCCATTCAATTAAAATGTGACTGTGAAGTAAAATTAAACACATTTTCTGTATTTATTACCAAACCATTTATCAGTAATACAGTTGTAGGAGCCTAAATGCAGTTTACTGATAAATAATTTTATAAATTTATGTGTTAACTGTGATTTACGTTATTAATTTATGTAGCGGGAACTGAAGGGAATATTTACCGTATTTACAGGTTGATGCAGTTAATATTTACAGTAATGCAAGGAGTTAATTGTTTGATTATCTAAAATGTGTGTGGATAATTAGAGTGCATACACTGGTAATATTTGGGGAATACAGGACTGTTATGGTCTTTTCCCTTAAAACGCATGCACCTTTAATTGCTTGGGAATACTCTCACGACAGAGTTTG